CCCCCAGTGCCCCCAGGACCTCCCCCAGTGCCCCCAGGACCTTTCCCAGTGCCACCAGGACCTTCCCCAGTGTCCCCAGGAGCCTCCCCACCTGCTTTCCCACGGCACGCGAGACGCTCCCCACTGCCTCCATCCCCTTCTCGCAGCCCCCCCGGCCTTTCCACTTTCCCACGCCCTCCCCGCAGCCCCCAGGACAGTTCCCAGTGCTCCCAGTCCCTCCCAGTGCTCCCAGTCCCACCCAGTGCCGCCCCATCCCTCTCACCGCCACCGCCGCCGCCGCTCCCAGCGCGAGCTGGCCCCGCCCCCCGCCTGCCCTCCACCAATCAGCGCCGCCTTTTCCCCCAGACCCCGCCCACTCTCCCGGCCCCGCCCCTGCCCCCTGGGCCGAGCATCGCGCCAGCCCGGTCCCCTGCGCTGATTGGCCCGCCGCCTCCTCCCTCCGGCCAATAGCGTTGAGGGCAGGAGGAGCCTTTTCCCACGCGCTCATTCACTTCCCTCGGCCCCGCCCCGAGCGCAGCCGATAGGAGCGCGCGTTGCCGTGGCAACGGCGTGGGGGGCGGCAGCCAATGGGAGGGCGCGGCGTTGAGGCCGCCGGGAGCGAAGGGCGAGGGATGGTCAGTGCGGGGGGGGGGAGTGTGAGGGAGGGGAGGGACCTGAGGGGCTGTGAGGGGATTGAGGGGCTGTGAGGGGACTGAGGGAGCTGTAAGGGGACTGAAGGAGCTGTAAGGGGACTGGGGGAGCCGTCAGGGACCTGAGAGAGCTTTAAGGGGACCTGAGGGGGCCTCGAGGGGCTGAGTGGGCTGTGAGCAGACTGGGTTATAAAGGGCTGCTTGGCGAGGCTTCCTCTCTGGGTTGGTGTTAATGAGGGAGATCACTCCTGGATCCCTCCTTGGAGCACTGCTGGATAATGATAGCAACTGTACGGAAACACTGCCGGGATGCTCCCGGATTGGGAGAGGTCGGGGGACACGGAGCCCCACAGCCTTGGTTTAAGTCGCAGCATCACAGAATCAAAGCCATCCCTTGTAGGAGACATATTTTGGGTGTGAAATTCCACCTATGTGTGGAATCACCAAATGGCTTGGGTTTGAGGGGACCTTAAAGCCCATCCAATCCCAACCGCAGGGACACCTTCCACTAGCCCAGGTTACTCTGGCCTTGGACACTTCCAAGGATGGGGCAGCCACAGCTTCTCTGGGACCTGCGGGGGCTGTGAGGGACCATGAGGGGCTGACGGGGCCATGAGGGACTTGAGGGGCTGTAAAGGGACCTGAGGGGACCCTGAGTGGGCTGAGGGACCTTGAGGAGCTAAGGGGTCTGTGAGGGACCTGAGGGGGCCATGAGGGGCTCAGGGGTCCATGAGGGACTTGAGGGGCTGTAAAGGGACCTGAGGAGTCAGTTAGGGACGTGTGGGAGCTATGAGGGACCTGAGGGGACTGAGGGAGTCGTAAGAGATTGAGGGTGTCGTGAGGGATCTGGGGGGGCCATGAGAGGGCTGTAACGGAGGTGAGGGACCTGAAGGGGCCATGAGGGACCATGAAGGACCTGAGGGGACTGTGAGAGACATGAGGGGACTGTAGGGGGACCTGAGAGGGCCCTGAGGGAGCTAACCCCCTGCCCTGACGCCCCGTGCTGCCCCAAGGCCAGCAGCTTTAAGAAGCCGGCGCTGGGGGCCGCTGCCCAGAGGAAGAAGGCGAGTCCCGGAGCGGAGCTGCCCGAGGAGCAGCAGCGGGAGATCCGCCAGGCCTTCGAGCTCTTCCGCACCGACGGCAGCGACGCCATCGACGTCAAGGAGCTCAAGGTGCGGCTGGAAGCAAAGGGCTGACTGCTGGTATTAGAAACCAAACTTACCTTCAGCAGCACACGGCTTCCCTGCTTTCCCCCTTCTCCCCCCAGCATTAAAACCGGCTTGGTAAAAGGCACGTTACTGCAGCTCTCTCCTGCCGTTCTCAGGTGTGATTGGGGCCAGGCTGCCCAAAATTCACGGAGAGCTCTGTGTTTTCTGTCCTGACCCCTTTTCTGTCAGTAAAACATAAAAAAAAAAGGGTTTGTGCACATTGAAAAGGTGGGGGGTTTCCCTCTTGTCTTGCTGAGGATTTCGTGCTGCTTCTCCTCTCCCTCCTTCTTCCTTCTTCTTCCCTCAAAAAGAAAAATGTTTGTGCACATTGCAAAGGTGTTTTTCCCTCTTTTTGAGGATTTTAGGCTTCTTCTTCATATTATTAAACCTTCGAAAAAGGGTTTGTGCACTTTTAATGACTTATTTTGACCTTCCAGGTGGCCATGAGGGCCCTGGGGTTTGAACCTAAAAAAGAAGACATCAAGAAAATGATCTCAGACATCGACAAGGAAGGGACAGGAAAAATCAGCTTCGATGACTTCTTGGCAGTGATGACCCAGAAAATGGTATGGAAGGGGTAAAAATCAAATTAAAAGCAATTTTAATGTGTGATTCATTTCCTTTTGGGTTTCTGGCTGTGTCTCTGTCTCCCTTCAGCCTTGATGTGCAATTCCTGCTGACTGGGCTCCTTTCAATTTACACTTAAGGCTTTCTCAGCCTATCAAATCTTTTCTAACTTTATTTGGGGTGCTCCCCTACAACACAACCCCTCCTGATTTTTCTCCTCAAACTTCCTCCCCCTTCCTTTTTTTTTCAGGCTGAAAAAGACTCCAAAGAGGAAATCCTCAAGGCCTTCAAACTCTTCGACGACGACGAAACCGGCAAAATCTCCTTCAAAAACCTAAAACGTGTGGCCAAAGAACTGGGGGAAAACCTCACAGATGAGGAGCTGCAGGTTTGTCCCTGGGGGCTGTGGGATCTTCCTACTGGAGCCATAGGAAAATCCCCTCTTTTCTAGCAGGAAGAGTTTGTGTCCATCAGTGCAGGGTTTTGAGGTTGAGCCCGCACAGCTTTCCAAAAACGGGTTCTAATCCTGCTGAATCCAGTCATTCCAACCCACATCTAACTCCTGCTCCCCAATCTCTTGCAGGAGATGATCGATGAGGCAGATAGAGACGGGGATGGGGAAGTGGACGAGCAGGAATTCCTGCGGGTCATGAAGAAGACCAGCCTGTACTGAAGCCCAATTGGATTTATTCCGTTGCACACATTGTGTGGGTGCCTCATTTTTACCCCCCACAGTCTCTTCTTTCTTTTAATTCAGCACAAAAAACGGTGTCAGTTTTGTTCCAAGTGGACTGTTTTAAAGGTGTCTGTGAGCAGTTCCCCACCCTGTTTATGTGCTGGTTGCTGCTTAGGGATTGGGAGATGTTTACGCTGCTTTCAGTGCACAAATCACATTTTTGGGGCAGGATTCTGATCCTTTTCTGATTAAAAAAAAAAAAAAATCTGTCAAGCCCTTTATTTTGGTAAAGAGAGAACTCAAAAGCAGCCAGGGCCAATCTCTGTTCCCCAGCACCTGGAGTTTGGGGTTTGGTGAACTCTTTGTATTTGCAGGGATCAGCTTTTTATAATGTGTTTTATGGGTGTTATCTCCTCCCCCACCTTTCTAGGATATTCCTTAAAGTAAATAAATTGCTAACTTGTGTTCAGTTCACGTGGTCAAAGGTCTCCCTTTGCCAAAGGAAAAGTGCCAGACCTGCCAGATGAGAGTTAGGGGACAACTTATCCCCATGGTCTGGTATTTAAAGGGTGGATACAAAGATGGAAACTCTCTTTTCACTCCCTTTCAAAAGATGGGGGTAATGGGTACAGGCTTTTCCTGGGGAGATTCCCAAGGGACAATTTTCACCATGAGAACAATCAGCCATGGCAATAACCTGCCCAGGGAAGTGCTGGATGGCCCAGCTTTGGGGAGTTTTTAAGATCCATCTGGACAGGCAGCTGGACCAGCTGAGCCTTGAGGTGCTTCCAACCTGGAATTCTCTGGTTCTGTTCATACCAGAGAATTCCTCCTCTTCCCACTGGACCTGGACACTGGTTTGGATTTTTTCCTCTATGGTTTTCCCCCTCCCTGGCCCACCAGTGGCACTGAGAGCACATCCCGATCCAGAGGGAAAGGAGAATGAGCAGTGGAGTTCAGCCCACGGAAAACCAGCAGGTTTTATTTGGGAGCAGAACCACATTCCTTCCTTTTGCCACAATTCCCCTGTTCTGGGAACTGGGCGGGGGTGGGAGGCACTGAACTGGAGCCCTGGTACGGCAGGTTAGATGGGGGGCAGGGCAGGGTGAGATGGGATACTGGGAAGGAATTCTTGCCTGGGAGGGTGGGGAGGCCCTGGCACAGGTTGCCCAGAGAAGCTGTGGCTGCCCCATCCCTGGGAGTCTCCAAGGCCAGGTTGGAGCAGCCTGGGCTCGTGGAAGGTGTCCCTGCCCATGGATAAGGTGAGCTTTGAGGTCCCTCCCAACCCAACCCATTCTCTGCCTCTGCGCCAGCTCAGTGTGTGCCCACACCCCCATTCCTGCTGGATTGCCATGGCAGAACACCCACAACTCCAGCCTGTCCCTCCTCAGCAGCCACCGGGCGCTCTGGGAAGGGCGGGGAGGGGACACAGCTCCAGCTGGGTGGCACTTTTCCTGCTGACACGTGGGCATGAGAGGGGAAGGAGCTGGACTTTGTAACCTTCAGGCAAGCCTGACCACTTCCCTGACCATGCTGCCGATGCCGTCGTGGATCTCGTGGATGGGGGCGTTGCACATGAAGGCACTGGTGGTCACCAGCCTGTTGCGGGGGTCCACGTGGATCTCGGTGACGTGGCTGTTGACGTGTTTGCAGCCCAGCTCCCGCAGGGACTCGGCAGTCTTGGCGTAGGGCCACCTGCAAGGGAGGAGGGAATCAATCCACCCTGAGAGAAAAAGGGTGATGGTCTCTGCTTTAAAACCTGCTCAGTAGGAGCCAGATCTTTTCCTGCCAGAGGAGTTTCTCCAGGCTGTTAGACTGGGAACACCTCCAGATTACAGGGAGCTAAAAATCTGAAGTAAAACCAAAATAACCCTTGAGGTTCCACTGCTTGACTCTACCCATGCTAGACTTAGGATTTATGGAATCCCAGACTGGTTGGGGTTGGGAAAGAGCTTGAAGCCCATCCACTTCCACCCCCTGCCCACGATCATTGTGTGGTGAGTTACCTCAATCTCCACTTAATAATTGTTTCTTTTGGAATATAATTCCTTTGACACAGTGCACTACTACTCCATTTTATGCCATATTGTACTCTACTGGTACTTTTTAAGCTTCTACCCTGTGTAGCAAATAATTCTGATCAAGACCTTCCCTCATAATTAATTATTTATTTTATATAAATATCTCTGCTATAAATACCACTGAAAGACTGATATAAATATCATTGAAACCTGGGGGACAACGTGATTCAATCCCACCTCTATATTTCCTGAAATTCGACATCACCTGAGGCTGGGGTTAAACTTTGAGCCCTGGGGTCACTCACTTCTCACACTCAGTGTCGTGTCCCACTGTCACCTCACAGCCAGGGAAGAGTTTGGCCGCCAGCACTGGGGAGATGCAGCAGAGCCCGATGGGCTTCTGGGCAGCGTGGAAGGCCCTGAGCACGTCCTCCACCTCCCTGCAGACGCTGCAGTTCTTGCCTTGGGTGGCCCAAGTGCTCAGGTTTTTGGCCACTCCAAAGCCACCTGAGAGGAGAGAAGAGAAGCAGGTTAGGCTGGCAGGTGATAGCCCAGCAGGGATTTTCCCTGGGATTGCAGGATGGAATGCTAATCTGGATTTTGGAGGGGGTGTGGCAGCGCTTGGCCAGTGTTGATAAAGGAGTTAAAAACAGAGGTCCTGAACCTTGGGGAGCTGAGACACCCAAGCACCTCCCTTGCTTCCACTCCAGTGGGTCTGTGCTTTGCCCAACAGCTCTTTCCTGAGTGCTGGTGGGACACAATGGCACTTTTCCACTCTTAATCCCTGCTCCAAGCCTCACCCATCCCACTGGAATCCCACTTGCACTAGAGGTGGACTCACTGACCAAGCTTCCTGCTTTTGAGCCCCCCCTCTCTGTCCCAGCCTCTCCTGGGAAGGAAGAAAGGATAGTGGAGAGGGGAGTGATAGTTTTCCATTCAGGGAATGATCCTCTGGATGGCACAGAGGATCCCTCAGTTAGCAGGAACGAACCCTCTCCCCTTGGGATCAGCTTGGCATTGCCACGCTCTCCTTTGATCTGATTCCAATCCCTGCTTCCAGTTCCTGTCCAGCCCGTGACTCCTGCATCATTCCAGGCTTACCTGTGCTGTTCCCAAGGCTGTGGATGTGCAGGCCCCACACAGGTCCTACCTGGAATGATCAGGGCATCCAGCCCCTTGACATCCAGCTGAGCCAGATCCTTGATGTTCCCTCTGGCTATCCTGGCACTTTCCACCAGCACGTTGCGCTGCTCCGGCATCGGCTGCCCCTTCACGTGGTCCACCACGTGCATCTGGGAGATGTTGGGAGCAAAAACCTCTGCCTGGGGACAGGGGAAAGGGCTGTTGTCCTTCAGGAATGAAGGAGAAATGTGTGGAAGGTCACAGGGGGCAGGTGGAAATGCTGAGGGACTTGGTTAGGAAGGGACTTGGCTGGGGAATGCTGTGACCTTCACTGGCATCAGGTAGAGGAGGGAAAGGGGGGGAAAAGAGGGGGGAAAGGGAGGCCTTTTGTAGCTTCTGCCCAGGGACAAAGCAGGGAGCCCACACTGCTTGTTTTGGGGGCTGAGGAGCTCTTGGTGAAGCTGTTTCTTGGAGGTTTTCCCTCCCTATCCCAATGAATCCCCCTTAGTGGAGCAGCCCCAGTCGTGTCCCAGCTGCCCCACAGAGCCAGTGGATCCCTGTGGGAGCTGCTGTTCCACCACGAGCCTCCCTCAGAGACTTGGAGTTTTCTCTCCCCAGCTCCTGTTTTCCCAAAGCCAGAGTGTTCTTTTGGAAAATGTTTGCCCTTCCTCCAGCACTTCCAAGCTCACACGCAGAAACTGAGAGTGGAGGGTGACAAAAAGGTGAGGGAAAGATTTCTGGGGCTGAACAACCCGTGCAATTCCAGGCTGCACAGTTCAAGAGGGATGTTAAGGAGCTCGAAGAGGGCAAAGCCGGTGCCAGGGCTGGAAGGAACGTCCCGGGAGGGGCAGCTGAACACTTTGGGCTTGTCTAGTTCGGGCTAAAGGGAGCCGAGGAGCGACCTCCTGGCTCTCCGCAGCTCCCCGAGGAGATGGAGGTGCTGAGCTCTCCTCCCTTTCAACTGCAACATTCCCGTTTCCCGAGAAAAGCGGGGATTGAATAACGCCTGAGTTTCCTCCACTAGAGGCCCCCGCCGATCCAGGGATGAGGCAGGGATGGTGCTCCGAGCCCATCGGGTCGGGAACGGCAGGAGGGAAGCGACTCGAGGAGAGGAAAAGAGGCAAAATTACACCCTGTGGAGAAAACGTCGGGACTCGTCTCAGCCCCGAGCCGAAGAGAGCAGGCACAGGCGGTGGAAGGGTGGGGAATTGGGTTCATGTCCTCAGCAGGACATCCCCACTGTGCCTGTGTGTCCCACAGAGCCCTTCCCCTTCCCCAGGGAACGGCTCCGCCCCAGACACGCGGGCGGCTCAGAGCTGTGTGATGTTTTCCATGGGGTCCCTCCCTCCTTTTCCAGCCTCACCGCATGGCTCTCCTGACTAACGGTGTATTAGAGCAGCCTTTTTCTTTTTTACCCTTCCCCAAGTTCAACTCCAAAGAACTTGTCTATTCTCTCATCAGAGAGGGGGACTCTCCATCCCTGGAAGTGTCCAGGACCGGGCTGGAAGAAGCTCTGAGCAACCCTGGGATAGTGGAAGGTGGCCCTGCCCATGGCAGGGGGTGCAACTGGATGATCTTTAAGGTCCCTCCTAAACCAAACCATCCTGTGATTCTCCACTTCCATTTTCACTTCTAACCTCTGAGCTTTTAAAAAGCCGGATTTCAAAGAGCCCAAACCAATAACAGGTTTTTTAAACTGAAACAGCAGAGCAGAAAAGAGAGAATACAAGCCAAAAAAAAAAAAAAAAATAGAGAAAGCATTGAGGAAAGTCTGCTCAGGAAAGAGTTTGGAGACGCTGAGCCCAGAGATCCAAGCAAGCCCGTGTTCCAGCGGAGCTGTGCGGGGAGCAGGGAGCTCTCCAGGCTCACCGGAGCAGCTCCCGCGCTCCGCTGTTCCCTCGGACTCCACTCACTCGTGATTTGCAAGCGATGGGGAGCTTGTGGATTGTCGCGGAGACAAAGAGGAGAAGACTGAGGAGCAGAGAGGGGCAAAACCAGCCGGGGCTGGAGCCTCTTACCTGTGCCCCCTCCCTGCTGAGATGCACCAGCACAGCCGAAGCCTCGTGGATCTCGCTCCCATCGTAGACCCCACAGCCAGCCAGCACCACAGCCACCCTCTTCCCCATGGAGCGCCGGAGCAGGAGGATTCCCTGGAGAGCCCCGAGGCGCTGCTGTGAGCTCTGTTCCCCACCCGGAGTCTTTTATAGCACAATCCCTCCCCCAGGAGCAGGTGGGGGGAGCCAGGAGGGCTGGGCTGAATTTCTCGCTGGCAAGAGGGTTTTATTTCCAGTTCCACGGGCAGGGCATATAAATATTATTTGTTTCCTCAACTGGCTGCTCCCTCACAGATCTTCTTCCCAGCACGTTGCCTCCAAAGCAGCCCCAGCTGACTTGAGGTGCTCAACAGAGCAGCTGTGTTTTTCCTTTTTAGCTGTTGATTTTCCATTCTAGTTCAGACTAAAGCACCAAAACCTTTGCATAGGAGATGCTGTCAAGGGGAGCCTGCCCAGAGCAAGTGTTGAAGCCAGTGAGTTCCTCTCTGGGCCCCATTTTTTAAACCCTAACACTGCATAGGCTGCCTCAGGCTTAACAGAAAGATTTCCTTTCCTGACCCTGAATGTTCTTTTCCTCAGATCCCACTTCTGGAGGGCAGATGTTCTGCACTCAGCTGGAGTTGTTCCTGGCCTGAGGTTGGAAATTCATAGTCAAAAAGTCATAGGATATCCTGAGCTGGAAGGGACCCACAAGGATTATCAAGTCCAGCTCCCGGCCCTGCACAGGACACCCCCAAAATCCCACCTGAGGGTGTTGTTGAGAGGGGTAACTGGATTCTTCCTCAACAGCACCACCTCTCCATTTGGCAGGGAAGTGGTGCCAGGAACTGGCAGAGCCCTGAGCTCCGGAGGGGCACTGGCAGCAGATTGAACATTGTCTGAAGCTCATCCTTCCCCGCCCTTGCTCTGCTCACACCAGAGATGACCCTGGACCTTTCTCTCAGCTTGGCCTGGCGAAATAACTGCCCTGTCCAGGCTGACTTGCCATCCTTCCTGAGGGAACAAAACACCTCTGCAACAGGAGTGCAGAATGTGTTCCAGGGTTATCTGTGAGATGTGTTCCTTGGGGCTCTGTCAGATTTGGGAGAGACATGAAGTATATCCTGTGGGTGATGAACTACTGCTTTGGCAAGTTGGTTACTCAGAACAGGCTCACCACTTCATTTACTGCATGGATCTCCCAAAATGAGGGATTTTAGGCACCTGTACAAGCAGGAACAAAAAACGTGAGAGAGGACTTGCAGTCCCACAGGCTTTGCCTCTTAGTTACTTTTATTGCCCAGAACATGAATTAAAATGTGAGATATGCATTAAAAAGACCCAAAGCCTTTTCACTGCTGTTTGTTTTGCTATCCAAAGAATTCTATCGATGGTTTAGAGGTGTATTATCTCCTCTTGCGTGCAAAACCAGCTGTGAATTATGCTGCAAGTCCATCAGGTAGTTTCTTCTTCCTCCAGCTGGTCCAGGAGCAGTCCTGTTAGTGCTGGAACAGAGACAGCCAGAGGTTGGGGATTTAAACAATCTGCTTGCTGCAAACCACATGGTTTAGCTCTGCCTGTTGCAAACTGACTGGCCTGGTTCCCCTTACTGGTTTAATTGGTTTGGTGTAAGTGCACAAACTGGGCTTGTCTCTGTCTCAACAGAAGTGTCAGCCCTAAAGATCTCCCAGCAACAGAGATTTGTGATAAGTAAAACTTTTCAGCAGGGTTGTTCCGTCCTGGGTAGCAGCACCTGCCCACATTTATTGTGGTGGAGACACTGGGGTTTGATATTAACTCCTGGCTTTAATCTGGGTTTTGATATTAACACCTGGCTTTAATCTGCATTGATATTCTTGGGAAGAGGGCTGGGAAGGAGGATTTTGCCTCAAAGCTCCTCCTGAAGGGTGAACACAGTTAAAGGGAACTGTCTTCCTGAAGAAACCAGGGAAGTCTGGGAGTCATGATGGGATCCAGCTGCTCAGTGGAATCCATCCTGCTCCAGCTGGCTCAGGGAGTGGGATTTTTTGGCATTACTTGTGGACCCTGGAGGTTGTTCCAGATGCTGCTGCGGGTCTGTCACCTCTCAGATGATCCCACAGGCCGGAATTTGAGCTCCAGCAGCTCCCAGTGCCATTTCCAACAGCTTTTCCCTTCTTCAGCCCTGGCTGTGGAGCAGGATCCACTGAGAGGAACATCAGAGCTTCCTCCTGGAGGGAGCACCAGGAATATCCCTGACCGGCCCAGGAATATTAATGAGGAGCTTTTCACGCTGTTCTGCATCTTTTAGCTTGTCAGGAGGGTGGAATTTGCTGTAACTGGGGCTGATGGGAACAAGAGCTGTTCCCATTCTTTCGTGGGAGCAACCCCCACACTGGTCCCTCACCCACAAATGAAAAGATGGAGGGATGTCCAGGGCCAGGCAGGTGCTGCCCCTGTTTCCCTCCGAGCTCGGTCAGCTCTCACAGAACAGTTCTCTGCCCAGTTCCCACCTGGCCTGTGACCCAGTGGGATCCCAAGGCCAGTGCCCACTGCTTTCTGCAGCCCCTCCTGCACCCACAAACACCTCTCTGCCCTCCCTGAGCACACGTTCTCTGTGGGAAGCAGCAGGAAGCTGTCGGCAGGTCCCTCGCGTCACCTCTGGGGACAGCAGCGATCCTGGCAGTGCCTGACACTCACTCGAGGCCGGCAGGGCTCCTCTGGACAGGATGGGATGGATGTGGAGCCAGAGATGGACAGAAGTCACCTTTAAGGGGCTGGACTTGATGATCAAGGCTTGGACCTGATGATCTCAGAGGTCCTTTCCAACCCGGCTGATTCTGTGATTTGGGGTAAATAATGTCAGAATTGAACATACCTGACTGCGTGTACTTGTTGGTAGCTCGTTAACCTGGCACTGCCACTTACCAGGGAGTGTAGGAATGTTACAGCCCTGTGATAATGCAGCTCCTGTCTTCTATCCCTGCATCTCTGCAGGCAGGGAGAGGCCTCTGCTCTTTCATATTAAAATAGGGTGGTGGTGCCAGGCATTCAGAGCTGTGACAGGGACAAACAGCAGCACCGCGGCCAGGAGAAACAACCGGTCCCCAAGGAGCTCCTGGGCTTGCAAAGTGCTTGTTTGCTCCAGCAAGGTGGGTTCTTGCAAAAACCTTCGGGTTTAACCAGTGCGATTTCCTCGCTGGCAGCAGCGAAAAGGCAGCGCCGGCAATAAAACCCTCAGCCTTATTTTTTTCAAGCGTCTTTTCTAACAAGGGTTAATCGACAGCAAAACGAAGAGGCCCTCGGGGGGAGCTCCCGGCGCCCCACGCTGAGTCACGGCCCCAAATTTATCGCGGCCCGAGAGTTCACTCGCGTTTCCTCCCGCACGCACGGAGAGAGCGGCTCGAACAGAAGAGTTTGTTTGGAGGTTTTGTTGGTGTGTTGTTTTTTGGGTTTTTTTTTTGGTAGGGAAAAGGGGTGGAGAGCGGGGAGGACCGAGGGCCAGCCGCGATGCTTTGGTTATAAAGAGCATGGGAGGAAAGCCGGCGGCAGTGCCGCCCTCGGCCGGGGCTGCGCGCACACCGCGATGGGCGACAGCGCTGAGTCACTGCATTCCTGCCTCGGGCTCCTGGGCATTTCCGCAGGTAGGGATCTGTCCTGGCTCGGGATTGACTTTCCTGGGCAAACCCCCCCCCCCCCCCCCCCCCCTTTCTTTAGCAGAGGGGCTAAAAAGAGGCTGTTTGTTCGCCAGCTGCGCTGCCTCTGGGTGATGCTTTTCGCTTCCCCGCGCCTGTTTCCAGCGGCCAACAAAATATTTGTCTTGGCCGCGAGGTGCTGGCGTGGAGTTTTGTGCCCGTTCCATCCTGGGTGGGAAGCAAATCCAAACGTGTTTTTTTTTTTTTTTTTTTTTTGTAGTCGTTGGAATAAATCATCTGGATTTGGATGCGCTCTCCCCTCCCTCTCCCTTCTCCAGCCGTTCCCCTGTTTGCCATGTTCACTCCCTCTCATATTTCCTAGTTCTATGTTTTCTGCCTCTTTGCATTTTGGGGCTGGTTTTCTGGTGGCACGGCGTCTCTGGGAATACCCGAAGGATGTGTGTGTGTGTCTGTCTTTTGTGTAACTGAAATCATGGATTTTTCCCTTTTATCTGGCGATGGGGGAGCCCTTTCAAACACTTGCATGGAATCCCAGAAGGGTTTGGGTTGGGAGGGACCTTAAAGCCCATCCAGTCCCACCCCCTGCCATGGGCAGGACCACCTTCCACTATCCCAGGTTGCTCCAGCCTGGCCTTGATGGAATGGGAACATCCACAACCTCTCTGGGCAACCTGAAATGATTATTTTCAAGTTTTATAAAAACCAGGCACCCAGAAAGGAGTGAGACCTTTGGGCACAAACCAAGTCACAACAATTAGATTTTCCTATTTGCAGATCTTGTACTGTTATTTTTCCTCTGTTCCCTGCTCTGTCCACCCTGCTCCTCTGCTGGTTTTTTGGGCCAGGTTTACAAGCTGCTTCTCCTTTCCCACAGGATCACTCCTGCTGGCTGTGCATTTCTACAGCTCACCCAGAGCAGCCCCTCTGATCCCCAGCACAGCTCTTGGAATCCTTCTGCTCATTTTAGCGGCTCTTTTGGCCTATGCAGGTAAGATTTGGGGGTTGGAAGGTTCAAAGCCTCCCCCCTTCCACAGCTTGGCACGTGCTGGGGCTGATACAAACCACAGCATCCTCAGGGATCACTGAGCCCTTCTGGAATTTGCTGCCAATTTGGGCTTCCAGCCCAAAGCAGTCTGTGATTCTGTGTCAGCACAGCACATGTTTCCTATGTAGGCAAGAGAAGAAATCAATGTTTGTGCTAAACAAGGATCTCTGAGAGTTTCAACGCGCTGAATCCATGATTCCTCAAAAAAGCGTTCCCAGGCTTTCTGAGAGTGCTTTCAGCATCCATGGTTTGGAGTGTCCGTGTGTACATGCCAGGAGATCGACTTAACTGAGAGAAAAAATCACTGCCTGTAGCAAAGTCCACACTTTTTAGAGTGAATGTTGAATTATTTCTCGTTTTTAATGAGGACATTAAAATCAGACGATCACGGAATCATAGAATTGTTGGGAAAGACCTTTAAGATCATCAAGTCCAACCATCAAGCAGCATCACCACCGTGTCCACCACTAAACCATGTCCTCAAGTGCCACATCCACATATTTTTTGAACTCTTCCAGAAGTGGTGACTCCACCACTGCCCTGGGCAGCTGTGCCAGGGCTGGACAACCCTTTCTGTGAAGAAATTTTCCCAATATCCAACCCAAACCTGCCCTTGAAGCCGTTTCCTCTCATCCTGCCCCTTGTGCCCTGGGAGAAGAGCCTGACACCCACCTCACTGCATCCTCCTGCCAGGGAGTTGTAGGGGTCTGAGAAGGCCCCCCTGAGCTTCTCCAGGAGGAATCTTGCTCCCCACGGGATCCGTGCAGCTCCAGGCTGGCACAGCCATCCCGGCCAAACTCCCCCTTCCCACATCCCACTGGGGGAAAAAAATCACAGCCCCGTGTCTCTATTTGCTCCTCAGGGATCCGGAGAAACCCCAGGAATGCCTCCCTGCTGCCGTCCCTCTGCCTGACCATCTCAGCCTTCTGGTGTGGCTACGGAGTCACCTTCATCCTGGCCGGGCAGGGCGCGCTGGGCGACGCCGGGGACCTCCGTGACGCCGTGGGGCCTGGCCTGGCCACCTTCACCGTGGCACTGCTCCTCGTGGCAGTGGTGGGATTGCTGTGCAGAGAGCCCGTCCTGGCCCTCATCTCCGGGGCCACCTCCCTGGCCAGCGCCCACGACCTGGCCGCACGTCACAGCCGCGCCTTGGGCTCCTCCGCTGTCGCTTGCAATTACCTCATTGTCTGCTTGCTGGGGGGGTACTTTGCCCTGGGGAGGGCTCTCTATTTCCTGACCAAAGGGAAAATGGCCCTCCCTGGCACGGATCTGGCCGAGAGAAAGAGCCGTGAGCAGGCCCACGGCGCCGGTGGCAGCACCAACCCCTTCGCAGCCGCGGGGCTGATGCTGAACATGCTGTCGGCCGGGGTGTTCGGCTGCAGGCTCCTGGGCATCACCAGCAAACTCTCCATGGGCCAGGTGCCCTGGCTGTGGGCAGCTGGCGCCTACCAGATTGGCATCTGCATCTTATCCTACCGTGCAATGGATGTTCTGATGGCCACATCCTTTGGATTCACCTCCATCCTCAAGTTTGCTGGAGGCTACTGCCTCTTGTACCCAGTGTGGCAGCCGGAGGAGCCATCGTTCCCTACCCTGTTCCTGGTGGTTTTCTCCATTCTTTTTGCCGTCCTGGCTCTCTTCCTCTCCCTCAGGAGCCCTCTGGACGGCCTGTATTTGCTGGTTTATGTGGCCTCCTGCCTCGCCTTGGCTTGCAACCCCAGGGGGTTTTTCGCGAGTGGCCCCCAAGGCGTGGCCGTGGCCGTTTTTGTGGCCTCAGCCCTGGTGGCTCTCGTTCACCTGTACGACGTGAAAGCAGGGGCCAAGATCCCCCCAGGGAAGAGGAAGGGGGCTGTGAGGGCCCTCCTCGCCCGCAGCAGTTTCCTGAAGCTCCGTGAGGGGCCAGACCTTCACGCTCCGTACCTGGGCTACTCCAAGTATGCCAGTGCAGAAGCCCTTGCCTTTGCGTGCAGTGTCCTGGCTTCTTCTGCTCTGATGGCCACAGGAGACCCCCAGGCTCCCCTTGCCACCGTTGTCATTCCCTGGGTGGTGGTAGCTGGTGGGATCCTTAAGCTTCTGGGCGGCTCAGTGGCCTTTGCCCGGGGTAAAACCCTGGAGAGCAGTGCCTTCATCCTCTACGCCGTCATGTGGATCATCTGGGGCCTGGCAAGATACGGTGGCCTCTACGGCACCGCCAGGAGCTTCCACTCAGCAGTGGGCATCGCTGCCTTCATGCTCTTCAACGGCTTCGTTGTCTTCTGCACGCTCTTCCTAAACATCACCTGGTTCTTTTACTCCCTCACGTTCATGCTGGTGGCTCTCAGCTTCTTCCTGGATGCCATCCACGCCCTTCCCGCTGGATATGACGTGGCTGCCACCCTCAGCTTTGGGCTGGTCAGCTTTTACTGCTTCCTGTCTGCCCTCTGCAGTGACATTTTCCAGGGTCCCTGCTTGCCCATGGGAGGGCCCCTCGTGCAGCTCGGTGGTGCGGGGGGAGGGACGAGCAAGTGCCTTCACCTGCCCGCCAGGAAAGCGTCCTCAGTCAAGAGGATTGCAGGTAAGGGGAGAGCAGAGGGCACAGTGTGGGGGTGGAGGGGTGTTTGGGGTGAATTTGTAGCAGAGCAGCTGTTTAAAGGACATGTTTCCAATCACAGAATGGTTCGGGCTGGAAGGGACCTTAGAGCTCATCTCGTGCCACCCCCTGCCACGGGCAGGGACACCTTCCACTAGCCCAGGTTGCTCCAAGCCCCGTCCAGCCTGGCCTTGATGTGGAAACCAGGATAATCTGGAAGCATTTTGGTGAAGTGGGCCAAGCTAGGAGAGTAATTGTCTGAGTTTAGCAGCAAATTCTCTCCCATATAATTTCCCTATCTGTTCATCCACTCTGAACTCCAGGAATCCTCTGAGCTGGAGCTGCCGCTGAAAGCTCTGTACAGACAAGTGGCACCAGTGCCTGTTGCTTGCTCTCTCCACTTCTGGCCCTGAGGAACGTGGCCCAGAACTCCCCTAAGTGCCAGATCTGCCCTGGGATGAACACTAGAAAAATGCACTGCCAGAGGAAACGCTTTGCTAGTTGGGAAAAAGAGAGGAGAGCATGGAATTGACTGGTTTGGCTGGTTTGGGACAACTCTTCTGTGGGAATTGCAGCCCCTCACTCAGGGGGTTGTGCCCTGTTCTCGTGCCCACAGATATCCTGAGGAGTGGAGGGACCTGTGGCATCCCCACAGACACCGTGTACGTGCTCGTGGCCGCCTGCAACCGCCCTGATGCCGTGGAGAAAGCTCACAGGTCAGTCCTTGAGGTCTAAAGAAGCTTCTAGAACTCAGAGCTGCTGGGGGGCGCTGGCTGCAGCCGGTCAAGGGCAAGGCAGCTCTGCCTTGGTGGGAACAGCAAGGTGGGGGAGAAGACCCAGATGAGGGAAGGGGAGAATAGAGCTGTAATTGTCTTCTAGGAGCTGCTCCTGGCAGGGGGTGGAGCTTTGTAAATTGGGGACCACCAGAAACCTAGAGAGTGGCAGGCGGGGCAGGGGGTTATTCCATAGATTTGGAGGCACATGTTGTCACATCCAAAACCTCTCTTGGGACAACAGGCTCTTGCTTGGACTTTTGTGAGCAGGTGAGACCCTCCCCCATATTGGCGGGGTTTCCTTAGAAATTGGGATTTCCACCCATCCCTCTGGAAAACCTTGATTTGGAGAAAACATTCCTGGTTGGGAATAGTCATGGTTGAACAGTCCTGCTTTTACTACAGACTGGTGCCCTGGGGCAGAGCCTTCACACCTTGTCTTAGCTCTAGCTCTCACTAACACAGTTGCCTTTTCATCTTCAAGTTAAATCCCCCTCTGAATTCCAGACTCCTCTTTTCTCCCCCCTTTTCCAGGTCCAAGCGCCAGGCTCAGGATCGCCCCATGTCCCTCTGGATTTCCAGCCTCAAGCAACTGGAACCTGCCAAGCATCTGTTCACTCCCCTCCTCTGGGACTTCATGGAGGCTGCCTGGCCATCTCCCATCAGCTTGGTGGTTCCCAGAGGTGAGGAAGAGCTCTTGATTCCGAGTTCTCTGGAGAGAGCTTTGGCTTGGAAACTCCATCTCCATGGAGTTATCCTGGAGATGTCCCGTGGAGACACTCCCAGTGAGATCGCTGTGTTTGGACTGATCTACCTCCATAAGTGCCCCTTGACTCTTCTGCAGGTGAGTGGGTGGATTTCCTGGGAATGAAGGACTCTGCTAAGTACGTGGGGACCCCTCAGAGTGTCGCCATCCGCATCCCCGACTGCTCTGTCACCACGCACCTCATCGACCTGGTGAGTGCCACAGCAGGCTCAGCCCGGCTGGGACTGATTTTATGGCAGCAAAGAGGGTAAAAGGAGCAACCACCAGGTCAGAAAGCCAGGAAAAAAAGGCCATGAACAGACATTCTGTCTTATTTCCTGCACTGCCCTTGCAAGCACAGGCTCAGCTGAGGCCACAGGAGCTTCAGAAGGTCCAGAAAGTGGCCAGAGGGACCGGGATACCCTAGGACAGACATTGTAGGCCTTTGGAAAACAAAAAGCTGTTTCATGATCCTCTTCAGCAAGCCCCAATTTAACCGAGTATCAGACACCCCAACACAGTTTGGTGGGACTGCAGTTGCCTCCAAAGCAGGAGTTGTACCTGGGTGAGCCCCACCAAGCTCTCTTTGGAGCCACAGACACTCAGGAGTGAAGTTTTGAGCTCAAGCTGCCTGTTTGATCCGGCAGGACCTGCTCAGAGCTCTCATTCCCGTTTTTCTCTGCCCAGGTCGGGCCCATTGTGGTCACATCAGCCAACCCAACGGGAGAGGCCGACACCACCCACCACAACCAAGTGTATGCCAAGCTGGGGGACAAGGTAAGAGGGGCTCTCTGCTCCCAAGGGGTGTGGGCATGGAAGGACACAACCACTTTGATCCCAGTAGGCAAACCAAGGGATGGTATCAAGAATCTTGGAAAGCATCTCTTTAAAAAAAAAAACAAAACAAAACATCTCATGGATGCTCCTTGTGTTGGTGTCACAGTAAAAGAACATTTTAAGCTCCAGGGCTTGGTTGGAAACCAGAATTGTTGTGATTTGCACTGTGTAGTTATAGCTTGGCAATGTGATGCTGTTTATCTTCCAGCACAGGGTGAGATGAGCAACAAAAAAACCCTCCTTTTCTTACGAGCAATCAAACCCTGATGCCTGGCTGTGCCAGGGCTCCAGCTGGCACTGGGCTGTGAGAGCACAGGGGATTCCCATTTAAAGCTGGGGCTGCTCTAAAACTGGTGCCAAGCTTCAAAATATTCCTGGCTTTTAGGACTTTCCCACATTCTGGAAGTACCATGGTCAAGGGACATTCATTGTCTTCAGTTGGCTCAGGGTGGATCTCAGGGAAAGGTTCTTCCCCCAGAGGGTGGTTGGCACTGAACAGGCTCCCCAGGGCAGTGGGCACAGCCCCAAGGCTGCCAGAGCTGCAGGAGGGTTTGGACAACGCTCTGAGGGACAGGGGGGATTGTTGGGGTGTCTGTGCAGGGCCAGGAGTGGGACTGGATGATCCTTGGGGGTCCCTCCCAACTCAGGATATTCCATAATTCCATGATTTCACCGCTAAATCCCGAGAGTTCCACACTTTGTGGCATTTCAGGGAGGGCAGTTTTAAACAACAGCTGGTACAAATCTCTCACTGGTAACTCCTCAAAAAGCTGGGTTTACACCCATTTTCTTGGTGGATGGGACTTCTTCAAAGCCTCTCAGCTGGTGCAAACCTGTCTTTGCTGTTCTGCTGCCCTGCACCCACAGAGCCCTCTCTGGCTTTGCTCTGAAGTTCCTTCACCCCCCACTTTTGCTGGTGTGGGGAAGGAAGGAGCAATATTGCCTTGGATAATAATTACTTGCTGTTGAGAGGGGAAACCTTTTTTCCCCAAGTGCCTGAAGGGATTTTGGTGTGGAAATCTTGCTCTCCAGGTGGATGCAGTCCTTTGTGACGGGCCCTCTCCAGAGAACATCGCCTCCACCGTGGTGGACTGCACCAAAATCGACAGTGGGAACATTGGCTTCTTCAGAGTCGGCCTCGTCCCCAAGTCTCAGGTAAAATTCACCTGGATTTTACTCCTCTTCCCTTTCTCCATCAAGTGGGTTCCAGGCTGGGGGTTTCTCAGCTTTATAAGGAGATGGAGAAATCTATGGCAGCGTGAGGAGCTGTCACAGGGGGGGTGGGAAGGAGAACAGCAGAGCTGCACGTGGCTCTGTCCTGATCCTGCTCCAGGCCGCCCTCACACCTCTGTGCGCTCCTCTGGGAGCAAGGTGAGGCTGATTCATCCATGGAAAGAGCTCCAAGATCCAGGGGGCCTCCATGGGACAGGCACTCCGTGCACACCCTTCCCAGAGACTGCTGAGCAGACAGAAATGGGTGTCATCCCAAAACTGAGCCCAGACACAAAGCTTGGAAGAGAAGATCTAGCTGAAGATGTCCCTGCCCGTGGCAGAGGGTTGGGCTGGATGATCTTTAAAGGGCCTGGATGACCTTTAAAGGTCCCTTCCATCCACACTTTCATGATTCTGTGGTTATTTCAGCTGCTGACCCGCTCACAGCCGTGTTTGCTCCTTCCAGGTGCTGCAGATACTGGAGCAGGTGCAGAAGAAGCACCAGGTGGCCCCCAACAGTGGCACTGGCCCCGTGAAAGGCCACGAGGAAGCCCTGGGTTGTAGCCACGCTGTGCCCAACGGGATGGGCAGGGCTGCCTGGGTGGGGACAGGGCCAGCACAGCCCCCTGAGGACGACTGTGAGCATCACACTCGCCTCTGAGCCCAGGCAGCTCCAGCCATGCCCTGCTCAGTGGGAAACCATTTGCTGGAAAATGACCTATCATTGGGGACTGGGAGAGGTTTTCCAGCTGTGGGGGTGATTCATTCCTCTTTCTCTGGACACTGCTAAAATATCCCGGTGCTGGCTGGCAAACCACAGTCACCCAGGAGGAAAATTTTCACTTGAGGGACACTGCCAGCTTTCACTGGAGGGCAGACATGACCAAAGCAAGGATTATTTTGGTGCCAGGCTGGCCCCAGAGTGCCAGAGCTTTATTCCTTTCACTGGGAGGTGATCCTTTTCGGTTTGGGGCACGGAGGGAGGTGAAGTGTTTCAGAATTAGGGGGTGGGGGGAAAACACTGCATGAAACTTGAATCGCCCAGTCAGTGAGGTGCAAAAAGACCATTCCAATCAGCAAGTTCAACCCTTCCCTCAGGGCTGCCAAGGCCACCACTAAGCCATTGTCCCCCAGTGCCACGTGAAGGGGCAGAGGGAGGGGGAAGCTGTGCTCGGGTGCTGTGCTGTGGGCACAGTGGACTTGCTGAAATTGGGGAGGCAGAGGGTGGTGGGATGGGGGGGTCTTCTGCCTTGTCTTCTTTAGAATGGGGGTCACCTCCTCTGACCCCCTTTTGGGAGTCTTTCCTCTGCTGGGAGAGCCCAACACTCTAAAGCAGTGCCATTCCCTGGCTGCCATCTGCTGCATGTCACAGTCACAGTCAGGGGGGAATGACCTTTTTGGTGACTCCAATAATAGATCCTTAGAGGTGCTGGAGAATTAGGGAAGACTCTCCCCTCCCTTCCCCTTCTCTGCCAAGGCTGAATTTCAGGAGGGCAATCTCCAGGTGTCTGAGGAGGCCAGGAGCTGGTCTCTGGCCTTACAGCCCATCTGCTCACATCTCTTGGCACGGCTCTTCCAGAGGGCAGATTTCCCAGGATCAGGGGGAGGAATTGCAGCCACTCCAGGCAATCATTTGTCCTCACCAGGGGCCCAATTTCTGTGCAGACTCATGAAATATGGGGAACAAACCAGAGGAGCTGGAAATGTGCCCTCACCCATGATCTTGATGGCATCATGGAGATGGGATGGGGGGAGACTCTTTAGGAAGGACAGGCAGGGTAGATGAATTCAGTGCAGAGTGGGAGCTGCTGACCAGGAGGAGATGGAAAGAGAGTTTCAAACCTTCATGGTGGGTTTTCCCTTGGCAAACTGTTGCTTGTTTCACCTCCAAAAACTGCTGATCTTATTCTTTACCTGATTCAGGTGCAAGGTGCTGATCAAACTCCAGCTGAAACCAATCCTTTGAGTCATTGGTTTCACCTGGAGTTGTGCTGGAATCCAAGGACAAATGCTGTGCAGTCAGAGGAGCTCAACCTCTACAAACTACAGCCAAACCAGGTCTTCTCAGCTTGTTCTCACAGAGCTGGCTCTCTTCCTGCAGAGAAAAGTCCAGATTAATTGAGTTTGTTAAATAATATTGCTGGTCTACTTCCTGTATCTCTTTGGAGTTTATTACAACTGGTTTTTAGAAAGCAATAAAAGATTTTCAATCTACTGAAACCATCCCTGTGCAATCATCTACGGCAAGAACTTGGCAAAAACCTGGTGGGTCACCAGGTTCTGGATGTCAATGTGTGTGTGGGGAGGGGGGGGTCCCTGGCCATGAAGGGTCCAAAAAGGATCTTAGGACAGAATCAAATTGTGATGCTTCCCTGGGTGGGGAAGAAGAGAGAGAGAGGGAAGATAACTCCTCACACCCAACCCCTGGTTCCAGCACAGCAGGGCTAAATTTCAACCCTTAACTCAGCAAAATAAAACCCCTAAATCCCAAAATCTGAGGGAATACAGTAAGAAGTGTGAATTTGGAGAGAGGATGAAGCGTTTTGGTGTGAGGAAACGGCCCCAGCTTAAATGTGCCAAATAACGAGGTGTTTCAGCGTGCCACAAATTCAAAGTGGCTTAAAAGCAAGGGATTCTTCACCTGACATCTCACCCGGGGCCAGTTTTTCCTCTTTCTCTCTCTGGTGTTTGTTTTTTGCTCACAGAAAATGTGGACTGCAGGCTCAGGACGCTGGGGGAACCCTTTCTCCCTGTGCTGTAGTGAGGCAAGGAGAGATTTCATTGCAAGGCTCTCCTGTGCACCAGCAAACTGGACAGAAATAGTGTAGGGAGGAGACTTAAATGTGATTTTTCGGTTAAATCAAGGCAAGAAAATTTTTCTCCCATTTCCACAGTTTTCCCCAGCACTTCAGGGGAAGCAAAATGTTTCTAAGGAGAAGTGGAGAGCGATAAAAGAAGTTGCTGTTTGAAGTGGCAAATCCAAAACACTTCGGTCAGAAAGCGCCGAGGGAAACATTTGAACACTTTGGTACCAAAAAGATCCATTTTTGAGGTATGGACAAGAGTGGTTTCCATCACTCTAAACATGGAGGTTATGATCAAAAAAAAGGGTGTCCAGGCCCCCCTCAAGGGAGATTCTTCACCGAGCCCTTGTGGTGCTGCTCCTCTCAACGCTCCGTCCGTGTTCCAGATGAGAGGGCCAGGAGGGAATGTGGGATCCAGCACAGGAGGAGTTTGGAGTGAGCGAGGAAAATCAAGGGAATTCGGCGAAACCAATTCAATTCTGGTCGCGCTGTCGATGTCTTGGAGGCCCTTTAGGCCTGAAAGGTCACCCTGGGAGACAAAATAACCTGGTGAATGGGCCCCTTTGTGCCACAGCCAACGCTTCAATCCCACTGGGGTTGGAAGCAACCCAGGAAGAAGGGCTGGCCCACCTTGATTTTTGCCCTTTGTGGAGTCTAGACATCCCTGTCGATGGAAAAGAGGAGGGAAAAAAAAAAAAGAGAATGGAAAATAAGTGTGTTTTCCACAGTCTCAGGAAAAACCAACTCACCCTCCTGAGAATAGAGCGGGCCATAGGAACAGGAACTGACTCAGGGACATGGCCAAGGGTGGGCACAGCGGGTCAGAGAGGAAGGGCAGCATCACAGCTTGGGTGACACCAGCCCAGCAGAACCTTGGAGACGTGGGCAGGGTCAGGAATGTCCCTTGGGGTACGGGAGAACCAGGAACTGGGGGCTCTGTGGGGACGTAACAAGTGGGAGTCGGTGATCTGGGAGGTCTCCTCCCACCTTAATTCTGTGATTCTATGGCCTCTTGTCTTTGGGTCTTGCTCCTGAAATAGAGGAGGCAAAGTCAGGCTTGGGATGGGATGTGGGGTGGAGGAAAAGGCAGGAGCAAAGTCCTGCTTGACTGGGTGATCTTCAGTCAAACCCAGTTGAGGGCCATGACCTGCAGTGGGTTTATGTCCCACTCACCTCACTTTGTTCTTCCTGCTCCTCCTCCCCATGCCAGGAAGGGCCTAGGTTTATTGCTACAACCCCCCCCAGATAATCAGTTCTGTAGCTTTTGGGAGAAAATACCACAAACAATGAAGAAACGGCTTATTTATTATTGCTGAGCTTCAGTAAATACCCGGCTCTAAATCCCTTCTCTGACACAGCAGTGATTCCTGGAGGTCCTGCAACATCCTTCCTCCTCTGAGCTCCCGTGTGCCACTGCTGGTTTACACCAAACCATTGCTCTCTGAGCTTCTGGATTCGTGTGGATGCTCATAATCATTCTCACCAGGACCTTGTGCAGCCAGGGACAGGTCCCTAAAGGAGCAGGATGTGCCCAGGTTTCCTTTCAGGACACTCTTCCTCACAACCTGGAGGGTGGGTGAGGACCAGCAGCACCAACTCTACCCCTGAGTAGAGTCACTCTCACCTTATCTCCTCAAAATTCCCCTCTGGCATCCCACCCCCTGCACCCTTCCCAAGGATCCTGTTGTCCCACACTGGGTTATCAGATTCTCCACGACCCAAGGGGTACCACAGATCCTCCTCCTTCCCACCCCTAAAATTGCTCCAGGCCCTCCTGCCTTCGCTTGCAAAACAAACCAAGTCCTACTTGGAAATTCAGGAATCTTTTGTGGAAAGTAGAAATGGCCAAAGAGGTGGAGAAATAAAGAAGGGATAAGGAAGGAGAAGACATGGAAGCTTGCTGTTGTTTTGGGAGTGAAGAAGAAATCAAGTCCAGAAGGCAGCAATGACAGTTGGACTTGATGATCTTCCATGTCTTTTCCAGCCTCTGTGAGTCCGTGATTCCATAACTGCTGGGACACAGGAAACAGGCTCCTTGGCCACTGAAACACCTGGAGTGGGGTTTCCACAGACAGATTTAATGTTGAGCCTGTTCTCCACCTCATTTCCACCTCTAGCTCTCCAAAGACACAACAAGATGTGAGTCTGGGGAAGGTGAAGGCCTTGGCCATGTCTCTTCCTGGCTGTTCTTCTAAGGGGGAATGGAGCAGTTTTGGGGGGCTCATAACTGAGCAAGGTGTCCCTGCCCATGGCAGGGGGTGGGACTGGATGGGCTTTAATGTCCCTCCAATCCCATTCTGGGATTCCAGGATCACTGAAGAGGGGCAGCTGGTGGGTCCTTCGAGGTCACCTTGTCTGGGGTGCTTTAGGTTTTGGAGACTTTCTGAACTTTTTGGACCATAAAACAACAATTCCTTCTGTCTCTTGAGGAAGTGAATCCCACCAGAGCTTGGAGGAAGGGTAAGAGTCGGGTGGGAGGGGTGTGTGTGTGTGTGTGTACAATGAGCACTAGAGATGAGGTTGTTTTTTTTCCTGCTGCTCCGCACAAAATGATGTTTAAATTGATGAAATTCAGATACACGGAGTGATGACCTCACTGCCTCCGGGAAGATTCTTCTCCTGACTTGTAAAATTATCTGACAAATAAAATTATTTGATCAATCCATGAAAAACAAACAAACAAACCAAACCAAACCAAAACAAACAAACAAACAAAAAGCCAAGAAGGAAGAAGACAGGTATGGGCAGAGCAGAACTGAAACCAGACAGCACAACCCTGCCACGGGGCAGCTCCGGGAAGGGAGTCACCAGCTCCTGGGACCTGCTGTCCTGGCGTAGGAGTGACTGGTTCTTATTTTTAGACCAAACCACCACTGGGGAAAGCTGCCAGCTGAGAGTCCAGGCAAGAGGACAAGCTGGTTTTCTATGCTGAGAGACAGGGATGGAAATTCAGTTCTCCGGGAAGTTAAACCCACCAAATCTTGCTTTCCCGAGAAAGGAGCCACCTCAGAGGCACTGGAGGCCTGGTGTTGGCTGAACGTGTGCTGTGACCCACCAGGGGTGGGTGCCTGGGTCACAGAGTGGGCCTTTCCGTGGAAGGCTGGGTAGTCCTGCATCAATATTCCTTTCACAGGCTCCAGCATCTCTCCTGGAGCAGAGATGGAATGTCCTTCCCCCCCACTGACACTGCTGCCTTGGCGATGTGAGCGAGCATTCAGCTCCTCAGCAGCACTTTGTACCCTTGTTTCGTTTAATAAAATAGGGACTGTCACTAAAACACTTCATAAAATAGTGTCCCATTGCCTAACACCTCCTCTCCCATCCCTGTCCCTGCACTTCTTGCCCTCTCCCACCTGACTCCACACACAAGTGGGTTGCTTATCTCTGCCCCATCCCTGAAAATGGTTTCTCTGGAGCTCAGTTCCCTTGGGAGAAAACACAAGGATGGGAGGGGGGAAAATTTGATAAAACCATCCACAGAGGAGGTTTAGGGGCAAACAGGACAAGGTTTACATCCTCTGCCCCTAGCTCTGGTTGCTCATTGCTGCCTCCCACTTGGACAGGAGCCTCCACCAACAGGTAACGTAACGGAAAACACGGCGAGAGGTGTCAAATGTGAGCAGAGACCCTGATGAAAGGCCCCTGTGTTTGGAGAGATTCAATAAAGGAATTGAAGGCTCCTGTTGTTGACCTAAGGGAGGTGTGTTTGTTTCCCTCTGACCCTGCAGAAACTCTGGCAGAGCTTCTCGAGGCCTCTTTGGGTCACTGGGAAGAATTGTGGGAATGCTCCCAACCCTCCTGTTGGAGTTTATGGGGTTGGTGTCCAAGCCATTTTCTGGGCTGATTTGTCATGGGAACTGTTCAGAGCCCAGTGATCAACCCCATCATACACCTGGCTGAAGAGGCAGAATCAACAACCTGATCAAAGAATCCCACAGTGATTTGGGTTGAGAGGGACCTTAAAACCCATCTCTTTCCACCCCCTGCCTTGGGCAGGGACACCTTCCACTAGCCCAGGTTGCTCCAACCTGTCCTTGGACACTTTCAGGGATGGGGCATCTCCATTACATTGCTATCACGAAAAAGCCTTTTTGTTAAAATGCTGTGAATGACAGTTATTTCCCAATAACATTAATTTTTTTTGCTGTTTAGCTGAGATTTGTCACAACGATTTGCTCTTGACAAGCAAACCTGTTCCAGCAGTTGATAGCCAATATTAACAAACCTCATCTGCCTGGAAAGGTCAAGTAGTTTTTCAAGTATTAAAGTATTAAAAGATGAGAGAAGTCCCATGTTGTGGGGCTTCACCACAGGCTTAAAGTTAAGCCTCTGCTGGAGGGTGGTAGAGCTCTGCTGGCACTTAGGGCCGTTTATTGAGGATCATGGGATCACAGACTGGTTTGGGTTGGAAGGGACCTTAAAGCTCCTCTCCTTCCAACCCCTGCCATGGGTAGGGACACCTTCCACTAGCCCAGGTTGTTTAGCTGCCCTAAGATATGTGCAGGGAGGAGAGCCTGACTGAATTCCACTTCCAGATGCTGGCATAAGCTGGGAAACCACAGGAGGCTGGGAATGCCCAGCTGTGCCCGAGAAGAGCGAACAGTTCCTGCCCTGAGCCCTGAGCCCCGAGCCCTGAGCCCTGAGCAGAGGGAGCAGAGGGTTTGCAGGGTCAGGAGGCTGCAGGGTGAAGGGCAGCCTGTGTTCAGGGTGAAGGGCAGCTTGTGTTCAGGGTGAAGGGCAGCTTGTGTTCAGGCTGCCAGGGCTTTTTCATCAGGACTTTGGGGAGCTGCTTGAATGAAACAATGCCCCTCACCCGGAGGCAGAGCCAGAGCTGCTATTTCTGGTGACTCCTGAGTGCCAACCAAACAGGAGGATCAGATGGACAACAAGGGCAGAGCCAAAGCAAGCGGAGCATGGTCAGGGCTGCAGTTGGTGTTTACATGTCAGTGGTGAAGCGTGGGAGGAATCCAGCCCCAAGGCTCCCGGTTTGGCTGCTTGGGCCTCACAGCGGTGCCGGCTGAGCAGGGGGGATGTGGCTTGAGGGAGAGCCCCATGAGCAAGATGCTCCAAAACAATGCTAAAAAGAAAGAGAAGGGAAGGGGTTTGTCTGGTGAGGTGGGACGATGGCCGTGCCAAGGGAACAATCTCTCTGCCCAGAGCAGGAGGGAGGAGAAGGAACAACGGTAGGGAACTGGCAGAGACCTTCCACTTGGACACTGCCTGCAGCACAGGGAAAAACATTACAGAAAACCTCAAATCTGTCACGCACCTCCCGGTGTTTTGAAGCCTTTGGGCCATAGCTCATTGTTTCCTTTGTTTGAGGTTTGCCTTTATTGAGTGAAGTTCCCTCATCCCTCACTCCCCTTGGGTCTTGTTTGCTTTGGGGGAGAGGAAAGTTCTGTTCTCTGCTCTTGGCAAGAAAACTTCTGCCCCTCCACAGCCCACGACACAGGTCCACGTGCTTGGGGACCTGCGTGGGGACAGCATGTCCTGGGCCAGCCCCCTGTCCTGGGGCAGCAGCACTCAAGCCCTGGGCAAGGTGTCCCTGCCCTTGGCAAGGGTTGGGACTGAATGATCTTTAAGATCTCTTCCAACCAAAGCCATTCCATGATTCTCTGAACCCCCTGCAGCTCCCAGCTCGGCCATGGCCATGGATGCTGGAAAGAGCTGAGTGTCCCAAGATCAGCTGTGGACTCCCCTGGGCCAATCAGGGAACAGCTGTGAAGGTGCCAGAGGAGGAAAGGGGTGAGTGACTCGCTGTAAACCCTCTGTCAGAGTTCCACCCTCCAATATTTATTCCTCCCTGCAGTGCTCGGTCGTGGAGCTCTGCCATTTCTGGAGGATGAATAGCTCAGTGGAGATCAAATGAAACTCAAAGCCCTTTCCTTACGTTCCAAAAGGAGGATTTATTTAGTGGATTTTTAGGACTCTAAAATACACAGATCTGAGTGTTGTGGAAGGGGATACACAAGCAGCCAGGGCATTCACAGTCCACTGCACTTTGGAAACACAGGAGCTCTGGGAATTCCTGCAAGAAAGCATCACTCCTGCTCCTGCTGGCATTCCACGGGCAGGTGTCTCGGCAGTTCCAGGCACTTACTGGGGATAAACAGCAAATCACCGCAGAAAGCTCCCAGGAGAGGCAGCAGGAGAGGAAGTGCTGCCCTTCCCAAGGAGGTAAGAGCTTGGGCAGACAAGGAATGGCTCTCCCTAGGCCGTGTGGTCCAGCGAGGCGTGGGACACCCCGTGTCTTCTCAGGAGACCAGATGCTGTTCCTTGGCTCAGGGGAAGGTTCCTCTGGTTCAGAGCACTCTGTTCTTCACTCTCTCAAAGATCTGCATCACCTTTCCTGCTGGGATGCAGCCTTCCCGCACAATGGTGATGCCACCTTCCCACAGGAAAGATGAACAAGTCAGGATAATCCCCAAAGGGGGAAAGAAAGGGATGGGGAGGATAAAGGAATATCTTGGAGCAGCAAAGCCACCCAAATGCCCTCAACATCCAAATAATAAAGTTGCGTAAAAGGACCAGAAACTTTGTCAGAAAGTGAAACCGCCAACCAACACTGACCCCGCTCTTTGTTCAAAGGTTTGCTTTTCCACTCCACCCCTCCCAAATGCCAACCCAGACCCAGCTAACGACACCTCAGCTTGGGCTGCTGCGTCATTGCGGACGAGCTCCTGCAACACCTTCGTTCTCGTGGTCTACCGGCGACACCCACCCTTCCTTCCAGAGACATCCACCCTCCCACTTGGGTCATTTGTGCTCTCACAAGGCAGATCTTGCTTGCACAACTGTGTTTCTCCTCGCTGCCTTGTTCTCTGTCAACACAGAGGTCCTCCAAGGACATCTTTTGTTGGCTTCTCTTCATCAACATGTTTGCAAATGGCCAGGCACTCAAGAGCTGTTACTCTTGGAGCACGCTGTGCTGCCAGATTGATACTGGTGAAAGGGATGGAAACATCCCAGGAAAATGCAATTGCTGGCACAATTGACAGGGCGGTTCTTACACTCACCTTCATCAATCTTTGTGCAGTTGACCACAGTGGAGGCCACCACCTCATCAGATTCTCCATCACAGAGAACACCCTCCAGCTTATGGCCAAGACGCCTGCAGGGAGCAGAAAGAAGGCAACAACGTTTCACAGACCTTCACATCACCTTGTGCTGAGCTTCCCCTCCCTGCAGGACGCCAGACCTGCTCCATCACCGCGCAAACTCGCTGGGCACCCAGGTGGCAGAGGTACTCACGAGATGACCATGTCGTGGTGTGTGCTGTCCACCTCCCCGCTAGGGTTGGCCGACGTGATGGCCAAGGGCCCCGTCATGTCGATGAGGTGCACCAGGACTGTCAGGTCGGGCACTCTGATCATGATGCTGTCCTGAGTCCCCACCCTGCTGTAGCCTGCTCCGACCCCTGGAGAGAGAGACAGAGGCAAGGCTGGCACAACACCCGCTGTGACCTCCTGCTCCCTTGGGGAGTGGCCCTGCTCCCTCCACACCCCGAGCTGTGGGTCTCTGGGTGTGTGCTTCACTCTGGAGCAGAAATCCGTGACAGTGGTAAGATTTTGGGTCTAACTGGATAAAAACTGGGTTTGGGACAGCAAGATTTGGGGTCTGACTGGATAAAGAGGAAATGATTCACGCCTGGAGACAGCACAGCTGTTTTCATGGACATGGGATCTACCCATACCATGAAGTCTAGTTCTTGTGAGCGCTGCCCACCCTCCCACCCTCTGCCACGTACCTCTGCCTGTTAAACACCCATCATTCCTACAATTTCCTCACCCCACACTATTTCCATTGACTCCCAGAAGCCAGGGTTGAGGTGAATCATCCCGCTGCTCACAGTGCTTGACTTTGTCCATGTGGTGGGAAGGAAGGGGCAGGGATGACCATAGGAGCCCTCTCAGCTCACTGATGCTCCACCCAGGGTTTGCTCATTCCTAACAGCAAGGGGCTTGGAGGAGGTGACCCTCCCAGGATGAGGAGCCTCCCTTGCTCCTAATTAAAGAATTCCTCATGCCTGCTCACGCTGTTAATGAGTCATTCCAGCTGATTAACACCCTCTGCTAAATACCTACCAAAGCATCTGAGAGCTCCAGAGGTGATTCCTTAGGACAAGATGAACAGAATTCCACCCCCACCCCCACCATCACATCCAAAAGGGTGTGTGGATTGCAGGCCTCCTGTGATGAAAATGTGAAAGAGGGAGAAAAGGACTGTCCCTTTCATCTCACCCAACTTCTTCAGCCACTCTCCTTTCTGGATAATGCAGCCAATGCCACCAGGGTAAACATTTTCCATGAACTCCCAGAGCAAGGGGCTGATGGGGGGAGCAGCTGCTCGCAGCTGGTCCAGGTTTGAAATGAAGATGCAGATGGGCTTCTCTTGAGGCCTGTCCTGAAAAAAAAAAAAAAAAAAAAACAGGGAGAGAGGAAGAGAAAAGTAGATGAAGAGGGAAAGTTTGCCTTGGGAACACTGAAGCCTGCTGGGATCCTGGTTTGTGGGCTCCTCAGGGACCAGGAGCTCTGGGCAACAAGATGCTGTCTCTGCACAAAGTACTGAGCAGAGGAGGGCAGGAGGCTCTGTGACTGATGCCACAGCTCAGATCTGCATGTGCAAGTTGAAGAAGAGAGAGAACAGCAGCCTGCCCTTGGGATCTCAGTGGGATGCATCCAAACCCCCCACTTTAGATTATCTATCACGGGGACAGCAACGCTCTGCTCATTAGCAGCATTTTTAAGATCTTATACACCAGGGACCTGATTCTTTCCAAGCTTGTGCTGGTGCAAACCAAGGTCAAACCTACCAGTTCCTGGTGGGATAATGCACAGAGAGACCCCTCATCTCCAGTGCCACCTCTGGAGTAAATTTGCTGTAAAGCGAACAGTGAGATGGAGGGGAAATAAAACAAGGGAAATAAAACAAGCTCACAGAGCAGTGTCATTTCAGTCCTCAACTGACATCAGCTCCAGTGGGGCCAAATGACTAAGGAGCTGGGCATGTATTTACATTCTGTTTATATTATCTCATCTGCAGGGAAGGTTAACACTGGCACCAGAGCAGCCCAGAAAAGACGGCCTTTGTTGCCGCTGTTGGCGCTCGGTGCCAGCTGAGATCGTCTGTTATGCTTATTCCTCCAGGCTAGCCAGGAAATTGCCTCATGGAGCACAGACGGGCCCAGGCTGCAAAAGTTGTGTTGAAGGTGCAAACTCTGGGGCTGGGTCCAGCACTGAATGTCTCCAAAAGTCTGGGGAAGTTTAGCCCTGGGATTCTGATTCAGCACTTTGGAAGACAGAGAGGACAAACAGAGGTTTGGACCTGTCTGTGATGAGCGTGGGGGCTGTGCCAGTCTGAAGATGGGCTTTGCCCTCTTTTGCAGTGCCCTCAGAGCAGAGGGGGCTGTGCCCCAGGTTGCTCAGCTCAGAAAGCGTTCCATGATGTTCTGGTGGGGCTGCTCATGAACTCTACCCACGGTCAGGTTCTAAGTCTTAGGACAACTCGAAACCAGGGGCTCCCATTTCTGGTTCTGCACAAACTCATCTCACTGCAGTTACAACTTCCTCAGGAAGGGCAGAGGAGGAGCAGGACTGAGCTCTGCTCTGGGGGGACCAGGGACAGCCCCCAGGGAATGGCTGGAGCTGTGTCAGGGCAGGCTCAGGGTGGATCTCAGGGAAAGGTTCTTCCCCCAGAGGGTGGTTGGCACTGAACAGGCTCCCCAGGGCAGTGGGCACAGCCCCAAGGCTGCCAGAGCTGCAGGAGGGTTTGGATGATCCTCTGGGGCACAGGGGGGGACTCTTGGGGATGGTTCTGTGCAGGGCTGAGGGTTGGACTGGATGATCCTTGTGGCTCCCTTCCAGCTCATCGCATCCTGTGAGTCTGGGATCTATGGGACACAGATCCAGGTAATCAGACCTGTGTTCACACCTTGATCCTGTAGACCTTCTCGATGGCTTGGGGGTGCTTGCAGGAGGCTGCCAGGGCATACACAGTGTCCGTGGGGACCCCACACACGGCCCCCGTGTTCAGCAGCTCCGCGATGGTCCTCAGCCCACTCGTGCAGTGGGATTTGGGGCACACGCAGGGTGGGGGATCCTGGGGGTCCTTCTTGGAGCTCCAGGCCTGGGAAGAATCAGGAGGCAACAAAGATGTTACGGTGGGAAGAAGGAAATGTATGAGACAGGATTCACCCAACTGCAGGTGGATTGTGCTCCCTTGGTAGTCAAGGGGCAGCACTTCCTAGGGATGCTTCACACAAAGTAGGTGACAATTGCAGTTAATCAAGTCCAAGAGAGTAACTCAGGGTGGACATTTGAATTCAACTCCTAAGATCAGAGGAGATGAACCCCACCCAGCACAGCGACTGCTTCCTGGAGAAACAGCTGCTCTCCAAAATGAAACTCAGGGAACCCTAAACCAAGGGGAAGATCAAGTTTCAAGTGCTTTCTCATGAGTCTCCTGCGGTTAGAAACGCTGATTTTACGAAAATGTTCCTCTGCAGCAGGAATCTGAGCTGTCAAATCCATCATCCCAGGGAGGGGGGACTGCCTTGGTCAGAACCAGCAGGTGGTAGGAGAAGTTTGAAGTTCACAGATACAGGGGGGAACTCTTGCTGTCCTGTCTGGGGAACTTTGAACTCCCCTGCCCCTGAGGTTATGGCCTTTAAAATGTCCATCTGCCAGGAATTCTTGGATTGGAGGCAGCTAATTCCACAGCATCATGGAGATAGGCCTTCTGGAGCAAAGTAGGAGTCTTGTAAACACCCCTGCCCTTTCTCCAAGTTTCCATACTTGTTATTCCTAATGGAACAGAGCTCGTTTCCAGCTCCTACAGAAATGCTGTGACCGGCATTTCGAGTGGCACTAAGGAATTCAGAGGAAGGGGAATTCCATGGAAACCTGAAGACCCCAGAATATCCCTTCCCAGCAGGGAAGCTACACCATCACACAAAACATGTCTTACTGTGAACAGGGGAGGTCCCATCATCAGGAGGTCCTTCCCAAACATGCAGTTTGCCAGCGACGCCGTCGCTCCGTAGAAGCAGAGGATGCTGAAGATGCTCAACACCACAACTGGAAAAAAAATATGGGAATCAGAGGCAGGAAGGGTGATGGAGTCACCATCCCTGGAGGGATTTCACAGCCCTGTGGATGTGGCACTGGGGAACAGGGTTCAGTGGTGGCCTTGGCAGTGCTGGGGGAATGGTGGGACTCGGTGATTTTGGAAGGCTTTTCCACCCTGAATGGTTTTATGCTGCTGTGATTCTACTCTGTGATGACAAAATGGTAGAGAAGCTTCTGCTAATCGTCTTGCTAAAGCACCCTGTGGAATTAAAATAAAATTTTCACCTGCAGCAAAGCCAAAGCTTCACCAGAACTGCAGCCAGTGACACCAGTGACACATTTAGCTCACCCCACGCCTCAGCTGCTGGGAAGTAGGACTGTAAAAACCTCTGGAGGCTGAGCTGATCCAGCAGGATCAGCCACACCTAAGGGTGTGTTTGGAAGCCTGGGGACCTGGGGTTGAGGTCCTGGGGCTGAGAGGCTCAGTCCCTGTTGCCTGCACACACATCAGCCTTCAGAGGAACCCTCTCTGCTTGCTTCTTTCTACACCGAGCTCCTCCCCAACCCAGGACCCGCTCACTGCACTCTGTGGGAAGGTTTGATCACCAAGTTCACCTAAAACTCACTTTCAAATGGCAAAGGGAGGTTCTCCAATGTAAAGAGCAGAAAACAAATGCTTAAGAGCTCCATTGCAAGGGTCACACAGAGCAGCACCACGTTAAAAGAGGAAGCTGTGGAAAGAAACACAAACAAGAGGGCCCCACATCAGAGCATGGCCCCTAAAATGTACGTGAAACAGCAGATGGGTTCCTAAATCAACTGAGTCTTGTTTGGGTAAACTGAGCAGCCCATGATCTGGTTTCCCTGGTGGAGGAGGAGCAGAGGTAGGGCCATGGTTTGTTCAGCCCTCAGGTTTCACGGGACACGCTGCCAAACCCTTGATCTGCCAGTACACTGTGCTCACATGGAAAACACTTCTCAGGCAGCCAAGCAGATCCTGATTTACACCAGCTGGGCTGGAGTGTGGCTGTGGATTTGTGCCAGCGGCCCAGTCCATCGAACACTTATTTCACCTTATTTGAACCTTTTATTTTCATTGAGATGTTCTTCTGTTCCCTTGGGACTGTTTCTTCTAAGCCCAGCTCAGCTTCTGTTACTGGCTGTGGGCAAAACATCTCAGCTGTTGCCTAATCGGAGCGACAGCAAGAGCTGAGCCTCCCTCACTTGTGCATTCCCACCACAGGAGCACTAATGACCTGACCCCAAATACCCCTCAATAAACAATCCCATTGGTGCTGAGACTTACCTAGAATGATTAAAAAAGCATTCAGCACCAAAAAGGCAACGGAACCGGCAGTGAATCCCTCGGTGTTCCCCGCACCGATGTTCAGCAGGTGGCCTGAAATAGGACCAGCACATCTGGTTGTGAGCAAACCACGAAGAGCATGACAGAAGAATGACAGAAGGGTGACAGGTTGGAATTACTACAGCTCAGACTAAGGGATGGTGGCCTCGTAAAGAAAACCTCCCGCTGCTTCTGCAGCGCGAAGTACTTGAGGTGTTAACCGGAGAGCTGGTGGTGGCCATCCAAAAATAGCTGATGATTTTACCTCCAGCTTGTAATCCTCAGGGTCTGGCTGAACACATCAGCAGCTCCTGCCACACCTCTGAAGGAGCAGCTTCTACTCTCCCCACAGGTGCTCATTTTAACGGGGCCTGGCAGGGAGGCTGAGTGGACACGCTGCCCACCCGGAGCCAAACACGGCTCTCAGAGCCTGGGCTCAGCATTCCAAGGGCATCTCTCATGGCTGTGACCCACTGGGAGGAACTTCTCCAGGCTGCCGAAGGATGAACACGGAACCTGGAGCCTTCCACTGCCTAAAAAGCGTCTCCTGAAGTGTTACTGTGAGATAACAGCCCAGAGGCTGCCTCACAATATTTTAGCAGGGAGATCTTGGCCTCTGTTGGAGCTGAAGAGACTCCTTGGGCCCCTGTAGCTGTGTGTGCCAAGTGCACATAAACTGGGACGTTTCTGTGGCATTATATTTTTACAAGGAGGAAAACTGGGGAACCTGACATGACTGCCTCTCCTGAAAGAAGGAATTACGTGGAATCGAGCAACCTGAACTCCCTAAAAACACCCCTTTTTGTCGTGACTGAGCCACCTAGGTGTCCGGCCCGCGCGTTACCTGCCAGGCGGAGCCACGTCCAGGCAGCCCAGAAGGCGGCGTAGCAGAAGGGCAGGACGGAGCCAAACCTCCTCCCTCCCCAGGCCTGGATCCTGCACACGTAGAGCTGCCCCACGGCCCCCGGGATGAGCACGGAGGGGATGGAGAGCTGCTGCCTGCTGGGGTCCCCCAGGCCCCCCTGGACGGCAGCGGCTGCGGCCAGGCCATTGCAGACGTAGAACAAGGCGTCGGGCACGGCGGCGCCGGTGCCTCCGGGGAGCTCCCCGGTGCTCGTGAGGCGGGATTTGAGGGCCATCAGCGCGGTTTGGAGAGCCGAGCTGGACACGGGCTGGGCGCCCACCGGGATCAGGGCCTTCTCCCCGATGGAGTTGATGAGGCTGGCGAAGGTGGCGTACAGGGACAGGGCCGTGCAGAGGCTGCAGGCGGTGCCCAGGAGGGGCTGAGCGCCGGGCAGAGGGATCTGGTGGATGAAGGCCGTCGTGAGGATGACAAAGGAGGTGTTTTGCAACATCTCCAGGGTGTCTTTGTGGGTGGACATCAGCAAGAGTGTGCAGGCGGTGGCCAGGAAGAACCACCCTCCGAACATGCCCAGCCTGCTCTCCTGGGCCCGGGGCAGCCCGAGGAAGGTGGTGGTGAGGGTGAACTCTTCCCAAGACATCACCAGCCAGTAGAGGCTGTGGACGCCAAACTTGGTCGTGTGGTAGACGTCACCTCGGAGGTAGCTGTAGAAGCTGGAGAGCAGCTGGCAGCTGGAGATGATGGAGATCCACACTGCCCCGACACAGAAGGTCTTCACGTACCCAAAGAAGTAAAAGGCAAAGATGAAGGGTGACACCGTGTCGCAGATGTTGCCCAGGGCCATCGGCTCGGCGTACTTTGTGTTCTTTTTCTTCTCCTCCCCAATGGCCTTGGAGGAGCTTTTCTGTGCTGACCCCAACAGCAGGACGTTGAAGAGGGGGTGCCCGAAGCCTGGGAGGACGTAGCGCTGCGTGATGCCCTTCAGGAGCAGAGCCATGGCCCCGTACAACCCGCAGGCGACAATGACCAGCTCGATGGCCCCCGACACCACCAGGGCCCACTGGCAGAACAGGGCGACTGCCTCGAACACCAGGGCGAGGGCGAGGGCGCCGAATATGAAGGGCATGATGTAGTTGGTGGTGGCTGAGCAGAAGCAGAGGACGAAGGAGATGGAGATGTAGGCCACCAGCCCGGCCACCGCGCTCTGGCTGGCGGAGAGCTGGGCCGCGCCGAGGGGTGGCAGATGGCTGCTGTTCCCTGAGGGCAGAGTGGTGTTCTGCAGGGACGGGTAGGCAGCTGACACGATCCGTGTGGCCCCATAGCTGCTCCACAGGGCGGAAAAGGTGAGGAAGGCTGTGCCCCCAAGGTGGTCGTACTTGCGGAAGGCGAGGAATCCCGCCAGGAGCTGGACGAAGCCTCCGATCAGGATGAGGTGGACACCTGAGGGACATGGGAAGGGATCAGGTGCAAGGTGACCCACAAAAAGGCTTGAGCTGCAGGAAGCAGGTCCCATAGCCTTCCTGTGAGCAGCCCTGTGGCCTCTGCCTTCCCCTCTCTTCCCACCTTTATGTCAAATTTCTGTGTGGGTGCTGAGCCCCTTGGCACATTCAGGGTGGGGAGCAGGTCCAGGAGAAGTTTGGATGTCGGAAAGTGGCGGGGAATGGCACGTGGAAGGTTTGGACCAGACTCCGGGCAGTGGCTGAGGAAGGAGGAGCAGCCACCCCCAGGGCCACAGAGGGGACAGCCCACATATCCCCAGTGACCATCATCCCATGGGGACGGCTCTCCAGGAGTCCACCCTGCTCGGTGCCATCAGCCTGGACATTCACGCCCGAGCAGCCCCCGCTGAGCAGCACCACCCACCTGCCAGGATGTCCTCTGCGCCCCGCGGCCTGAGGCCGGTGTGGGCCACGGCGAAGTTCTGCAGGCAGAGCAGGAAGGCGCTGACCACGTTGCCCAGGAGCCCCAGCACGGCCGGCTCGCTGTAGAAGACGGCGGCGAATCCCGCCATGGCCCTCCCAGACAAAACAAGAGCGTCGGCCGTCGCCCCCACAACCCCGTGGGTGTCTAGACCGGCGCTGCTCGGGCTCCCCGCCAGCCTTCAGAGCCGTGCCCCTGCTCCGAGGAGGGAGCCGCTGGTGACAGCCTCAGGTGTTTCCATGGTGCCTCCCCGCTCCTCGCTCCAGACAAAGGCTCGATTCAAAGCGCCACTTTAGGTGCCTACTTTCCGGAGTCCTATCCAGAAAAAACACACACAACCCATTTAGGCTACGAGGAGTTCTGGCAAAAACATGTTTAGGTGCCCCAAAGCCCTGCAGGTGGTGGGGATGGTTCCTGTCCCCTCTTGTCCGGGCTGCTGGAGATGGGGAGGAATGAATAACCCAACACGAACGGACAAACATTCAGACAAAACCCACAAGGTATTTTTGAGCCGTTCCAGGACGTTTCTTATCCACTGTTACAGACAAACAGGCACGACACTCACATACACAGTCTCCCTTCCAGATGGAATTTTCCAGCTCCATCCCTTTTCTTGAAACCCCAGTGACTAAATAGTCTATTTTCAAACCCTTCATATTTCTACCATGAACTCGCCTGTTTGCAGGCAGCCCCTGCATTCCAGTTTTCCTCTGCACTCCTGGGTACCGGGAGCTGAAGTTTTCTCTCAGGAGAGTCTTTTTGTTGGGAAACAAAGATGAAAATAAAACAGCGATGTTCTTGTTATTTGGGTATTTTTAGAACATTTGATGACCTAAAAGAGCTGGAAAGGGAGAAGGTGATGTAGTCTGTTCTCAGCCATTCCAAAGGGCCCTTTGGAAAGGGAGGAAAGCACCGCTATTGATACGGGGAGGAGGGAAGGAGCACCACCCAAAAAAGAAATAGTGATGTGAACAATAATAATAATGAACCTAAATCCCAGGAACACACAGTTTTCCTCGGCACAAATGTACATTTTGCAAACATCAGTGCCCTCTGGGCTCTCTTGTTCTACTAAAAACCCCGTGTTTTCCTCTCTCCATTTATCCTCAAGGTTGCAATTTTCCCAAAGAGAGCAGGACAAAGGATAAATTGACTCCAAACTGGCTTGGCCACGTAAACCCTCATCAAATGTGGGAAGGGGTAAAAACTTCCAAGTGAACCTGGGGGAACGATGAATTATTCAATTATTTGGTTGTGCTGAAGGCTGGAATTTTTGGTTCAGAAAGAGAAATGCACCAAATCCCAGCACACCAAATCCCTCCCCAAAAAAAGGGGAACACTCTCTCTCAACATCAAACATCTCTCTGTGCTACTGACTTGAAGGAGGCCCCAAGGAACGAGGGGCCTGTGGAGTCCATAACTTTTTTATTAGTATTACCACTTAAAATGACACTCCTATATAAATAAGTGGTCTGATTTAAAAGGTTAGTCTTGGAGAAGGGCCACAGTATTAAGTTCCTCCAGATGTTTTGCTCTGAAGGAGCTCAGGCAGTGCCTTTCTGGGCACGCTGCAACAAGCCCCTGTGGGGAGTGGGTCCCTGGAGGAGGATGAGGTGGGTTTTTGGAGGCAGATGGGCTGGCCAGGTGACTCCTTGGCTCCCAGGAGTGGTTTTCAGTTTGCCAAGGCTCTTTTTGGGGGTGATTTCTGTGTAACTGGCTGTGCTTGGGGGGGTTTAGAGCCCATGACAGACACCTGGAATTTGTGAAGGGTGTAGAGACACAACTAACAGGGATGTTTCCCTCCCATTCCAGTGCCAGCCTCAGAGAAGGGGGGAAGAGAAATACCAGAACATGTTACAGAGCTGCAAAGGATGTGAGAGAAATTCAATCCAAGACATGGAAAAGGAGGAGGATGAAGGGGATTCCCTCGGGAGGAGAAGGTTTTGGGGTTGGAAACGGCTGCACATCCATCACCCCACAATGCCAACAACAACCTCTGGCCCCTGTCCTAAGGCCACACCAGCAGCTGTGCATCGCCCCTGCCTCTATTTCATCCAACATGAGGGCACACCAAAAAATTAAAGCCCTCCTGTTGTCCCGGGGGCAGCAGCACTGGAATGCCTTGGGCTGCACTGAGGCTGGAGAAAGAGAGTCTTCATGGGAACCCCCAGAGGGGTTCTCTGCTCAAATATGCCCTTGCCCCCAGGATAACACCACTCCTGGCTGCTGGCACTGTCCCCTCTGTGCAGCTGCTGCCTCTGGCACTTTGGGAGGACCTGTTAGTCCTCTCGCACCGCAGAGAACGGAGAATGTGCCTCGATAAGGTGAGGTGACACAGGAGGCAGAGCAGCAAATGGCAATCCCTCCCCGTGGGTGAGGTTGGCAGCTCTGGGGACACACAGGGCACCAGCCAGCACAGCCACAGTGCAGGAAACCACGAGGATGGAGACCTTCTTATGGTGAGAGGGCACCTGAGGAGGCTGCCAGAGAGCTGCTTCTACCCAAGAGGTGGGGCAGCCCGGGGTGATCCTTGCCTTGCACAAGCTCCCTCCTGCAGTGAGGGCACAGCCAAAGCCACCCCCTCACTCCCCCAGCCTCCTGCACCTTCCCTCCTTTCCCTGCCTGCCCCTGACACTCTTCACCCTGGGAGGGGCAGAAATGGCATATGAGGTCCTGCCCCTGCCCTGGCTCATGACCTCTGAGCTGAGCCCACGTGGGGCAGCTCCTGGACACCACATCCTTCACTCACCACCTTCCTCACTGACACCTGCCCTTCAAACCCCTCCAGAACAGGTCACTGCCCTCTGCACCCCCTTTCCACCTCTGCTAAACCAGGCTTTGCATCCTCTTTTGCACCAACATCCAGCTGCCGGTGGTGCTTCAACCCGACCAGTATGAATGGGAATATTCTGGAGCACGGACATTCCCTCCTCGGGAGGCTGGAGCAAAACTCCACCTGCCGTGGGACACATAAACAACAACCAGCCCAATCATTTCTCAGACACTTATCCCCCAGTGACATTTTGCCACTAGTTTTCCATCCCACCTTAGCAGTGATAACAAATGTTTGTGCAGCCCCGAGAAAACGCTGCCTCCCACCAGATAAACACGGAGGGAGAACAGAAAAGCAATTCATTTCGGATAAACAGCCGGCAAGACGATCGGTGCGTGACCCCACCACAGAGCTGGATTAAAAAAATCCCAACCCTGCCCCTCCTCTGGTGCCAAACAGCACCAAATCGCTGGAGAAAAGTGGCTACATGGAAAGGTCTGCATGGCAGTTAGTAGAAAACGCAGTTTTAAATACAAGGTGTATCACAGCAGGCTGTCACCTCTGCCCAAAATAATTTGCAGCATGTGAAACACCCCCCGGGTTTCACTGTTGGGCAAAGCAAAGAGCCCCAAAATCCAACCAACATTCATTTGGGAACAAAGGCTCCCAGTGTCCCCTGGAAGCTCCAGAGTTCACACCTGCACTGCCAGTTCAGTGGCAGAGCGGGAGATTCAGAAGAAGGAGAGCTATGAAAGGCTCAGCCAAAGGACCAAACGCTGAATGGATTCAAGAAAAGCATCAAACCAACCACCAATGCTTGGCTGCTGGGATTACCTGCTCTGGTGACACTTCTGCTCAATGGGAGGATGCTCTTGTCCCTCTCATTTCCTGGTAAGTCCCAGTTTTATAGTCCTCCTTAGGGGGAGGAGCCTGGGGCCAGTTGCTTCACCCCTTGGCACCTGCAGCATTTTGGAGACAGGAGTCTCCTTGAACTTCATCAGTCATTGTCCTAAATCTTTTTTTATTTCCTGACACCCAGTGGGAGGGGGGTTCCCTTCTGTTCAGCACAGACAAACCACCCCTCCTCAACTATTTCCCCCCACCCTCTGGGTCCCCAGGGGCTGATGTCATCACACTTGAAATTCACTTGCAAACAACCAAAAAGCAAATTGCCTTTGGGAAGCCCTATATAAACCCTGCCACCAAGCACCTTCCAGCCACAACACCTCTGCATCCCTCGCCCGGAGCAGCGCCGAGCTGGGCACCCAGAGCTGGGAAAAGCAGCCACCAGCATGGTCTACTCCACCCTGCAGGTAACCCTTCCACTCACCAAACCCTCCCCAGCTCTTTCCTTTCTCACCCTGAGGAGGAAACATCTCTTTCCGGGCCGTTCCTCAAAAATTACCCTGGCCTTAAACAGGAACCTGCCCCGAAAGGAAACAAATCCAGATGGTTCTCACAGTCACCTCATTCAGTTCCTGACCTGTTGCTTGCTCCTTCCATGTGTCCCAAACGTGCCCTGCGTGGTGTCCTGTGGGGTTGCTGTTGTTGTTGTTGGGATGTGCCGTGTGGGTTTTTCTCGGAGCTGCGAGATCTCACGGCAGGTCTGGAAAGGCTCTGCCGCCCCTTCCACTGCGCAGCTTTATTTCCCTGGGTGTTCTTGGCATCCCTGCTGGACTCAGCTTTGGAAAATATGTTTTGCCTCCTTTAAGCGTGCAGTTGGTTTTTTATGCGCTCCTTTGATCCGTGAGAGTCTCACGGTGCCCCGTTGGAGGCACCACCAGGAAAAGGGCTCCGGAAAAGCTCCGGTGACAAACTCTCTGTCTGTGTCTTTCCTCCAGAAATCCCAGAAGTTCTTGGCAAGCTCCCGGCATGTTCACAAAACTGCTGCCCACGGTTTGTATCCCTCTGCAGAACAGAGTTCCCTCACCCCTTTTTTTTTTTTTTTTAAGGGGCATCCCAAAATAATCGTGGCGTTGCTTTGAAAGGAAGTGCCGGGCTGAGATAACCCACCCAAATCCTCACAAAGCAAAGCATGTCTGGGGAGTCCTGGGGTGGTTTGTGCCCTTGGGGATAAAGGACAAGGAGAAAAGCAGGGAATCCTGTGTTAAACCAGAGATTTTAACTGGATTTAGAACCAGAGGTTTCAAATTCTTCCTCTTTGACCCCGAAAGGAAGACACTGAAGTGGTGGCTGCCAGGGGGTCGCTCAGATCCTTAACTCCTCTGCTTCCCTATTGCTCCTGATCCTGCTGTGGGCATTGCTTGGAGGGATTCATGGATCACTCTCCATGTCTCCAGCACTGCCCAGCTTCGGACAAACTAACCCGAACCTGCCTGTGTAGCCCCTTGGTTTATTTTTTCTATTAATAAGTTTCGTCTATTATCTTATTTAAAGTCTACTGTAAGTTTATTAACTTGGTTTAAATTCTTGTTCTACCCTTAAATGTATTAACTTTTTTAAAAACATTTTCTTAGTCTATTATGTTTATTAACTCATTTTAAAATGAGTTCTTATTCTGTCATAAGTTTATTAACTCACTTTAAAATATGTCCCTAACTTATTACAAATTTATTAACTTACTTTAAAATGTGTTCTTTTTCTATCATAAGTTTATTAACTTAGTTTAAAACATGTTCTCAGTCTATTATGTTTCTTAACTCATTTCCAAATGCAGTCCTAATTTCTTACAAGTTTATGAACTTCTTTTAAAATGTGCTCTTGGTGTATTACGCCCATTACCTTATTTTAAAAGGAATTATTAATGCAAAGAACGTCTCTTAATGAACACCTGGGGACAGCAGAAATCCTAACAACCCACACAGATCTATTTGTTCTTGGACAGACTCTTTAATTCTTTCACGAAGTTCTGCCAAACCAGGAGAAAAAAACCGGGAGCCGTGGACTGCTTGGAGCCCAAGGGTTAAAAAAACACCTCTGCCTGCCGAAGTGACAAAGAGCGTTTGATGACGGGAAGGAACAAACCCAACTTTTATGGGTGCCGCGCGCGATTCGAGCAGATTTTCCTGCAGCTTTTCCAAGCCCGTTTGACATCACCCCTTCCCTCCTGGCCGGGAGGGCGGCGGTGCCACCGCCCGGGGGGACACGGGGGACGCTCCAGGGGGACAGGAGGCGCTTCCCGGGGGACAGGAGGTGCTGGCAGATGACCCCTGCTCGGCAGCAGGTTTCCCAAGCGCTGAGCGGCCCGGATTCCTATGGGAATGCGTTTCCCAGAGCTGCCCTGAAAGGGGGAATTTTCTCGCCGTGAGTCAGCCGGTGATGACATTCCCAGCTGTGTTTCCAAGTGGTTTTAGATTCCTGGGCCGTAGGTGAGCCCGACATGAGCGAGAACACTGAGTCAGTGGACGTGACATTTCGGGATGCGAAATTAGGGAACGGTGATTTTATTAATTGCCATGTTTTCTGCTTAAAAAACAACGTCTCATATGTACCTGCTTTGGGATGAGTTGTAACACGTTGAAACATGTTTTAATTTTTTTTTTTTTTTGCTTCACTCAGCTGGATTATTTTATGTGATTCAGTCAATTTGGAGGTTAATATCTATGTGTGCATGTATGTGTGCACCCCCACATTCATATATATATATAAATATATAAATATCTATTTTATATATAAAATGTAAATTTATATTATATATAACATAAATATATTATTTTTAAAATAATGATATACTTTATATATAAAACATAAATTTATATTATGTATAATAAATCATTAATATATAATTTATATAAATTTACATTAAAATGTATATATATATAAAGATATATATATATGGATTTGCCATCATGCAGATATCACCTATAATGGATTTCATGCTTTTTCTACTCTCAGATGCGCTCTCAAATTAATGCTATAAATTTTAATGGGCCATAACAATTATAATTCTATGCATTTTAAACATAATTCTATTAATTCTACTCTGTATTCTAATTCTAGAATTATACATAATCCCATTAATTATAAATTCATCTGAAAAAAGCAATTTGTCACTAAAATGTAAAAGTCCAGTGGTCCCAAACTGGATATTTCCAACTGAATTTTAACATTTTTGAGCATTAGCATCCTTTGGCATGTGCAGGGCTTGAGAACAGCTGAGCCAAGACACTTTAGTGCTTTGTAGGACCAAACTTCTGGATAAATCCAGACTTTGGGTCTAGCCCTGCTTGCCAAAAACGATGGAAGCTATAGTAGGTTTTGGTGTTCCATGATCCCCTCCCAGCAGGGCACCACTGCTAAGGCAGCAGGGCCACCTTTCCTCCAGATAAAGGGATGAAGTTTGAATTGATCCTCCCAGGAAAAAGTGGTTACTGGAAACTCAAGGTGAGGGGATGGGCCTGAGCTCTGGAACTGCTTCAGTTGAACCTTCTGGGAGCCACCCCAGGAGGTGCCTGGAGCAGATATGGAATCACAGAACGTCCCAAGTCGGAGGGGACCCGACATCAATCCCAACTCCCTGCAGGACCACCTGAAACGAGCCCCCCTGGCTCAGGCAGGTCCTGCTCCCTCAGCTTTGTCCTCCGCCAGGTTGAGTGGCACCAGAGGGTGAGGGGCTGTGAGCTGCCAGCACGGGGCTCGGGGCTGGACTCACCCCTGCCCTCTCTGTCGGTGCTGCAGTGGTGGCCAGGAGCGCTCCAGAGGACACCGTGACCAGCAGCTTCGCCTCCTTCATCCACGGGGCCCGACACGACCACCTGTCCAAGACCGTCCGGCACCGGAGCAAGAGGATGATCCTCGACAGCATCGGGGTTGGGCTCGTGGGCAGCACCACGCACGTGTTCGACATCGCCCTGCGCTACTGCCGGGTAGGAACAGCCCCCTGGCACCACCACAGGGTCACCTCGTGGCCACAGTGTCACCTCATGGCCCACACAGGGCCCCTGCCTGCTGGAGGAGGGGTGTTCTGGCACCATCCCAGCTGCCTCAGGAGGGGATCTCTGCTCTCTGGGAGCAGGGACAGCCCCCAGGGAATGGCTGGAGCTGTGGCAGGGCAGGCTCAGGGTGGATCTCAGGGAAAGGTTCTTCCCCCAGAGGGTGGTTGGCACTGAACAGGCTCCCCAGGGCAGTGGGCACAGCCTCAAGGCTGCCAGAGCTGCAGGAGGGTTTGGATGATCCTCTGGGGCACAGGGAGGTGACTCTTTGGGGCTGGGTCTGTTCAGGGCTGAGGGTTGGACCGGATGATCCTTGTGGGTCCCTTCCAACTCAGCATATCCTGTGATTCTGTGAATACTTTTTTCACACAAAGGGTTGTGAATGATGGGAACAGACTGCCCAGGGCAGTGGTGGACTCCCCATCGCTGGAGTGTTCAAACCACACGTGGATGTGGCACTTGAGGACACGGCTTAGCGGTGAACATGGTGGTGGCTCTGATTAACGGTTGGACTTGGTGATCTGAAACATCTTTTCCAACCTTAATGAGCCTATGACAAGGCCCCCCCCGGGTTTCCCTCCCTCCCACAGGAGCTGTACTCTCCAGTTGCCGTCAGCTCTGTCTATGGCAAGCCAGGTGTGAAGCTGTCCCCGACACTGGCCGCCTTCACCAACGGAGTGGCGGTAAGGTCGGAGCTCCTGCAGGAGGATCCACCCTCTGGGGTGCCTTCAGAGGTGTCAGTGAGCATTGCAGGAAGCAGGGGGGTCAATGGGACGGGCTCCTCTGCAATCTCCTGCTTTTAGAGGGGCCACACAGCCCCCGTGGGGACACTGGGGGGATGTTGTAACTCAGTGACCTCAGCGAGGAGCCCTTGCTCCCTCAGCTCCGCAGCACGGCCTTATCTCCATTTCTGTGGCAGACACACTCCATGGATTTTGATGACACCTGGCACCCTGCCACCCACCCCTCGGGGGCTGTTCTGCCAGCCCTCCTGGCTGCTTCCCAGATGCTGCCTCCCGGCACCAAACCCACCGGCATGGATTTCCTGCTGGCATTTAATGTGGGCCTGGAAGTGCAAGGAAGGCTCATGCATTTCTCCACCGAGGCTCACGACATTCCAAAAAGGTAAACCATCTGTTCTTCACCGATTAGCTGGTGATGCTAGGGTTCAAAATGTTAGTTTAAGTCAGTGTTACCCCAGGATAAGGGCAAAGCCCTGCCGGGAGCCAAACACCAGAGGTGATTGAAGCACCAGATTGTTATTTGGTGACTTCCAGTGACCTTGCCTCAAAAATAACTACCAAGAGGACTCTCACTGGGTCTGCAGTGCCATCATCTCAACCGACCAGGGCAAGAGCTCACAGCCATGCAGACAGATTAACAGTGGGCACAGCCCTTCAGCAGCAGTTGCCCTGGTGTGGTCCAAGGCACAGCACTGACCAGGAATCATTCCCTTTGGGCGTGTTGGGTGAGGCCAGATTTGTCTGGAGGGGTAGAAAGTTTGGTGTAGTGACACAAGCTGTGTCACCTACTCCTAGAGAAAAATAAACAAACTGTTTATTGTTTGGAGAGGCGGTTGAAGTTTCAAGAAAGATGCTTCGTTTTCGGATGGATAAATTCGGAGTCGGGTGAATCTCACCTGCATGGGAGCTGTGAGGGATTTCCACCGCCTGACCGGGCCGTTCAGTTCCAGCCTCACAGGGGGCTTGGATGCTCATTCCTGCCGTCTCCCCTCCAGGTTCCACCCTCCCTCGGTGGTGGGGACCATGGGCAGTGCCGCGGCCACGGCCAAGCTGCTGTCCCTCAGCAGGGCCCAGTGCTGCCACGCCCTGGGCATCGCCGCGTCCCTGGCGGGGGCCCCCATGGCCAACGCTGCCACCCAGGCCAAGCCACTGCACATCGGCAATGCCACCCGCCTGGGCTTCGAGGCGGCCCTGCTGGCAGCCCGGGGCATGGAGGCCAACCCCTTCATCCTGGACGATATCCCCGGCTGCTCCGGCTTCAGCGCCTTCTACGGGGTCTATCAGCCCAAGCCGCTGCCCCCGCCCGGTGACCACCGGGAGTTCCTCCTGGAGAAGCAGGATATCGCCTTCAAGCGGTTCCCAGCCCACCTGGGGATGCACTGGGTGGTGGATGCCGCCCTGTCTGTGAGGAACCTCTTCGTCCACTACGCGGGGTCCTTCTCTCCCACCCTGATCCGCACCATCGTGCTGAAGATCCCGGTGTCCAAGTACATCAACCGGCCCTTCCCCAGCTCCGAGCACCAGGCCAGGCACTCCTTCCAGTTCAACGCCTGCGCTGCCCTGCTGGATGGTGACGTGGGGCTCGGCTCCTTCACCGAGAGCAGCATCCACCGCCAGGAGCTGAGGGAGCTGCTGGACAAAGTGGTGGTGGAGCACCCCGAGGATAACGTGGCCAACTTCGACAAGATGTACGGGGAGGTGGCCCTGCTCCTGCACAGCGGGGACGTCCTCACGGGCAAGTGTGACACTTTCTACGGGCACTGGAGGAAGCCTCTGAGCAAGGAGTCTCTCCTGAAGAAGTTTCGCTCCAACGCCTCCCACGTGCTCCCAGAAGAGAAGGTAGAAACCATCATCACTACGGTGGACAACCTGGAGAACCTGCCTGACAGCTCCCAGCTGGCCTGCAGCCTGTGAGGGAACAGCACGGGGGGTTTTCAGGAGGGGTTTGTCCCGGTGAAACTCTGATTCCTTCCTTCATTGGTGCTTTACTTTGATTTCCAGTGCCAGGAATGTTCCCACCCCTTCAAGCAGACACTTCACTGCCAAAGCAGCCCCCGGGGCAGGAGGTGTGACTGTGTCAGCCCTCAGTACAGGGAGCACATTTCAGCTTGTGGTTGATGCTGTCTGAGCAGCTGAAAGGCCACCACAAATATAAAAAAATCCCATGGAAATCCCTGAGAGTCTTGGGGTGCTGCTGGGAAGCTGATTCCCCAGAAGGAACTGTGTCTGTGTGTTTTTTAAAGCCGGATTCCAAGTTTCCTCTGGGCACAGCGCCCGCCCACTGAGTCTGGGAAGAGGAGGAAGTTCAGCTGCAGAACGTGTGCTTTTCTTAGTGCTCTTCTGGGCACTTTTGGGATCATGGTTAGTTTGTCCTGGTGGCCAGATGGAAAATCCATCCCTTACTGTAAACAGCCCTGCCTGCAAAGCTTTCTGGCACAGAGGGATTGTTTTGCTTCTCCAGTAAAAGCCTCCTGCTTCTCCAGCCTTTGGGAAGTGTTTGCCACTTGTCTGTGTATGAAGGATGGTTTAAGAACCCTCAAAACCTGCAAGTCTTGTCTGAAGGAAATGCAGTTGGTAGGAGAGGAGCCCTGTATCAGTCCTACAGCCCCCACAGCTCCCAGGGGGTGATCCCTGCCCATCCCAAGGCTGTGCCACACCACCCTCCTGGCTTGGCACAGCTTGCCCAGGCACCTGCTCAGAGCTGATACAGCAACTCTAGGTGGTGGCTTGGGCACATCCATGCTGTGAGTGACTCACAATGGGAAATTGTTGTTTCTCCCCCTTGAAAGGAGGGGAAGCTTCCTGAGACTCAGCTTTTAACTCACCTTTCCAGCTGGGATTAAGTCAGTTCTCCCACTCCTGAGCAGCCCTTCCCTGAAGGGCTCCTTCCCCTGATTCCTTCCTGAGCGAGGAGATGGAGAACTGCTCAGCATTCCTGTCCAGCACTCTAGGACTGCTGATCCAAAGGGCTCTTTCCAATATGACCCCAATAAAGGCACAGAATCTGCTGCAGGAGTGAGGGTGTTCTCCAAGGGGGATGAGATGGGACCAGGCAGGCGAGAAGGAATGTGGGCTGGTTCCTTTACCTTCCTGGCAGTGGTTTGTGCAGAGAATGTCCCAAAAACCATTTGCTCACCTGTTAATCCACTCTCTCACACTCTCTGATATTCCCAGTGAATCTTTCTGAATAAAGAACAGAATTAAAATCACTTTCTGCATAAAGATTTAGTGTTTCCTTAGGCAGACCGTCAGGTTTTTTGGTTTGATGTGAATACAAACAGACACAGAGGCTTTCCCAAAAGGTGGGGGACCCAGCAGAGGCTGGACAGGGACAGCTGGGACAGCAGGGACACTGTGACCAGTGGTTTCTCCAAGGTAAAACGTACACTGAGCCCCACAGGTTGTTTTTCCTGCTGAGGACAACAGCCCTCAGCCAGCAAAGCCTGGCTGTGCTCCAGCACGATCACCTCGAGAGAACTCACCCAGTGATTCTCCATCAGCAGCAGATTTCAAATACTTGCCAAGTTTCCATGCCAAGTTTCCAGTCTCCCTTGGTTCCAGTCAGGTGTGAGGTCACCAAAGAAATCATTCCATGTTTTGCAGCCCAGTGAACTTGAAGTCCATGGAACCAGCACCCTGCAAGTCCTCTGTGAGCTCGACACTTGTCCAAGGGATCCACACGTGTGACAGAACCGAGATGGGCTGCAGTGCAGGGAACAAAGCCTCTTATCAGTGGTTCCAGTGCCCCAACCTTTATTCCCATTCCCTGCTCGGTGCTGCAGGGATGCCCTGAGCAGGAGAGGAGGGAACTGCCACCCTTCACCTGTTGGTGCTGGAGCATAAAAAATTCCACACTGCCCCCCCGGCTCCCCCTTCCTGTCAGGGAGCTGTGGAGAGTGATAAATCCAAGCAGTAAGTGGCTTTTCCAGAGCATTGAGGAGCTAAAGGCACGCCTGAGATTTTTTTTTTTTACTCATGGAATTTCCTATAAAAGCCTCGGACTCTGAAAAAGCCTCCACTCTCCCTTCCCAGGAGAATGTCTCACGCATTATTTCCATTATCAGACCACAAATGTTTTATATCCCTAACAAATTAGGAGGCCCAAGGGAGGTTTTAAAAGAGAAAAAAAAAATGATCTGGGAAAATTACAGACCAGCTTGTGTGACACTGAGGGTGTTCAGAGATTAATATGGTGCCACCAAAGCCCTGAAATTCTCCTCTCAGGCTGAATGAGAGAAAAAAAAAAAAAAAAAAAAGCCATTTTCCTTCTTTCTACCCCTGTTCCGAGAGAAATGACACCTTAAATTAAGGAATGAGAGCATTCCTCCACAAATATATTTCCATCAGCAAGCTCAGTGGCTGGAAGGACACCAGCAGAAAGCAGCCCTGAAAGCAGGAAGGGGGCAAAGCTGGTGTGTCCGAGATGCCACCACAGCTCTGCCCGCGGGCATCGCCCCCGTCCCGAGGGCATCACCCACCCGTGGGGTCCCGCGGCAGCCGGACAGGCCGCTCAGCACCCTGGAGAGCACCGGCGAGTGCTCCCGGGGCTCCATCCGGGGCGGCCCTTCCCGGATTTCCACTCCCAAGGCAAAGGGGAAGAGATGCCCGTGGGTTTCTCCCGTGACACTCCGGTCTGCAGTTCCCGCAAACCACCCGAGGCAAAGCAGCTCCCACCCCTGGTCATCCAAAAACACGGGCATTTGGGGGGGCTTCGCCTTTTTTTGGCACCTGGTGGAGATGTTTGGATTTCCCGCGAAATGACGGCACGGAAAAAAAAAAATAACACACTTAAGTGGTTGTTTCAATTTTATTGGGGGTTTTGTCTGCGGAGATCGGGAGTGCCCTCCCTGCCCTCCTGCGCTGGGTGGGGATGGTAACGATGCCTCAGCGTGGCCAGCTGGGGAACTGCTCTCCTTGAGAAGCCCCAGGTCCTTCTTCGTTGTTTTCTGCTTTTTAAATAACTCTGAATTTTTTTTTTTTTTTTTTTTTTTAACAACCAAAGGAAGTAGAAAACTCAGGGCAGTCCCACAAGTGCCATCAGTCAGAGTCAGAGCGGATCATCTTCCTCATCCCTGCATAAATCCAGGACTTCAGACCCCCCACCTCACCTCTGCTTTTCCCCATCCCTGGAGTCAGGAATTCTCTGACTCTTGATGCAGAGCTGAGTAGAAGGATAGAGCTTCGTTTCCAGGAGTGTCTGAATGTCAGACACTGAAGCCAAGCTCCCAATTCCCAGACAAAAATGGTGTTTGGACACTCACAGCTGGATTTAAACCACTGGCGTGAGACAAGAGGGGCAGGAGATGAGAGGAAGGGAGGGAGAAACCTCCACCTGTGTCAAAGTGACCACGAAGAGAAGAGGAATGGCAGGTTCTTTTGTGCTCATGGTGTAGGAATGAGGGGCTTCAGCTGCCAGACCTTAGGAAAAATGCCTCAACATGAGCAGTAGAAGGACAGATCTTCCCAGAAGGCCATGAAATCTCCACTGATGGTGATGTATAAAAGCAGGACTCACTCCCAGGAGTGGGAGCCGAGCAGGAAAACTCTGCTGTGGGAAAACTCTCGATGTCCATGCAGCCCTACTTTTATGGCTGGGACTGGAGACTTGTTCTAGGTTTATGAAGGGGAAGATTGGAGCTGGCCATCCAAAGGCTGGGCTCTGCCTCCTGTCTCCTGCTGGGACCCAGGCAGAGGCTGGGCTGAGGTCCCAGCTCCCCCTCACTGACTGCAGTACCTGGAAACCTCGATCAGGTTCTCATCGGGGTCTCGGAAGTAGATGGATGTTATTGGACCCACAGCACCAGTCCTGGCCACGGGACCTTCTTCAACAACCACCCCACAGACCTGGGAGGACACAGAAGAGCAGGGGTTTAATGCTTCAGGTCCTCAGGGTTTTGTTCATTCTCCCCTCCCCCCCAGCCTTGAGAACATGAGCTGTTGGATGAGGCAATCCCGACATTCCCTCCCGAAAGTGTCATTTGGAGGCTCTGTGGCTTCATGTCTCCAGGGATCTCACTGCCCTGTGGCCACTCCCTGCCTGCCTCACCTTCAGGTGATCCAGCAGCTGCTCCAGGGGCACCTGTGTGACAAGGCAGACATCTGCAGAGCCAGGGACTGGGCACCGGGCCTTGGGTTCGAACTCCTTCCCAGCCTCGTGCAGATTGAACTTCTGGTTGCCAAAACGTAAAGCTTTGCGATTTCCCTGTCCCCAGAGAGGAAAACCAGAGTAAGTGAGACTTCCTGGGCTGGAAATCCTCAGCATCCACTCACCTGGGCAGCTTTAAAAGCTCCGGGGATCTGATGTGGTCCTGCTAACTCAGGGCTTTGCTTTGTGGCAACCCAAAAATCGATCGCTACCAGGCTCCCATGATACTCCTTGAGACGTGGAGGGACCCAAGAAAGTCCTACAGACACATCCAGATACTTCCAAACCACAGTGATGGAAGTTGTCAGGTTTGGGCACTCTCCATTCTGGCAGCAGCCACACAAAGAAAGGGACAGGCTGACACTGCCATGGGGACAAAGCTGATGAGATGGGAAGAGGGTGAGGAAGGAGGTTTTGGCATCTCTTTGCAGGATCTCAAGGGGATTTCTGGAGGCTCATATGGCAGCTGAGTCCCCAGACCTCCTGAACATGCAGGACAGTGACCACCTAAGGAACAAACTGAGTTGTGAGTCTGCTTTTTGGAGGCCTGGTGGGGCAGGAGAGAAGGACACAAGCTTGGAAGTGGAAAAGGTGCAGTGTGTCCATTCAAAGCAGTCAAAAGCATTTGAAACTTGGGCAGGAGATGAGCTGGGGCTGTCCTGGAAATATTAATCAACTTTTCCTCTCTTTGCCAAGGGAAATCCCAAAATAAGAGCTTGCCAGACACCTTTAGATGACATGTGGGTTTCAGGGTTCTCCTGCTTCAGTCCTAGATGCTGTTTTTCCAAGAATCTTTGTCTTTTTTTTTTTTATCCTTTTTTTGACTCCTTTCCCAGTGTGGGTTGGACTTAGCCCTGACTCAGCTTGACTCTCCAGAAACTCAGAGCTTGATGGGCTGCAGCTTGTGCTGGTCCTACCACCCCCACCCCAAGGAGGGGCCCAGAGAACCCATCAGAGATCCACAGGTGCCACCCACTGACTCAGAAGAGCAGTTCCAGGTCCCCTAGACCCAACCCAGACCTGTGCCCCATGTCACCTGGAAAGTCACCACCTCCATGCCCAGCACTTTGGAATAAAAGGCCACAGTGTCCTCGATGCTCTTCACAGTCAGCACAAGGTGGTCCAGGTGCTGGATGAAACACGAGGGGGGACTCACACACTCGTCCCCCTTCCAGGACATGTTCTCGAGGCCGGGAGCTGCCATGGAAAACCAGAGCTTTGCCAACCTCCAGGATTTTCTGCACAGGGAATGCTTGGCAAGGCCAGATCTCACAGGAGCTGGGTCAGTACAAAGCCAGGCACAGTCTCACCAGGGAACCTGCTCCCTGCAGCCAGAGGATCCTGCTGGCAGAAGGACCCTGTTATCCTGGCCTGGCCCCTGCCCAGTGACTGTCCCAGTTCTGGGGGCAGCTGTGAACACACCCAGCAGAAAGTCACTGCCCCCCCTTGCTGCTGGTGATCAACAACCTCTCCTCAGACCAACCTGGCTCAGTCCCTCTGCAAATCCCTTCCACCCAGCATGCTCCCAAATTCCAGGACCTTTGTGTCCCAACTGACAGCTCCCACCTCCTGCCCAGCCAACCCTGCCAACACCTGCAAGGAAAGGGGGGGACAAAAATAGGGGGTTACCTGTCAGAGGGGACAGAGCCGGGCAAGGCAGTGCCAGACGGGTCCCCACGACCTCCCTCTTCCTGCTGGGTGAGCAGGAACGTCACAGGAGAGGGGGAGGGAACAACGAGACTGGAGGTGAACCTTGAGCCAAAGGGCATGAAAGTCCAACTGCTTGAAAAATTCCAGAAAAAAAGGAGCCTGGATATTTTAACCCCGCGTTTTTTCCCTTTCTAAGGGAGGGGAAGTTGGGTTTCTGTGCTGTGGGAAAGCCCTCACTGGGATGATTTTATTCCCACTGGATGCTCTCTCCCTGCATTTATTTTGCATTGTTTCTTCTCGAATACAAAATCTCCAATTTGGTTGACTGTTAAAACAATAATTTTTAAATCATTCCAGGAATACAAAGGGATTGTAAAACATATAGAAATCATTCCTACATCCATCAAATCATTATTAATTGCACCCCTATTCCCTCACCTCTGTCCTTGTTTTCCTTGGCTGGAAAACCCGATGATCGCAACTAGCCAGAGAAGAAATGACAAACCAGAAGAAAAAAAAAAGAGCCAAAAGAAATGCTCTGCCTTGTTACGCTCTCTGATTGATCAAACCCAACCACCCCTATTGCTGCTAACATCTTTGATGCAAGCACATAACAGCATTGCATCTGAACACGTTATAAAAACATTATAAAACTTGGGTCACGTAAGGGATGAAAAACGTCCTAAACTTGGCGCTGAGTACTTTTAAATTTGAAAATAAAAGCTGCACAGTTGCACAGCGCAGCATCTCACTAGGAATGCAAACGTACAGTTACTTCTTTTATATATTTATATATTTATGTATTTATATATTTATGTATTTATATATATATATATATATATATAAAAGTGCGGCCCCTGGCTGGAGCTGCCCTGCTCTGCCCCTCACAGACCCTCCTGAGGGTCGAGGCCAGCCGGGCGCGAAGATGAAGGTCCTGCTGTCCCAAAATAGCTTCTTTCACCCGGCGTGCAAGAGGCCGATCCGCCCGCGGGGTCGAGGTTATTTCATCCACAGCCCCGCGCAGAAAAGGGGGTGAAAACCGGGCGGCGAATCCCACAGAGCCGGCGAGGCGACTCCCGAAAACTTTTCACGCGTTTCCTTCGCGGTTTAGAAATTTATTTTTAAAACAAACAAACAAACAAACAAACAAACAAAGACACACGTTCAGCACTTCGCAGCGGTGCTTTCCGCTCTCCCCGCCGGTGCCGGCGGCAGATGGCGAGAGAGAGCCCCGAGCGGGCGGCGCTCGGCCCGGCCCGGCCCGGCCCCACCAGCCCCATCTCCCGGCGGGCCGCGGGCGCTCGGCCCGCCCTGGCCCGGCTCGAACTGCATCTCCCGGCGGCCCCGCAGCGGGAAGGGCCCGTTGTCCCCGCCGGCCGTTGCCGAGGGAGCGCTGAGGACGCGCCGGGGCGGTGAGGTGAGTGCAGGGGGGAGCAGCTGCTCCTCCTGCGGGGCCGGAGCTGCTGAGGGGGACGCGCTGGGCTGTGCCGGCGTTGGGGAACCGGCCGGGCCGCGTCTCGCTGCTCCCGAAGAGGCGATATCAGCCCCGGGAGGCTCGGTGCCCGTGGGGAAAGAGCGGGTGCCTCACGGCTTTAATGAGAACAGCCCCGAGGGGCTGCCCGGGCCGCGGCTGTGTGCGGGGAGAGGCCGCCGGGCTGAGCCGGAGCTGCGCTCCGGAACGCGGGGAGTGCCGCCTTCCCCTCACGGGGCCAGCGCTGCCTTCGTCCCTCCCTGCCCCTTCCAGGCCTTCGGTCTGAGCTGGCCGAGCCGAAGGAAAGTTTGGAACGCGCTCGTGAAATGTATTAAAAGCAAGACGCGGTTGTTTTGATTTTTTGGGGTTTTTTTTCTGTGGTGCAGTAGCACTTACAGGTCTGGGAGATGTTTCTCCCCTCTGCCTACATTACAATATTGTGATCTGGTTTCCTAAGTGTCTTCTCTCCTTTTTTCCTTTCCACCGCCTAAAACTCACAACACTGCAACAGATAACGTTTGGAAGGTGATACGTGAAAGTTTATATGTGTGAATGCTCCTTCCAAGTAATAAATGAGATTATTTTGGATGACAAGCCGAATAGAATAAATGTTTATCTTTGAAGGAGTCAATAGAGAGAGAATGTAGCCTGGAAATACTTTGTGATAGGCCAAGGTAGACAGGTGGTTTCTCCTCCTTTTTTTTTTTTTCTTCTTCCCTCTGTCAGAAAAGTGGGACGGGATTTTGTGAGAAAAGCATCATCTTGGCCACATCCAAGACTCAGGAAATTCTAAATCCATATTCAAACAATTAAATGTTGCAATTTTTAAGATTTCATTAGGAACTCCATCTGGCCCCTCTGGCTTAGAACTTTTGATATTTTAAAATCCTCAGTGTTGCTCCTATTGAATGATGCTGGGACAGCAGTTCGCTTCTGGGAGTTACATAGGAATTTGGACCTAAAGCATGAGGTTTGATACTCTAGTTTTAGGAATCCATCTCATTAGGGTCTGGCCTTGTCTAACACTGCAAAGTCATATGCAGTTTTCTGTAGTAATTTGTCAGATGCTGGTGGTGATAGAACCATTTTTTTAGATAGTGCAATATGCTATTACTCATGTACCAGCTGATGCCTTAAGCTTTGACATGTCTTAAAATGAATAAATAGTTAAAAAAACATCCCAAACCCCAAAGAAAAAAACAGAAGAAACCTTTACAGGTTCCCGTCTCCCATCTATTTCGAGATATGGCCTTAACCCAAAGATTTCTGAAGACAACAATTATAATTCTACATATACAACTGGAGCTATTATGTATGTAACAAAAAAAGCTGTATTTTATAAATGGATTAAAGCTGGCATAGCATTAAACTTAAAAGTTTAGATTGTCCTCTGAGCAATCCAACCGAGATAGGAGCATTTATAGTATAATATATGAGTTTGTTGTTTCAGTGAATCTGATTACTTTTGTCCTTGTTTCATATGATGTACTGCAGTTCATTCTGGTCTCACAGTTTAAACTGCAGATGGAGAATGGTTTAATTTGAATTTTGTCCTTGGCAGATAAGCCATGCCTGTTTCAGCTGATGAAACCGTGGGGGACCTGGCCATGAGGGACACGGGGCTGACTCCAGCTGGCATTGAAGGACCACAAGGTTTGTACCAGATGCTGCTTCGTGCAGTTACACACTTTGATCAGCGACTTCTTTAGTCTCTTTCTAAAAATTAAGTTCAAATACCATTCAAAATCTCAGTTAAATTCTGAAAGGTGCTGTGACCTATGTTTAAGTTGGTTGTTATGAGAGGAGCTGCTAAAACTCACTTAGTTGTAATATTCACCCTTCCAAAAGGAGAGAGAACTTTTTTTGCTGAATTAAGGTTAAGGCCAAATCCATTTTTAAAAAAATGGGGACTAAAAGTACCACACAATTCTTTCATATTGCTCAGCTGCTATTAGAATAGAACTACTCGACTTATTTTCAGAATTATGAGTTAATTCTTTCAAGCTGCAAGAGACCATGTTGACTTGGAAACAGATTTGAAAGCACCTTCATTGTAAAGCTAATTTTATTTTTTAAGTAGTATGTTTGATCCTACTTGGGTGCTTGCTAAATTGTTACCTTTGCATTGTGTAGCAGGTAATTTCTTTTTATTTTTTTGGGGGGGGGGTTTGTGGGGTTTTTTGTTTGTTTGTTTTTGTTTTGTTTTTGTTTAGTTTGCTGCGTCATTTGAACTCCTTTTTTTGTTCTTTTTAGTCTGTAAGAGGAAGGAAAAAGGAAGTGATTAACGTGCCAATAAATCTGACAAAATTATCAGACCGATGGAAGTGTAAAATATCAAATTGCTTAAAAATTTGCATTAAGTTTTTTTTTCAGTATTTCAAAGCGAGATAGACTTTTGAATTGTGTGTTGTAGAATGTATTGAAGGTAATTTAAAGTTGCCTTGGTTTGGGCAGAACCATCAGCCACACAGAATGCCAAGGCTCGACAAGCCATTTCACGGATCAGCCGAGAGGAACTGGAAGACAGATTCCTTCGCATCAGCGACGACCACATCCTGCTTAAACAGCATGCAAACAAGCAGGAGGAAAAAATTAAAAGGTATGGGGTTTAGTGCTTTTGTTTTCACTTTTTTTTTTGCCCCTCAAAACATCAGCATTAAAAGTCACGCTGATTTCTCTCAGAGCGTGGTAAAAATCAGGAGTTGGAATCCCAGCTACTGCTTCGGATTTGTCACTTTGGGTTTCCAGCTGTGCTGGCAAAGTCTGAATATAACAGGTGTTCTGGGAATTGAAGAAGAGGTTATAGAAGCCTAATGATTTATCAAGGATTTTATTCTGGAATCAGAATGACCCATACAGGGAGATTCTGCTGATTATCAACACCTTTCCAGCTCCCAGTGCAAAGCACAAGCACTGTGAGGGCTGCTCTGGGGAAATGAACTCCAGCCCATAACAAAAACCACTGTGCAGCCATCTTCAAAGAGTTCTTCACAGGCAGCACTAGTTATATCCAAACCTGCTGGAGGCTTTGCAGTGATTCCATTTCTTTCGACAGAAACACTCCTTAAGCTGAATTTTCACGTTCCTTTTCTCACCTCTGTGATTGTTTTCCCCAGAATGACCACCAAGCTGATCCGGCTCGTGAACGATAAGAGAAAATCTGAGCAGGCTGGTGGTGGCCCCAGGAGGCTGGGCCAGGCCCTGGAGCTGGAGGAGATGATGGAGAATTTGCAAGAAAGAGTCCGAGAGCTTGAGAAGCAGAACGAGAACCTGCGCCACAAACTCATCTCCACCAAACAGCAGCTCCAGATCCAAGGCCACCGGCCCTGTCCCTACGGCCACGTCCAATCCCGCATCAACACGGGCCTCAGAAAAGTGGGAGAGGCTTCTGGAGTGCCAGAGCAGGCCAAGAAAGGTACCATTCACCTTGATTCAAAACAGGGAACCCGTAGAATCCTCCCTGAATCTCCCAACGTCGTCAGCGCAGGTCAGGAAATTATCGCAGAGAAATTATCCCCAACAATAAAACACCCGGAAAAATTCGGGGAAGGTTTAGCTCTGCAAGGTGTGAAGAGAAAGGAAGACTCCAAAAATAATAAATAAATATGTCTTCCTGTATCTGCTTTGTGTTTGGCTGATTTAAAAGCACCGTGGAAAGCTCATGCAAAAGTCCTAGTGAGGTGTGAATGTTCAGTAAATTCTCTCTGCTTTCTCGTTGCTTTACTGAAAGCAACCATCTAAGAAACACCTTGCTATCACCAAAACTAAATAAAAATATCTATACTCTGGGCATGTGTACACACACATATATGTACACACAATTACCAGCACCTTAAAATAATATTCAGAGGCCAAAATTAAAAATAAATGAATTTAACACAAATGAAAAGTAGGTAATTTTTTTGCAGGTGTTTGGGAAACTGATGGTCTGATTGTACCTCAAACCTAAATGACCCCATTTCGGGGGCTGAGGGCCGGCAGCCTTTGTGCTGTGTTTGAAATGTTTTACATACTTTGGTCCCACCTCAAAACTTTTTTTTTTTTTCTTGCTGAAAAAAGAGAAGCAGAAAAAATTGGAGAAAACATTGCTTTTGCTCCTGAAGTAACAGTTCTTCCACAGTTAACTTTTGACTTTTCTTCTTCACTAGGGGCTCAGGATGCTACTAAAAGTGGCCCTTTCCTGGCATGTCTGGGTGGACAACGCTTGTGATTTTGCAGAGGAAAACGCTGACAAAAAGCAAATACAATTCCATGTTCCTGTTTAATAATACTGATACTGTTCTTCTCAATATCTTCTCAATCTCTGCTTTCTGACTTTGAAAGTAAAATCTTCTAAAAAGACCTCTCAGGACGTGTTTTTAGCACTGAACACTGCGCTGTGTCACCCAGAGCTCAGATTTTACAGCAGCTGTGTTTTAGATACTCTGTGTCTTTCCGTGTGAGTTTGATGTAAAAATACTTGTTATGGCATCTAAAATAGAAGTTGCAAGCGTTGGTACTGTGCAGAGATTGCTGGTTTGTTAAATGCTTTTTCATTCAGCCTGACAAAAATTGCTCTTACCTTGTCTTTGTTTCCAGGAATGAGATTTCAGAATTTAGAAGTGAGATCTTCTGACCCTGTGCTCCCAAAATCTGGACAGAGTCAGCTCGAGGATTCAAGGGCTGACATAAGAAATTTGTATGGTTTGCATATTATTTATTTTTTTTTGGTCACTGTTATTCTTAAAACTTACGGTTTTCTTGAAGGGGAAAAAAAAATACATCTTTTCAGAAGTTTTCACTTTAGAAAATAAACTGAAGTGGTTGGATCTGATGACAATAACAATGCAGAAATGTTTTCTGATAAGACCACAGAGGATCAGGGGTTTATAATGCAAAATATAAGTTTTGCATATAAATTTCTAAAACCTATTGTAGTATCTTTATTTCCATAACGATTTAGCTAAATTGGATTCAGGACATCATCTGTAAATGCTCTATTTTCAATAAATGGGCAAGCTGAGTATAGAAATATATGAATTAATGTGTAGTCATATATTTTGTGCTTGGAGTTGTGTAAACACAAAGATTCACTGGGATCGTAGGAAATCATTGCAGAGAAATGTTTTCATAAATTATTTTTAAAATTGCATTTACTGGATAAATTCCACTGTTTAAGACACATCTTTTGATGGGGTTTTTTTTGTGTGTAAATTTACCTATCTCAAAACAAAAGCTTAAAAATTACTTCCACTGAAGTGGAAGATACTTGAGTTTTCATTTAAATTTTTTGTCTTTTAATAAATACTTCTCTGCTTTTGGAACTGAAATTATTTGCACTTGCAGGGAGACCGTGATTGACTCGCAGAGGAAACACATCGAGGAACTCGAATATGCCCGAGAGGTTCTTGTGAGCCAACTGAGAAGGAAAGAAAAGGAGATTGAAGAATCCATCCTGAGGCTGAAAGAGCAAGGCACAGCAAGCCAGAGGTACCCTGAAAACCTCAGGTAGAGGCTCATGTAGGCAATTTAATGCTCACTCACACTCAGGAGGAATTTGGAGTCTGCAAATAGCAGGAAAATGTCGGCCCTGCTGTGGTTGAAAGCATCAGGATAAATCCAACTCTCCAACAGTATTTTTTAGCATCACAAAGTGGCAGGACTTTATTCCCAGTGCTGAGTGCAAGGGGTGGCTCCAGCTGCATGAACACACACAAATAAATACTAAACAAATATAAATAAATAAATACTGACAAAACTTTGTCAGGATTTATACATTTTTAGCAAACAAAGAAATTAACCTTCGTGTGTTACAGATGATATTATTCTCTTCACTAATTAGTGTTCTAATGGTTATTGATTTCTCTCTTCTCGTGCTAATTTAGTTTACATTTTCATCCTTTTTATTCTCTTTTTCCCAGAGAGAAACTAACTTTGATAGTTTCTGCTTTATCTTCTGGTTTCTTCAGCATGTCCTTCGAGGGCTCTAAATTGTGCGTTCTTTGTGTCCAATTTTCAGCAATCCTTCTCTCCCCCCTCCCAGGGTTTGTTCACTGAAGCATCTCAGGGTTGGTTTAGCAAAACTGAAAGTTTCAGTGGTGAAATATGTGGTCAGTTCTTGAAGTGCCTTTCAAGGGAGGGAGGGAACCAGTGACACTACAGAAATGAAGCATCAAAATATTGCTATTAAATTACTCACCTAATCACAAGTCCCCCTACTCAGAATTTCCTTTATGGACCTTGAATAAGTTAAAGAAGTCATCACCATAAATAATTCTTCACACTGTGACTACACTGAATTTGGAAAATATTTAGAATTTTTTTAAAAACTTTTGGAAAAAAAAATGAAAAAAAAAAATATTTTCTCTTCCCCTACTTGTGAAAATAGTAGGGCTTAGTTGCACTGTTTTGAAGTGAGGAAAAACACTTTAAGTATTTTTTAAAATTCTGATTTATTTTAAAGATCCTTTCTGTTAAACAGTACATTCTCAAATTAATCTCAGAACTGTAAGAACATGGATATTAAGTGATTTTTATGCAGTAAAGACACACCTGCAGGTTGTTTGAATACCAGCCTTAAGGTGTTCTAGTATAAATTGCTGAGACCTATTTTCTTAACAGTGCTTGATAGGTGGAAAGTGTGAATGCAAAATGCTGTTCTGCTGGCACCAAATACTTTGGATGGTGGGAAAGAAGTGAATGGAAAACAAATAATCTCTTTGGGTAGAGGATTGTTTTCCTGTCATATGCAGTTCTACACAACAAGCAAAGATGTAGATGGAGTGATCTGAGTTGCTGTGTCATCAGTGTTTATTTCCCGGTAGTGTGGATTAGAGAAGAAGAAATGAATTTGGGTATTACACACTAAACCCTCTCCCAAATGTGTTCTCATGATGCGTTTATTTTTAATTTTGAAGGCTAAACATCCAGGACAACGTGGAGATGATCAAGGTCCGTAAGCAGCTGGCTGAGAAAAGCAATGCTCTCTCAGCCATGGAAGGAAAATTCCTCCAGCTTCAAGAGGTGATTGCAGTTTGCTCAGTAACATTTCCTGTTCCCTGAGGGCAACAAGAACGGCACCTTCTCCTGGCCTTGTGTTGCTTTCAGTTGCTCTCAGGAATGTCTCCTGCTGACCCCATTTACAACCCGTGTTCAGTGCTGCCACGAGATACCCCCCCCCCCCCCTTGGAATATGCTCTGTGGGAACATTCTGCTGGGTGTGATTTAATTTTTTCCCTGTATATTCCTTCCTTCTCACAGAACCTGAAGAATTTGAAGACCAACCATGACGCTTTGTTAGCAAAAGGTGATGAACTGAATGAGCAGCTTAAAGAGGAGCGGTTAAAGTGCTTCCATCTTCAGAAAGAGCTGCAGTCAGTGACTATTTCAAACAGGAGGACAGAAGAGGTGAGACTGAGTTCAAGAGATCTGGAATCTGCTTTGGGTAGTACATACAGATAAGGGAAAAGTTAATGATGGGATACCTTTTAAATTCAGGAATGTGACTAGACCATTCAAACACATTTAGAAGATTGGCCTCTTAATGTATATACTTCTATCCCATTACAAAGTGAAACAGTGGTTGCTGCTTGCACTTGATAGAATTGTGAACCACACCTGATCCCTGTGTCACAAAATCACTGCACCAGTGTCTGGACAGCATTTGAGGTTAAACCATAGGATTTCGTGTCAGTTCTGATGCTGAACAAGTGTTTTGTTAACTGAAAAAAAAATCATACTTGATGTATTGAAAATGGATTGCTACTTTATGAGTATCCTTTCACCCTGATCTAATTACAGTAGTAATTAAATGCAATATTACATCTGATTTAGCAGTTCAAATCAGTCACTCCTATTACTTAGCCTAGCAGCTCGCAGAGTAGTTTGTCATCACTAACAGTCATCCAGATTTAGGAGTAAAAATCAAGTGGTTTATTACTCATTCTCTACAATGTATGAAGAGTCTACAAGGACACAAATTATCCACTATTTGTCTTCACACATCCATTGTCATTTCTTTTTGTGCTGCAATGATCCTTCTTCGTTTTAGTTACAGGAAAGAATAAATTACCTGGAAAAAGAAAATGAACTCTTGAAGGAAAACTATGATAAGCTGCATAATAGGTAAGTGATGGTTTCTGTTTATAAAAAACTCCATTCCTGTGCTGTTGAACAGATCTTCCTGCACTGTGCTGGAATGTTCATCTGCATGGTGAGTGTGCACACGTGTAAATAATGTTCATGCTCCAGTTTATCACCTCAGTAAGTGTGGGTGGAAACTTCTGGGGTGTAGTTCTTTAATATTTCTAATAATTTTCTTTAGGCTTTTTTTTGGGTTTTTTGCTTTGGGGATTGTTCTTTTTATTTTGGTTTAGTGTTTGTTGTTTGGTTTTTTTTTAACAAAGGGGTGATTGAACTTTTTGTACGTTCTTCCAGCACTTGTCAGTGAACATATATAAAATCTGGTATTTGACAGCTTCTCCAGTGTTTATTTATGTTTATTTTTGAGGGGTGGTCAGTTTGTTTTGGTAATAGCTACCAAAAGAAGTCATTCTGCTCAATTGCACAAGCATATTAAAAAGACTTTCAAATAAACTTTTCCTTTACTGTAAAACTATGCGATTTTTTTTACATTTAAAGAGGTTTAGAAAGTAAGACACATGTCCTAGAGCTAAGAATCGCCTCAGAAAGCAGGTGAAATGCTTGAAGTCTTTTTCTCATATTGAAATTATTTCTCCTCTGAAAGTGTTTGGCTTGTCAGTGTGATGTCTGCCAAAAAAAATCAGTGACTAAACACAATAGGAGTGATATCAGATTTTGTTTATAGTATTCTTACAGTATTTATTACACTTTTTGTATTGCCTGTGATGAACTTAAAAGTTAAGGTAGTAAAAATCCAAGTAGAAATAAAAAATTTTTTTTAATTGATGAGATATAACAGTTGTATGTTTATTTAACTCCTCAGACATGATGATAGGTGTTCTCTGTAGCACCAAAAGATTTTTTTTTACTTTATTATTTTCTGTGGAGGTTGATTTAGGAAAGCTTTTCACATGTGTTTTATCCCAGTGTCTTCAGCGTGCCCTACGAGCAGCAATGGAAATCCAAGGAGCAGCAGCTGAAACTGCAGATTGTTAAACTGGAGACAGCCATCAAATCGGACTTGGCGGACAAGAATGAAATCCTTGACAAGATTAAAGTAGAAAGAGGTGTGTTTCTGAAAAATATGTTATTTTCTCAAGGTGTGAGACTGGAGTTCAGGTTCACTGCCCAGAAAAGGGTAGTTTCTGTGGGTGCTGTTTTCAAAGCTGCCTTTTAAGTGTCCGTTTGCTCAAAATTATTAAATACAAAAAAATGACCCAGTACATATTATGTGCTGAATGAGGCTCAGAGAATTTCACCTGTGTTCATTCTACACCTGTTGGGTTAATATTTACTCTTTATTCAGTATTTCTTCTCCCTCTGCCTTGAAAGTTCTTACAGAAAAGAGGCTCATATGACACTCTCTCAAACTGTAAACCACTCTTGTGTTTACTGTACAAAGTTACATGAAGCCCATACAGGCCCCTGGTGATGTTTAATTGTCTTTTAATTTTAATAATTCAGAATTTTTTAATATTTTCAGTATATACTAGTTTTTATTTACAAGCTATACATTTACAATGACACAGTTTTCTTATAATCTGCTGAACAGATTATTTCATGTATGTTTTTCCCATGCTGTAGGAACAAGTTCTAGGGAATATTTGTAAGACCTTCCAATTTTTTTTTTTAATCTCAACACTGTGATATGTTGTAGCAATATAAGGTCTACAAAAGAAGAGCACAGGCAGGAATTGAAAATATTTAGTTTAGAGTTGACTCTTCAAATGTGTATTTTTAAAAGATGTCCTTTTGTGAACAGTCTGATGGAATGAAGTGAGCCAATTTGTTGAGAATAATTCTTCTTATGATTGTGGCTTGAGTTCAGCTTGTTCTTACCTTTTTTTTGTACACATTTTTAATATTCACACTTGCTGCTCAAGCCACTGACTTCAAAACTGTGAGCACTGTATAGAAAGGAAACTTCTGCAGAAATGAACCCTGTCCTGGCCGGAACCAGGACACAAAGATTTCCTTATATTAATACATTCTTTTCTGCATTTTGAAATTAATTTTTCATGTACATATTAATATGAAAAAAAGCAAGTTTTAATTTTTTTTAAGCTATGTTGAATTAAGCTTAATATTTTCTTCTCCTCCATTAAGACCAAAAGGAAAAGCTGATGCAAGACAACAAGGACCTGCAGTTATGCTACCTGGAACAAAAGCAACAACTGGATGATCTGAAAAATCAAGTGAAGTTTTTCACCAAGGTGAACTTTATTTCTGTTCAGAATATGAGGAAAAAAAAACCCTCTCTTGTTACTTGAATGTATTTCTTTGATTCCCATCTGATGACATCTTTCCATTAAGTTGCAGGAAAGTGATGTTGATGTGGCAGAACTCAATGAAGCCCTTTTGCTTATAAAGGTAATTTATAAAGAAAAAGCGTGTGAGGGGTTGGATGATCTGTAGGATCCCTCCCAACTCAAGCCATTCTAGGAGTTGATATATTTCGCATTAATTCCATTATTTTAAATCAGATTCACCACCGTTTTCCTCAGTTAAATCACTTATCATGCCATGTTGTTCTTCCTTTAATGTTTATTAAAGACAGTTGTGTTTACTAATTCTGTAAATCAATGATAATGAAAAAAAGAAGGAAAAAAAAAAAAACACTGAAAAACCCAAAGTGAAAATTAAAACTTCGGTATTAATAACAAAAGTAGCATAGACCTGAGAATAATAATCCACATTTTACACATTCACTGACGCAGGATTATTAATTATATAAAAGGCAAACATAGGAACAAGTTTGTATTTTCACTGGATAGACAGGCGTGATTGCTTCTGAACAGCTGCTGAGTTGTAATTGGTGCCTGGTAATGAGGAGATTACATTGCTGAATGCAATCCTGACACTTTCTGGTCTGCCTCATTCCTATCTCTGTGTTATCACGTGCTCAGAATTGATAAAAGTTCTGCTGCCTCTCTTGTTTCACCACAAGCAACTCCCAGTGCTGTCCATTCCGTCAGGCACAAATACGGCCAAACCTTTTTAATTTTAATTGTTTTTTCACTCCCTCCAGGATCGAAAGCAGCAGCAGAACAGGGACCCTCTGGCTTTGGAAAAACTGGAAGATGATGCCCATAAAGATTTGGAACACTCCATGAGGGAGCTGCAGTTAACACACGCAGAAACGGTGCAAGAACTTGAGAAGACCAGGAACATGTTAATTATGCAGCACAAAATCAGCAAAGATTACCAGGTACTAAACTCTGCTTACAGTGGCAAATAACCTGAGAACGGTGATTTACCATTTGTAGTTTTGACACTTTGCAAATTCAGCGGGCAACAAAGCCAGCCTGTGCTTAGGGAACCGAAGATAAAATTTGCTGGTGTCGAAAGTATTGTTTAAAAAAACCTGAGGTGGGTTTAACTGTAGCCTTTTAACTCCTCCTGATCACAGCCCCTCAAGTTCTGCCTTCCTGGCATTATCTCTGAGCTCTTATCAGCTCTTTAAAGTAAGATTTTAAGTGTGCTTGTCTGATAAGCTTCCCTGTCTGCAACACTCTGCTTTCACTCTCTTTCTGTTGCATTATTGCAGATCATATTTTGACTTCTCCTTCGAATTATTCAAGTTTAAAATAACAGAAACTGTTAGGAAACACTGTCCTGAAAGAATAGCTACTCTGTTTTTCTCAAAGATGTGTTTAGATTTTGCTGAAATTAGAACTGATTGCTGCATGGATGTATTAAAAACCGCTGCATTTTTGGGTGCTGTAAATGTTTTCTCCTCAAATCTAACTCTATTTTAATTTGTTGCCAAAAGCATTTGCAGTATCAGCGCAGATGAGCCTCAAAAGTCCTTTTTTTTTACACTAATTTTTTTTTTTCAGACTGAAGTAGAAACAATGACTAAAAAGATGGAAAGGACACAGAAAGACTACGAGTTAAAACTGGAACAGTATTCCCACCTGCTTGATATCAGAGCTGCACGCATCAGAAAACTAGAAGGTATCTTACTGGCCTCAGTGATCCTGATGGGTCCCTTTTCCAACTCAGCACGTTCTATGATTCTTTTAATTTTTTTTTCAAAACATTTTATCCGCTGTAAATCTGTTCTTCACTTGAAACACTTTTCCTAAAACTGGTAGAAAGGTTAGTTCTTTCACGGAAAATTATCTGTGCACTGTTTCATTGACCTCAATGAAAATTGAACTCCCTTATAATCTGCTAATAACTGTTAGGGGCCTGTGTTTATTTTGATGTGTACTGAAGCAGGCCCACTGAGAAATACTCTTGATTGTTGTCAGTGTTCTCGCCCTGAGCATTAGGTGTATGATTTAAAGTGTGATTTCTTTTTTGGTAGTGCCTTTAAGGAAGTAGCATTGTTAATGTAATTGAATTAGGCTTTTATCCTTTTTTACTTCGTCATTAATTATATTGGATTTTTTAAAAAAGTTATATCACAGCCTCTGTTTTATCACTTGCAGCCCAACTAAGAGATATCGTCTATGATGCAAAACCAGCTAAATCTAGACCAGAAATCCTACCAGGTGATGGGGTGGACGAATTTGTCGAGACTGTTCACTTAGAAAGAGGAGAGAACCTTTTTGAGATCCACATCGGCAGAGCCACCTTCACCCCCGAAGCCCTGCAGGCCCTGGGCGAGCAGCAACCCGCGACCTTCTGCACTTACGCCTTCTACGACTTCGAACTCCAGCTCAGCCCAGTGGTGCAGGGAGGTGCCCCATCCTATGACTTCACCTCTCAGTACCTCGTGCAGGCTGATGACACCTTCTGTCACTACATCCAGCAGAGCAGCGTCACCCTCGAGCTGCACCGCGCCTACGGCGTCGACTACGAGACGCTGGCGGCCTGTCCGCTCAACTTCCACGAGGTCCTGGACAGCAACGGGAGGGTCCACAAAACAGCAAACTTAGTTGGTGAGGAGAGTGTCACAAAGGGTGTGTTACTGTTTCAGAAGGAAAAAAAAAAAACAACCCAAAGTTTAGGCAGAAATGCTGGATGTGATTCTGCCAGCTGGGGTGGGGAAAGCTTGGGCAGCTGCAGTTTTAGGGTAAAAGGTGTGTGTGGGGGGGAAAACCCAAACTGAGAGGCCACTCCCACTTCACCCGTATCAAATATCTGGCCCAAATGTCATCAGTATATGTCCTCTCACTCCTTAGCAATAAATAAAGGAAGAAATGGTGGGATTTAAATGGGTAGGACAAAGGTCTTCATGTAATAGTTGTAAAGCATCAGAAAGGTTCAAAATACAGAGATTATGGTTAATAATATTTCATATATTATTTGAATAATCAGTGGGGACGTTGGTTTACATTTTTTGCGTTATTTTAGGTACATTTATGTGCATAATTTAAAAATAACTTTAGGATATCCTGGACAGGACACTCTTAAGAAGTATTTAATATTCTGTGCTGCTTCTCCTTTTAAAAGTGTCAGATCAGCATATTCAGTGACCTCTAACTTCCCATTTTTGTAAAGAACCTTCTTTAATAAGCTGTTATAAAGTGGTACCTTTGCCAGTAATTCAAATTGCACACCACTTTTTGGGACACTTCCAACTGCTGACATACAAAACTGTCCTAAGCTTTATTTGCTCTGTTAAAATAATGAACCTGGCTTGAACTTACTCTATAGCTCACACAATAAATATTGCAGATTACAGCATGAAAAAGTCATACGTGTGGAGCCAGAGGAGTTGTTGTTTCTGTCTCTAACATGAGCTCCAGATCTCTTGTTACAAACCCTGCCATGAAGCACAGTCAATTAATCTCTAATTTGTGCCACTTCCTATTTTTTTTTTTACTAAAGGGCTTTATTTTTGAAAGGGAAATTAATGCAATCCCGTATTTATTCCGTAGGAAAAACAGGACACATTCAAAATTACGGTACCATAGAATACTGGATCAGGTTACAAGTCCCTATGGATCAAGCTGTCGTTCCTTACAAACAGCCATCCAGGGCTCTGGGATGTGTAACATCCAATTTTAGGGAACATGAACAGCCATCCCAGGTATGTTATTCCTGAATTGTTAAACCAGCTCGGTGGCAGATCACTAGAATGGGTCGTTCAGAAAAGTTTCTGAGAAAATACTCAGAAATGTTTGAGTATTGTGATATTACTTTGGGGTTTTTATTGGGTTTTTTTACTGGATATTGAAGAGAATATTTGTAATATAATGTAATATAATATTTGTAATATAATGTAATATAAAGTTTAAATAAGAGTCACAGAAAAAGAAGGGACTTCCAAACATAACAGTTGTTTACGAAATAAAAGCAGTCAGGTTGAAATGGATAAATTAAAACACTGTATTTTGAATGGGCTTTTTTTTTAGTCTAAGCTGTTTAAAATACTCTAGATCTGGAGTAAGTTTTATGTTATTTCATAATGTAAGTTTATATTGTACCAAAATCTCAACAGGTTCCATGATGTAACCTGAGAGGTATGTTGTGTATGAGTTCTGATAAATCATCTGGTCTGTTTAGAATACAGAATTTAGTGCCATTAGACTTGGCTTTGACAAAAATGAGGGTCTCTCCTCACTTACTGTAATAGAAAATGGTTAGAAAATGGCAGTAAATGGTCTTCCTATCTTTGTTTTCCTACAGAAACCGAGCCCCAAACGGAGGCAGCGAGCAGTGCAGGCAGACAGGAGAGTCTCCTTTCTGGACCTGAAGCCAATACAGGTAGCAGAAAATCCCAGTTATTTTTGTCCTGCACGTTGAAGCATGAAAGGACAATCTGTAGAACTAATAATCAGGACCACTTGGTTATTTGAACTGCACAGCCCTGGGCAGGGAAGGACAGCAGACAGGTGGGGGTGCAGGGCAGGGGGATTTGTGTGACACCCTCAGAACTGCCTGAGATCCTCCACCCTTGACAAGCTTCACCTTGCACAGGCTTAGGGCAAATTCCAGCAGGCCCAATCCAATCCCTCTGCACTGTGTTTGGCACTCCCTGCATCATTAAAGTACCTCTGCACCACTTGCACCAGCACAGGAATGGCTCTGCAGAAACCAGGACTGATCCCAACAGGTCCTGAGTGCTGTGCCAGTGAATTGCAGCGTGACGCAGTTCAGAGTCACCCCTTAAACCAGATCCACCAGCTGAGACTGCACACACTGTGAGAACAATTACACTTCTACATTTGGGGTACACTGTCACCTGCACATCCTTCCAGAGTCTAGAGGAGTCTGTGTGGAACTATCTCCAACATATCTGCTGCATAGTGTCAATTTTCATTTCATCTGAAATAATTTGTCTTCAGAGAACTAAGAATAGGCTGCCTTTAGTCTTTTAATCAAATCCAGTAAGCAAAGGTAGGTAATTTTAAAAGATTATGAGTACTAATATTATATAGTAATAATAATACTGTGTTGCATTAATTAAAAGCTAGGTGTGATAAGTTTTCCTTTCATAAATGCCTCAATTTATTTTTGAAATATTAACAGCAGTTTTCATTAACAGATTCTGCTGTTTTTTAGTTTACTATGAATAGAACTTTCTTGTGAGCTATACAGTATAAACTGGAAATAAGAATTCAGTCAATCTGTTGCCCTTCTTAACTTTAAAAGACAGCAAGTCAGGTGTTGGTGAATCAAATCTCCTGAGAGGTAAGATAAGAAAAACTGAAATGTTAGCTGGGTAGTCACACACACATCTTCACATCTTCACATCTTCAGCTGTTCAAACAGTCACTTTTCAAAGTTGAGTTTTTCCCAAACTGGGATTTCTAAGGGAGACTCTCTCTGCTATACCAGTTTTATGTTACTGCATTGACACCTCCTGTAGTCCTATTGCATGAGCAATACAATTATTTAAAGGCTGTGGATAATGAATGTGGGCCATAACTTTTCAAGTTTTAAACTTTAGTCACTTTTACTACTCAAGGAGCGTTATAAAGACTGTCAAGTGTCTTTTTTTTTTTCTACAGCATGTGCTGCAGGAGGTTAAACAGCTGGCAGATGATCAGGGGAAGGAGATGGCTGAAGGAACTGGACAGGGAAAAGAAGAGCTCTCCCATCTATCTGAGAAACAGTTACCTGCCCAACCATCAGTTCCTCCTGGAGATGAGACACAAGTAACTGAAGAGCTGGAATCAGAAGGTAGAAAATTCAGTTTTGTTAATAAGGAGCTGTACTTTAGAAATCTGGGGCTCTTTTCCCTTTGCAGAAGCATTTCTGACCAGCAATGGGAGCTGCCTCATGAGGAGAAACTGAGACTCTAGAGATGATTTTCCCAAATGAAAACTGTGTTCTAGTTCCTTGCAAAAATCTATCTTACCTAGATTGATAAAATATTAAACAGCATTTATATTCTCCCTTAGAACTGAGTTTAGTACTGAAAAAAACCAAATCCACATTACCAAATTTAAAAGTAAAAGCTTAAGTGGAATGCTACAATTTTATGTCCAGTTATTTTCAGCTTCTGCATAAGAATTCATTAGGAAGCCTGGAAAACCTTGATGCTGAACATCTGTTGTCTTTATAAGTAATTTGCTTCAGAGAAAAAAAAAAAAAACCAACAATCCTGAATGCTCTAGAAAATAATCCACCTGCAACCAGAATTACTTTTTTATGAAAAAAAAAAAAAAAAGCTGCATTCTTCTTTTACATGTGTTTGGTTTTAAAGAAGTTAGAGAAATCCACAAATTCAGGCCATATTCTTATATAAAGCCAACAGTTGTTCATATTTCAGTTCATCACAGCACTTACTCCGTTTGCCACCTTTCACCTGGTAAATATTCCTATTTTTTTAACAAACCAGGAAAAAAAAAAAAAACAGTTTCTTTGACTCTAAAGGTCATTGATTTGTAATCTTCTGCAATGAAGAGAAGATTTACCTGGCACTTTATTTATTAGGAAAGGAAATGCATTTGCTATCAGATTTCTCAGCTAGTCTCAGATTGTCTAAAATAAAGGTTTTTAGCTGCATTGATTTTATTTTGATTTCTTTTTCTTTCAGACCAAGATGACAGACAAGAGGATGATGCTGTTGAATCAATCAAAACTGACAGTGATGACTGTATTATCTCAAGTCCAGTATCCACAAATATTAAACAGCTGAGTCAGAGTACATATGGCAATTTGGTAAGACTAAGACAAATATTTTAAGCTTAATGTCCTCTAAAAGTAGCTTTGCTATATCTGACATCAGTTTTCAGTGAAGTTGTGCATGCCCAGGATCCAATCTCTTGGCTTCTTCTGAAAACCAAACAAATATATTACAAACCATTGGCTTCTCCTTGTCTCTGATGTGTGATTAATCACAGAACACTTCACTTCCTTTCATTTTATTTACAAATCTGGAGATGGAAAACATAAGTCAAGGACCATCACTTTGATGACAATTGGCAGTTGTTTGACTCGCTAGATTGTTGGAAAATCATTCCTTTAACTATTTCATCATTAACTATTTCATCTATTCCCACTAATATTGCCAGCTGAAGCCATGGACCTGTATTAGGGCAGACAGGATGGTATGGGATTTTTCCTGTCATGCCAGCTAAATTTCATTTAATTTTCTTTATTATAAAATAATCAGATTTGGGATTTTAGTTAAGATACATAATAAAAGGAAATGTTTTGAAAGGAGAGGGTAAAACTACGTCATCAACTACTGAAAGAACTTGACAGCAATGGAAAGTGTTCTATGTGATGGATATTTTTACACTGGGATATACCTGCTTTTCAGTTTAATTATATAATTTGCTTGGGAAAATGTAAGCTATCTCCATAATAAATAATAATATCCAGAATATATTAAATACAAACCCTGGGGCTTTAGATTCTCCTTGTGTATATGTAACAACCAATCAGCATTAATCATACAAAATAGCTGATGATTTACATGTATGAATGCATGATTTGTGTTAACACTTCAAGAAACAAAAAAGTGATTTTATGTTTGTGTTTTGGTTTTAAACAGGAAGCTGAAAAAATCCGCATTAAAATCACATCCCTCGGCCTCACTGAATCCCGAGTTACAGCAGATGAAACAATCCAGCAGCTGTTTGTGGAATGCAGATTAAACAACTTCCTTGCAGAGGAGACCCCCCTGTCCCTTCCAAAACCCACGGGTGGTCAGAGGATTCACTACAACTACAGCACTGGTGAGTGGGACGTGTTCCCTGAGCAGCCTGGGGGTTGAGATGAGAATGCCTGCAGTGAAACCTCCTTCCTGGACAATCATTTTCCCAGCTGTTTCTTAGTATTTCAATTATTCATTAACTTTTTCTTTCCTGTTTAAGTCTGTTTCGTTTAAGATTCGGTCTGAGCGCTTCGTGTTGTCTTGCACTTTTAGGTGACAGGATCCTGGAGCAGGGGAATCAGTTTGCTGTTTTTCACAAGCCATTATTACAGACATTCAAATTAAACACTTTCCTGAAAAATAATTCTGTAAAAGTGGCTTTGCAGAAGTGGCGTCACAGGATTTAAATTCCTGGGGCTGGCTGTCAAAAAGGACAAGCACTCTGCCACACATCAGCATTATCACAGCCTTCCTCAGGGGAGGAAATGCAGTCACTTCAAATACAAAACAATTAATACCACTGGTTTTTAAAATCAAGGGCTGCTGTGGCCATTAACAGAAAATGTCAGTCCTGTGGCTTTAGATGGTTAGATCACAGTTCTAACATCTGATGCTAACACTGTTGCTTTTTATTAGAAAAGAGGAAGGTTTCTTTTTCTTTGTTCTTCATGCTCCTTCTCCTAAAAAGGTTAAAACCAATCAATAACGATTTCTATTAATTTCACTTTCCTTTGCAGTGATAAATGTGGATAAGGCACATAATGGTGCAGAAAGAGAGTATCTCAAGTCGATCCTTCTGAAGCCAGATCTGCCTGCTGACAGGTACAGATCAGTGCTGTGAATCTCTATTTACAGGGCTCATGGTCTGCCTTGTCTTTACTGACGAGGGAACCCCGAGGAATTCATTTCTGGTAAATAAAGACGACAAAGCTCAAGCGTGCCAAATATCAGATTTAAATATTTTTCTGAACTTCAAGCTTGTAATATTTTTTAAATGCTATTTATATTATTTACATATATAAATGAATATTTAAATATTTAAATGAATGATTCTCCCCTTTGGCCATAAGTTACTGTTGCAAATCTTACTCTGCCTGCTTTTCATTTATGCTTTATTGAAAATTTAATAATAGTTGTACCTGCAAGCCAAAAATTATTCCAGCATTAATCTCCTCTTCTATCACTGTCTTAGGTGCCAAGCTGATTTCCCCATATTGATGTGATTGAACATTGAATCAAAACAATCTATTCCCAGTGCTCAGTTTTATCAGTTGTTGTTATTATAATCTTTCATTTGTTTTTATGTAATTTAATATTTATCTTACACATCTAAGTTGTGGGTTTTTTTTATCGAGTTTTGGCCATTTTGCTTCTGCTTAGCTCTTTGTCCAAATCCTAAGTTAAATCAATTATAATCGACCCACCTGTTGAAAACAGCTGTGATATTTTCCCTTTTTTTGCCTCTAGACCATTTATTTAAACACACACTTTCAGCAGGCCTCTGGCTTTAGTGACTAATATTTACAAATATATATTTTTCCTATAATAAATACTTGAATTTTGCACAACTTTGAGTGCCACCCACTGTTTGAAATTATGCTTATTGTAGCATATTGTAGGAGGGGAAATGAATCAGTTCTGTAAGCCTGAAGGTCTGGGGTTACACCTCTGTCCTTTTAGTGCTGCTAAATAGTCCTAAAGGAGGAGGGAAGATTTCAAAGAAATGATCCCAGAATATTCTTGCAGTGGGAAATGCTGAGTATAATTCACATGTAAAATAGTGGGGGGTTGCCTTTTTAATGTTTTGGTTTTTTTTTTTTTTTTTAATTTGATTTGTCACCCTTTCTGAAGGTAAAATATCTTGTTTGCTTGTTTTTCTGGGGGGGCTCTTTTGTGTTTAGCCTAAAATTTACAGTGGTCAGTGATCCCCCAGAGGATGAGCAGGATCTGGAGTGTGAGGATGTCGGTTTTGCTTATGTCAGTTTGAAAGAGATCTTCCAGAAGCAAAGAGATATCATTGAGCAAGATATTGATGGTGAGTTTGAAAAGATCTCCTTGGTATCTTCTGCAGCCTAAAAATTGTTGGATTTCTACTTTTCTTTGCAAGTAATTGTTTCACATTGTCTCAATAAGAAACTCTGTAATATTAACTAATGGGTTCCACACTTGTTTGCAAAAGTCTGCAAAAACTATTAGTGTTATTCCTTCAAATCTGTTTAAAAAACCCAAAACCAAACAGCATTCCCAGCTCACAGTAATTAGTTCATAAAATCTAATTAAGAACTTACTATAATTCTCCATTTTCTACAACATACTTCATTTTAGTAGGACCACAAATGTATCTTTATATATTTATATGTTAATAGTTCTGTCAAGAGCTAATCAATATTGTGTAATGACAACCAACCGCTTCAGTACTCATCTTTTACACCACCACAGAAGCTTGGAATTGAAATAATTTTGCATTGCAACAACTGAAAAAAAAAAAAAAAAAAACCAAACCACGATTTACTATTTAAATACTAATAACTGATTTGGACCCATCATGCACACAGTGCAGCAAATGCATTAATTGCTGTATTTTTACTTAAAACTACTCCTAACCATGCATATAATGTCTTTAATAGAGAGTTTGGAACATCTGCCTTTACATCTTGTGAGAAGTCATTATTTTATAGGGGTAATTATCATACTGATAGGTTTTTTTTTATTTCCACATTAATCCCAACACTAACACTTAATTATTGTTGTACATTCAGATTCTTGGCTCCTTTGTTCCTATAGCAGGCTGAGGACCTGAACTGGAAGGTTTCTCTACTATTTACTTATTTCTCCTCTAATTTTTTGGTTGTGTTTTTTTAGCATATGGTGCCTTTTAATCTGCCCAAACGCTAAGGAAAATTAATTAGAACAAAAAGCCAAACCTTAAATTGAATTGCTACAGATGTTTCCTGACGTTTCCTTTGCAGTTGTGGATTCCCAAGATGCCGGTGCCGTCATTGGAAAGCTGACAGTGACAGTGGAGGCGCTCCAGGCGCTGCGTTCGGTGCACCAGGAATGCAGGAATGAGTAGCAGGTGGGAAAAGGGACATTTTTTGCCTTCCAGAAGTTTCCTGCTCCTGGTATAAAGACCGTGGTGCACCAATGATGAGATCGTCGTCATTCTTACAGTGCACTTAATATCTGATTTCTGTGAAGGGGATGTTTGATGTGTAGGTGCATAATTTTGTGTGCTTTTCAGGCTGTTTTCTTATTTTGAAGGCCCTTCCTTCGACTCTAAGCAGTTGATGGTATCAAGGTCTAACTCAGTCCTAGCAGATCGTTTTCAAACCTGCTTGTAAATGATCAGATACCAGTTGGGGGTACTTTGTGTAAGGAAATATGTGATTGGGAACCTCGAGACAGCAATGCTTGTAGGTTCTTACTAAAAGTATTCCATCCCAGTCCTCTCTCAGGACAGGATCACCAGCCAGAGCTAGATCTAAGCATGTGGAGCAGTTTTTGCACTTAATGTACCATCTAATAATTAAAATATTTTTTTTTAAATTCTAGAGATGGCACAAGTGTGACCACATTTGTCATTTGTTTCAGCCATTTCACATTTTGCATTAAAAAAAAAAAAAAAAAAACCCCAAAGCATTTTAGTGTTGATTTTCATGGACTGCAGTATGCCATCAAATTGCCATCCAGTTTGGCAAACACCACACAACTGTGAGGCAGTTGACAAAAAGCAGCTTTTATTGTTAACAATGTGGTTTGCTCAGATAATTTTTCTGTATAATTCAGCGGTAAACAATTTGTTATGGTTTATTCCTGGGTTGTTTGGCTTGGTTGGTTTTTTTTTTTTTATATATATATTAGATTATTTTAAGAGTAAGAAATCATCCTCATAACCTTCACTCACACATTTTAGGTTTCAAGGATTTTCCCTGAGCTGTGAGAAACAGGGATATAAACCTGTAACCTCTGTCCACACCTGTTCTGTGTATCAAAATACATCTTTCAGGGGTCCAGCATCAAGAGCTGCAACAGTGCAAGACAGGTCTTGCACCTGACCCAGCAATGATTTAACATTTTTGTGGATCTGGAAAACAACCTATTTTCTATTTAGACAAACTGTCATTCTTGTTGAATGCCCAGTTATTTCCATATGTATTAAAAGTCACAAGAACCCGAAAAAATGTTGGAAAAACGCGGTCCTTCTACTGAAAAAAAAAAAAAAAAACCAACTCCAAGTGAACTTTCTTTTGCTTGAAAGACTGTTAGCAACCAGGAGTTATTCTGATTACCTACTCATAAACAGCTGCACCAATCCCAACCTTCAAATGCTCAGAGAACAGGCAAATGCTCTTTGGTAAATGCTGTTCTGACACAGAACAGGCAATTCTGTTTGAGGGTGGTGGGGATGGAAATGAATGCAGCCACTGTTAATGATTTCACAAGATCGTTTGGAGCAGCTGGATGTTTTCTTGCCAACTCCCTTATTTACAAGGAAGCTGTGTCAGCAGCTTGCTCCAAGCCTGTGCTTGGATAACCAGGTGAATGCTTTTTCTTGGTTGTATGTTATTCCTGTAAAACTTTTTGCAAAAAATTATTTTTCTTCTCTTCCTCGCTAAATTAAAAGAATTTCTCTTGGAGGGTGGGGCTCCTTCTCCAGATGTGAATTGAAGGTTCTAATGAACCAAAAGACATTGAAAAGGTCACCACTCTGGGCATCTTATGGCTGTGGAGGTCTTTGTCCAAATTGAGAACATCTTCAACTGTGAAAAGTAAAGCAATAAAGCAACTTTTGTCACAAACAGCCTAAAAATAAAAAGAGAGATCAGTCTTCTGTTCCAGAGGAAGGGCTGTTGAATAAGCTTTTTGTCCAGTCTTTTCACAGAACAGTGGCTTCCCAGACTACTCGACTCTCAAGACGAAAGGCAAATGTATTTTGGGGCACACAGGCTGGAAGGGGGGCCAAAACTGGCTATTAATAACCCCAGACATTAGTTAAGCAGAGTCACACAGTGACATTTATTCTCTGATTCGCCAAAAACAGAACAATAATGAAGTGGAAGTGGCCAGTGAGCTTGTTGTGTTGGGAGGAGGGACCTTGTGACTGCTGTTGGACAGACAAAGGCATCAAATGGAAACAACCCTGGCTTTACCATAACTGTACAGCAGCCACTGCCACAGCTCACACTGAGGGGCTGCCCTCTGCTCTTGGATGGAAACAGCAGATGCTGGAAGTGGTTGTGTAAAGAAGCCTCTGGTGGAATGGGATGAAAACTCAGACACATCACAATCCCCTGGTGAGCTGGGCGGGTGGGCAGTGAGACAAGTGCTCATTTGAAGTGACAAACCACAGGGGCTCACTGTCCTGCCAGCATCTCTCAGGTTGTGTCTTAGCAACTGGCCAGCCAAAAGCAGAGCATCAGCACCTCAGAAATCATCTCCAGAATTACCTGAAACTCTTCAGTCAGTCATTTGTGCTGAACTCCCTAAAAACAGGCACTGCTGCAAGAACTATCCTACTTCATGAGAAAAAAAATTATATTCTACACCATTTAAACAACACTCTGTTTAAAATCCTGTGTTTTAAGTTCAATCCCTGCCTCGTTGTTCAACCAATTTTTGCCAAGGTGGGACCTCGATGAGCGGGACTGACTCGTACTTGCCATTTGGATCCCGGTGGAATCTGCTTTTTAGACACCCCTTGCTCCAAGAGTTATCCATATCCATATCCATATCCAATGCTCACTGACAGAGCTCTGTGTAGAACAATACAGCCCTTCACTGACAGCAGTAAATCAAATCAGAAATGTTCCTAAAAATTAGCACTAACGTCGGGCTAGGCTGGATTTTTTCAGTTATCCGTGGGAGTTTAAGTTTCCATAAATAAACCGAAGCATGTTTTTGATGAAGGAAGTCCCAACACAAAGCCAAGTTGTCAAAATAGCCAAGAGCTTTTTCAAAGCAACAAAACTCCTTTAGTGCAAACACAGGAGCATTTTCAGACACACTGAGCTGGACAAAACAGGATTGTGTGGGAACACGCAGAGGGAAAGGCACTGGATGCTGCTGGAGCAGCGAGCACATGACCACGTGCACGTGGTAGCACTTCACACTGACAGATTGTTTAGGAGGGGGAGGTATTAACATTTTTTTTTTCCCTTTTCACGAAGAAGAAATGAGACAGAGAGAAGTCAGTACATCTAGTTGAGGGTCTCAGTGGCCTAAGCAAGGAACAAGCTCCAGGAAATTTAGTTTGCTTTCAAGGTTGCCAGCCCTGGACTGTGGCATTTCTGCCTTAAAGGTGGTGGCAGCTGCACCTATTTCACACAAATCTGAATGAGCAATAACTATTTCCAAGTCCATTCATTAGAGACTCCTGATTCAACACCTCCTGAAACATGACTTTTTTATGGGTTTCACAAACCTGTTTGTGGTACAGGTCATCTGCAATTTCTAAAGGACCCAAAGGATGCATTTACTGTGTTCACAGGATTCAGGAGTTGAGATAACAGAATCCCTGTAGAGACACACAGATTACACTCACAAACAATCATTCAGAGATCTCTGCTTTTTGTTAAATCCATATTTCACTCTAAGACTGGTGGGGGATGAGAAAGATGTGTGAAATGATCTGATGCAAAGATTCAGACACGGGTCAAATAATGCAAAGGGAAGAACCCAACAAGCTCCCTGGGCTGTTGCCCCCAAATTCTTAACGGCTGGTTAAAAAAATTATATTCACTGGGTTCATATCTCTGAGTATCTCCAGGGGAATTTGTACACTTTCATTTTATGTAGCCCAAATCTGTCATTGATTGTCCCCAAAATTGCTCAACAGTTCAGGAATTCAGCAGTCATTCAGTCAAGCATTCATCAGCCTCAGCTGGCATAAATTGGGGCAGGATTTAAAATTCATCTGCCTTTATTATACCCTGCTCCAAAGGAAACGAGAAATCTGAGTTGTATCCATCCAGTGCAAAAGGGAGAGATAATTTACTGCAAAATCAACAAAGGGTGAGAAAAGCTGAGCAGAGAAGCTGAATTGCATGGACAGGGAGAGAGAGCTTTTCACTTCAGCACTGCTCATTATATATTTTATACAGAAAGCAGACATGCTGGATTTCAACAGCATCTCATTTCCAACAGGCTCATCTGTGTCTTTCTGGTTCTCATAATTCAACCAGCAAAGTAATTCCCGGTCAAATAGAGCCCTCACTTGTTTCTTTTTAGACACAAGGACACACATACCAAGGGTTTTGAGGTGCTGGCAGGTAATCTGTTGGTAAAGCAGTAATTGCACCCATTCCAGGGGAGAAATGCACTGCTTTGTTATTGTCCCTTCATCCAACATTCCAGCAGGGAATGGTGGCATACACTGCAGCGCTGGGAAAATAAGACATGGCACATGCTATTACAACAAAAGAAATGAGAAATAAAATCAGCAATCAAATCTGCCTTTTAAGTCTTGGCTTCCAGAGAGTTCACCCCATCACAGAAGCATGAAGGAATTGAGGTGTTTTTTTTTTTCCAGGAACTGTGTTTTATTTATCTAAATAGTGCCACACTGTAATAATACACTGTGTTTGTGAACTCCAGAGAACGACCAGCCCTCAGAGAGATGCATTTATACCCCAGCCCTCCATCCCAAGAGGATAAATGAGCTGTAAGCTCTGGGTTTCATTACCCTGTGGCCCCTCTGTGGTCATGAGGAACCAGAGAGGGAAAGCTGTTCTGAGGAGACAGTCTTGAGATTAAATGTCTCTATTTTGTCACTGAGAAAGCTGCAGAGAGAGCAGTAACACATCTTTCTGAAACCCCTGTGGGCCCCACTTTTCAGAGGGGAAGCTTTTTTTTTTTGTTTTTCCAAGTGCCCCAAAACCATGAAAGGCAACCTGGGAACTGCCACAAGCCAACTGTCCAGTGTGGGCCTGCTGGTGACACTTTGGGGGCTGCTGCGATCCATCCCGAACCACCATCTGTCCCCATCCTGCAGAAAGCAGAGGAAATCTTGTTCCCCACGCACACAACTGAAATGATGTTGATCCATTGATACACTTTGTCCTGATTTGTGTCAGAACTGGGAGCACAAAAAATCCTCAAGAAAGGCAGGTCAAAAGGTGTGGCAACAGGAGGGACCAGCGTGTGAGAACCCAACCCTCATTCTGCCTCATTTCTGGAGGTTTGTGCTTCACACATTCATCAATTCGCCAAAAGAATTTCTGCCCCCAGCACCGCAAAGTTGGGTTTATGCTTATCCGTGCAAAGTTTCCAACTACTCAGGGGAGGGAGGACCTGTGAACTAAACATAAACCACCCAAACCACCAAACAGCAAGCACAGGGACAAGAATATCTCGAAAGTTCCAGTGCCAAAGAGCAGCGTTTGGGCTGAAAAGTGACGCTTGTCCACACTCCAGGCAGGAACCCAGCCGGGAGCCCTCACCGGACAAACCTTCCCCGAACAAAACAACCTTTGCACCTTCCAGAAAATGAGCAAAGCTGATAACTTATCCTCTGGGCTCACGTCTTACTGCTCAATCAGCAGGCAGCCCGGTCTCGTTCACCACTCGCAAGCACGAAAGAGTTAAGATGAACCCGGCACAAACTTTGCCGCCAGCTGAGCTCGCAGCCTCCCTCTCCCTTCCCTCCCTCCTCGCCCGCTGCGGCGCCGGAGCTTTTATTCATCGTCTGCTCTCTGCCCATCGCCTGACGCTGCTGAGGGAGGGACCGCCTGCTCCCATCCAGGCAGGGAAGCTCCTGGAGCGAAGGTTCCTTGCCCTTTCTTCTCCTGTTGCCTGCAAAGGAAGGACATCAGCAGTGACGCTGCTCTGGTGACATCCCGGGATTAGGGAGTGAGAGCCCTCGCTGCAGCGAGCCGTGTGAATTCGAGAGCAGAGGAGAAGGAACTGCACTGTCCTGACTCCAGCTGTAAGACAACTAATCCTTGCTGCACGATTCCCACTCGCTGGGATGGGGGATGTTCCCGGATAAATCACCAGCAAGCTCCTAGTCTGAATCAGGGACTCTCTCGTGCCTTATCCCAACACCACTGCCTGCTCTGAAAGGTAACTGTGCTTTATTCCCCTCTCTCCCTGTGCATCTACCACAGCTGAGACACTCTCAGAGCCTTCACTTCGGCATGACAACAAAAATACTCCCCACCACTAAAAGCAGAGATGCCAATCTACCCCTCCATCACTTTCCCTCAGAGCCTCCTGGGAAAAAATGCAAGCCCTGGATGGAATTGGTACTTTTGATGTTTTGGTTGCATTTCTTCAATGCTGATATTTTTCTGTAAAGGTGGCCAGGACAGAATATACCTGGTACTGAGTGTTCAAAACCAAACTGTTCTGTGCCTGCCAGCCAGTTCAGTTCACTTGAAATTAAGGGAAAGGGGAAGCTACACGAGCTATTGTTCTATTTTGTCCCACTTACCTGTTTGTAAGAGTCAGAGAGTATCGTGTGGGAAAGCAAAAGAGAGCTCGAGAAAGTTGCCTGCATTTTCAGAGGTGCCGTGCTGGCAGGTGGCACTCACACCCAGTCTGGGAGTGGAAGGAAGCGAGTGGGAGAGACAGGACATTCACTGCAGTTGCAGGATCAAGTTTGTGCTGTCTTGTCTGCATTGTTTGGGGGGAAATCTTGCTTTCTCTCTGCTCCCCTGGGACCTGCAAGGGGGCAGAGCACAGCCATGCAGGCTTCACGAAAGCTGCCCAAACCTGAAGCTCTCCACAACCCTGACAGCTGCAGTGAGGGGTGGTAATTTCAGCACCCGTGAAGTTTTGGCTGATGAAATTCCTGTCTCAGTGACACACTCTGAGATGAAACCTTTCTGTTCTTGTGTATGATGATTCTACTTTCACTGCAGATTTTTATTGAATGAAATATGTTGTGTTTGGGTTTTTTTTTTTTAATCCCTAATTAAAAATAACCACAAACTGAGCACCAGTGATCACTCCTGGTGCCTGGCCCCTCTCAGAACTGGAATGTGAACAATTAGATTGGCATGGTTTGGTCTAAAGTTAAATACCCAGAGCTTCTCCTAATTTCAGTGTCTCACAGGAGCAGGATAAGGGGTTTCTTATCTGTTTGTTCTAAAGATACCACATATAGGCTAAGCTATTTTGGTACCTGGCTTCATTTCTCTCTCTCTCTCTCTCTCTCTCATTTGTTTTCATTTTAGAAAGCTGCCTTTTTGACTGTTTGTGATGAGGAACTCAAAACTCCATCCTCTTTAAGCAAGGATCATTAGCCCAGGATTTAGGAGAGAAGACATCCCTCAGCACTCTGGCAAAGCAGAAAACAACCCTCCCCAGCTCCAGACAAGGATAAACCACCTGCTGTGGGAGAAGGTGGCAGAAAGCTCATTGGAAAACAACCCCCAAGCTGTGCAAACCTTTGCAGCTCAGTTTGAGAGAAGGACCGAAACTTCTCACCTACCAAACAGGCTGACCTACCAAAAGAAGGACCAAAATATTTCCAGCACAAAATCAAAGCCGGGGGGAGGTGCAGAACACGAGTTGTCATTGTGATAGCAACTTGCAAAATGATCTGCAAGGTCCTGTCCCTGTGCAGTGTGAACCAGCAGCCTTGACACCACGAGGACAGAGCACCGTGCCATCTGCCCTCAGCTGCCTCTCCTGACATCCTCTGCGAGTCTGGGGAGGGAAGACAGGAAATCCAAGGCATGCAGGGAAAATGGAGCAGAGCTGATTAACCCCTCACCCCCCCGAGAGCGATGCCCGACACCCATTTCAGATTCCGCGGAAACCTGACCGGCCGTGTCCACCTCCCAACCGTGGCCACCCAAGTGGACACGGCAGCAGAGAAATATTCCGGCCTCTACATCTACGTGGGGTTGTTCCTGACCCTCCTGGCCATCCTCCTCATGCTGCTTCTCTCCGTGCTCCTGCGCCTCAAGCACGTGGTGTCCCCGCTCATCCTGTCCCCCGAGGGCACCGAGAACACCCAGCAGTTCACGGATGTGGAGATGCACAGCAGGATTCCAACCGCTTAGAGAGAGACCCCTCCAAAGCTTGTGGATTGTGTTTTGTTGGGCAAAATGCGGTGGGAAGAACGTGTGGCTGCTCGTGGAGCCCTGCAGCTGCTTGCACAACCTGTCATCAGCAGCTCAGAGCATCTGGGAAGTGTCGTGGGTCAGTGGCTGGTAACACTGTAGGTGAATGGTGTGCAATACCCTCAGTAAAATTTACATTACAGAAACCTGTTGCTGGCAGGAAAGACTGGTATCCCTCTAAAAACCTTACAGGAATCATGAAAATCACAATAATAACAGCCAAAAACCCAGAGAGACAGCAGTGTGTCCTGGAGCCTGTATTTGCTGACACCTCTGTCTGCCCTTAAAATATCTTGTGAAAGGAGTTGAATCAACAAAGCTGAGTGGTGTAAGTGGGAAGAGCCCACAGGGCACAGACAGAAATTATCAGTGGCTTGAACATTCTCAGGCTTTTTTCCCATTCAAGAGGGAAAAGCTTAAATTGCTTTTTTTCCCCACTGGGATGGCAGTTACACAAGGGAGTTTTGGAAGTATGCAAGTGTTTCATCACCTGCTGGAACGACTGTTTTTTGACACTAAAACCTGTACAGTGAACAGTTGCATGCTGGGTATCATAAAGAGACGGAACTTTAAAAGAGGAAAGAAAATAAAGCCAAAATTTAAGCAAGGTTTAAAGTAAAAATAAAGCATTGGCAGGAAAATGAGCAGCAGGAGAGAAAAAAATGTTAAGACACTCTACCTCTTCCTTTGTTCTTCATCACATTAACTGAGCAGAACACAAACATGTTCATGATTTTCAGCTTCCCCAGTATCACCCAGTAATTCCAGAAAAAGTTTGAGTGAGATTGTTTCAGCTACATCTCTAAAGGGCAGACATTTTACACAGCTTATCTTCTTTATTACGATCTCATTCTAGTTTAGCAATAAAATCTTAATTTTTCTCTCTCCAAGGGCTTGGAAGGTGTAAACACCTGACATAAAACCAGTGTAAAACTGAGGAAGACACTGACTGTCAGTGCTGCACAAGAGCCACAATTTTTTGTGATGATCTGGATATTAATGCAACAAAGACAGATGGACACTGAGTTAGTCAGTGACATTTAAATTTAACAAAAATCTATGCAGATCAAGTTGGCTTGGCATGTGTCACTCACTGAGCCATCACAAGGCAGCCTAGCCCATGCTCAACATCTGACTTGCCCTCTAAAACTTTTCAATTTTCTTGATATGCCATTCAAAAGCTACAACTTACCTAGACCATAAATGTTCTAATGTACTAAATCAGCAGCTAAACCACATTTACCTTCCAGCACAACCATCTGCAGAACAGCCTTGTATCCAAGAGGCTGCAGAACAGACAGCTTTTATCGACATAAAATGTCAGACCTACTTAAGGAAAATGAAAGTATCAGAATCTGAGCTGGGACCCAAATGCTGATTGCTCTGATCTTGGCCAAAATGCCCCCCAAGGGAGGTGTCAAGACTGAGCTGCTTTCCTTCCCACTAGAGAATGTTAATTCAGAAGAGTCTCGCATTTTAAAACTTAGTAAATATATTGTAAATAAATGAGCAGTCATTTTATCTATATTACATTATATCAGATACCATCTTTGGGCAGACTGTGTATTGCTCTGTAATACTGTAATGGGAGGTACCATATCTTCTAATAAAAAAATAACGAGTTTTCCTTTCTATAGCCTAATTTCACACAAAGTATCCGTCCCACTTGACACTCCTACAGACCAAATGGCACTCAGAGTGCCTCGTTTGTCTGTACAATGCCAGTAAACTAAATAACGAAACTAAAAATAAATAAACTAAAAGAGCAGAATGTCTTTCCCTCTTTTCATTCTCATTTGTAATGTCCAAGGTCTGAGGGATGTGTCTGAGGAAAGACTGGATCTCGAACAGCTGCAGGTCCAAACCCTCCCCCTCCAGCAGTCTGTTCCCTTCCCACTTGTCTCTCTGCTACAGAAAATGGGTTTACAAAGATAAAGAGGCATATTCTGTCAGTGGTGAGTCATTGACTGCTCTGCGCTGTTCCCACCTGGGCATCTGAAGGACCAGCCCACACGTGTGTCGCTGTGTCAGCCACTCACAAAAGAACACAAGAAACTGATAGCAGAGAATTCTCTAAATAAAATCTTTACATGCAATTTTAATCAGTAAAATAAGGAGCTTTTTCTAGATGGTTAGTACAGGGTTTGACTTCAGTGCTACTGAGGCAGGAAAACCTGCTAATTGCAAGGTGTTGTCTGTTTAACAGAGATGTTGTCTTTCTGGGTGTATAAATTGTCAATTGTTTCCTTCAAGGAAAGACAAACACGACAAACAAACCTCTCCAAGGCCAGGAAGCCTCGAGAGCTGCTGTCTCTCAGGTGATTAGAGATTATCATCTTTCAGCAGTAATCATTGTTTGGTTTTGGTGTTCTTGTTTGGTTTTTTTTTTTAGTAGACTCATCTGCAAATAAACACAGTCTTCCTCTAGGGAAGGCTGTTTATTCTTCCTTGTGAGTGAGTCTGAAAGATCTTTCATTCAGTCTTCTAAAGTATGAAAGTGCACCTCATTCCACTGAACGAAAATTAGAGTTTTGGACTCCACCATTTTCTTCCCAGGTTTTTCTAGTCCAACATTATTCCTTGAATGTATGTCAATAAATCCATCAGCAAGCAATGGCCAGTAACGTTTAGGCACAGGTCAGCCATTATATTTAGTACAAGCCTAGATAAAGTATGAGAGGAATTTATACAAACGACCTCACATTCCTTCTTTGTCTCCCAGGGCAGTCCTTCCTATTTTCCTGGGGTTTTGTTTTGTTTCTGTTTTTCCATGGTAAGTGGCTGGCACAGGCTCTCTTTATCTACGGTGAAATGCATTCTCATTAGAGTTCTTTGAGATTTTTTGCATCTCTAGAGGGAATTAATTCTTTAGAGGAGAAGGGTTTTCTCCATTGTGGGATTCATACCATAATTAGACAAAATGATGGGCTAAGTCCCAGTGGGGAAAAATGCACTGTCACTGGTGTTCATTTTTGTTACATAAACCCGTGGAGATCACGCTGATTCCTCCTATTGCAGCCACTTCTGAAGCACAGGGGTTGATTTAAAACTGATATATCATTATTATCTAGTACCCACAAGCATCCTCAAGACTTTATCCAAGTCTGACATGAAACTCCATTCTCTGAGACAAATAAAACCAGCCCACAGAACATTTAAGGTCAGTGGCATCTGCATTGCCCAGTCTCAGAAGCAACAGACTGCAGCCAGCCATGCTTGCCTCGTGTTCCTCGCTCAGGCATCCTTGAAGTCAAGCAATAAAAGCCTGATTTTGTGGAAAATAAAGAAAAATATTTAAATGGGTTTATTGCATCAAAAAAATAATTCATGAGGATAGGGGTTATTAAGAATTAACCACATACTTGTAATTAGTTTTCAGATTAAAAACACCAGTCTCGCAGATTTTTGCTATCACCTTGCTGATTTCAAAAGTATGGGGTGTTCACAATTAAGCCAAGTCACATCAACCACAAATGTACTTTTATTGAGGAACAACACAGTGCTCTGTGTATATGCAACTCCTCTGGCTAATTAGCACCTTGGGGGAGGTGGTTCATAAACAGCAAACAGTGAGGGACCAAATCTATCCCCGGAGTACCTTGTGTAACACCGGCCTCAGAATCAATGAGGATTTGACCCGAATCCTCACCAAGTCACTGCCTCACAGAATAAAAATAAAATGTCAGGTTCAGAGAAACCAAAGGTCTTGCCTGTGATGAGAGAAATCGAAGGCCCTGAGGGGACATGGGACACAAATTTCCTTTTGATTTTAGACATGAATCATTTCTTCAGTATCAAAGCTCATGACATTCGGGAAAATTAATTTATTTTACTAGCTGTGCCACAAGTGTCAACATGTACCTGTGGGTGCTGCCTGGCAATGATATCCCTTTGCTCAGGGACAGAAAGGGAATATTAATTGCTTCATGGCAAAGGCACTGGGTCAAGTTCAAGGCTGTCTGATGCTGTTCTATCTACATGGTGGGGGCCCAGCAGCCTTTAAGTGTCCTCAAGCCAGTTTTTCAATTGTAAGCATGTTCTATATAACTCTCTTAGACATCCTTCTGCCTGCATCCTTAGAACATTAAAAAATAAAAGCCACTTTTTTTTTTTTATCTTTGAGAAATTCATTGCATAATACGAACCTTTTGGTTTGGCTCTGCATGAAACGTTTCTAGCATTTCTGGTGATAAAAAGAAGGTCATGAACAGGAAACACACACAAAGATGTTTCTGGCATTGGTTCTTCTCAGTGTATGCAAAGAGAAAAACTGGTGGCCCAGCTCTGTTGAGGAACCTCCAAGTTGAGCTCAGTGGTTTTGGTAAGTATTTAATGGCTACTTTGATCCCTAATGTGTAATGGAAACTATGCTGCTTGTAAACAATAAGCTGATTATCATCCTACTAGCACGAGCAAACAGGAGAGAGAAATGAAATCACATATACCAAAATCCAAAATTCAAAATTCCAATCCACATACCAAAAAGTCCAAAATCCGCTCAATTCCAAACTTAATCAGAGGAGGGTTTTAGGTGTCCCTGAATACTTCTGAAGGGCAATTCAAACTGCCTACATAAACTGAGTTGAGAGGCAGCTACTGGAGAGCCACAGGCAAATGGACAGGGCTGAAATTTAGAATGAGTTCACCTCCCTACCTATTTTTATGCTGCATGGCAAAGAGAGATATTTGCATGTACTCGTGTCATTGGGACTGGCTGGGAAAAGGAACTCGGCCCACCCGGAGCTCCTTCCTAAAGACCTGCAACTGTTGGGTTTACTTGAGCATAATATTGTAACTTCCTTAAAAAATGCACATCAAAAAGAATAACTGAGACATAAATCCCATCTCAGTGCTTGTAAAAAAATGCATGCAAGGCACCTCAGGACTTCTTACAACACTCATGACCTCATCTGTTCGATTTCATTCAGGGAATAGATTTAGATGTCTTTCTTTTCTTGTTGTAGTGTTGTTGGAAATTAATAAGCTTTCCCAAAATTTTAATTAATGGTAGCAGTTAAAATAGATTCTTTTTACTTACAGACTCTTGTCAATTTGATTTTTAAATCACTGAACTTTTGAGTTTCTCTGGACTAGCTCTGATAAGCTTCAATACACAAAGCTTGAGAAAGGTGAGGATTGGACACCTGGAATCTTAAATTTATGTTACTTCAAAGACATGTTGGAGTAACCAGAAGAATGGTTAAGAGGATCAAATAGTGTGGACCAAATTGCCCGATAAAGTACTGATTAAATGAAGAGAACTGCGTAAACTTAGAACCAAGGAATGTGAATTTGTTTGTGAAAATGTATAAATACGTGGAAAGTCTCGAAAGGGTACGGCTAGCTGGAATTATTTGCTACGTATCTCTGACCACAATAAAGCATTAACACTTTAAAGGTTGCGTTGGACGGTTTTATTTCTTCCCGACGATTTTCAATTTTTGGTGACAGTACTGCCCATCGTGTTACACTTGAAATTTAAGAGACAAAACTGCTCGTTTTCGCGACTGCCGAGGGGCCAAGTCTCGGCCTTCAGCGGGCAAGAGCGTGTTAAGACATTTAACGTCCGGATTTTTAGGGGACATGAAGTGTTACTCCCCGAAGTGCTGTGGGAGGCGAGGGCCAGCCCGGGTAACCATGCCAGGCCAGCCTGGGAAGGGGAGGTGGCCGCGGCCCTGCCCTGGTCACGGCAGTTCTGAGCACACCCAGCCAGGCTCTCCATCGGCGACCCCGAGTGCTTGAAGCAACACGTGGAGCGCAAAACCTTCTGAACCCCCTTTCCAAATTTGAGTGACTAACGTCTCCTCCTTGAAAAGTCCGAAAACCTTTAGCGCTCGCGGCTACCCCGCTGAACGCTGCCGGAGCGTGGGCTCCTTAGGGTGGGCGCCGTCCCTGCCGGTCTGGGCAGCGTGGAGGTAAATCAAATCCCACAGCCCCGCAGCACCGGCCCGTTCTCCGCTCGCCCGGGCGGAGGGGGCGGGACGAACAGAGAGCACCGTGAGGAGAAACTGCCGTGAAGGGGCGGGTCCCGTCGGGGCCGAGCCCGCCCAGCTCCCTCAGCGCGGCCGCCATTTCGGGGCGTGCCGAGCCGAGCCGGGCGCGCGGCGCCCTCTGGCGGCCCCGCGGCCATCCCAGAGCCGCCCGTGGGCGGCCATGAAGTCCGTGCTCGTCACCGTGGGCACCACCAGCTTCGACGAGCTGATCGCGGCCGCCCGCTCCCCGCCGGCGCTGCAGGTGAGGCGGCGGAGAACAGCGGCTCCGGCCCGCACTACCCCCGCCCGGCGGCCGGCGTCTGCGCGGGGGAACCTGCCCCTCCCGGCCCTGGCCCGGCAGGGGCTGCCGGGCGTGGCGGAGGGCGGGAGCTGCTCAGGGGGTGGCCGCGGGGAGAGGCGTGAAGAGTTGGCGGGGGAAGGGGAAGGGGCAGCGGTAGCCGGGCCGAGGTAACACCTGGATCAGGGCCCGGCGCCCGAGCTGGGCACACCCCCTCCATCCAGGCGGGTTATCCCGCCCCTCATCACTGCCTGTCATCCCACGCCATCCTCCCCTCCCATCTCGCTCTCCTCCTTCCCCGCCCCGCTCATCCGTCCCCTCATCCCTTTTTCCCCCCATCATCCGTCCCCTCATCGCTGCCCGTCCCGCCGCAGGCGCTGCAGAGCCGCGGGTTCCAGAAGGTCGTGCTGCAGGTGGGGAGGGGAGCGTGGCAGCCGCCGGTGCCCGGAGGCAGCGCGGCCCTGGAGGTGGAGGCGTTCCGCTTCAAGGACTCGCTGGCAGAGGACCTGCGGAGCGCCGACCTGGTCATCAGCCACGCAGGTACAGCCCCCTGTGCCTGCCGGGCCTGCGCTCCTGGATCGAGCGTGGGGGGCCGTGGGATGAAGTCCGAGACTCTCCAGCTCGGGGGTGGGCTGACTGTGGATGCTGAGGTCTGCAGGTAGAGGCTGGGGGTTAAATATCCACCTCCGAGGATCTCCCCCGATTCAGGAGCAAGGAGGATTTTTCATCTCTCGCCGTGTTTTCTGTTTTTCTTACAGGTGCAGGTAGCTGTCTGGAGACTCTAGAGAAAGGAAAACCACTAATAGTAGTAATAAACGACAAGCTGATGAACAACCATCAGCTTGAACTGGCCAAACAGCTCCAGAGAGATGGGCATGTCCTCTGCTGTAACTGCAGGTATGCAGCTGCTGGGGCTGTCCTGGCTGGGCAAGTGCTCAGCACATTGACTGTGTCACTGCAGAATTGAGAACATACCAAAAAAATGTACATCCTTCTGTGTAACCTCCATTTGTTTGTACATTAGATTTTCCAGAGAGGACAGATTAACATTAGGTGCTAATTTACCAGACTTAGCAAGCCTTGCACTTTCTTGTAAAGGGTGGGCGCTGAAGTTGATTTTACAGCTGCACTAACATAGTAAGATTAGAAGCATCTGGAGTATAAGAATGGCTTTACTGATAAAGATCAGGAGTCCACATAGCTCAGTCTCCGGTTAGCAGTGGCCATACACAGATGCCCAGCCAAAAGCAGAAAGAGGGCAAGAACATGTGGTTGTATTACTTTCTTTCTAATGCTGTTATATACTTTGATTCAGGGGGATTCCTAAGTCAGATGCTGTCCGGTTAGGACGTTCAATACCTCTGTTTTTCAATTACTAATTCAGGCTGCCCTTTTAGCCAAACTTTCTGAATCCAGTATATTCTCTGACAAGTAGTTTCACAGATCTACTGCCTGTCATTTCAGGGTAAAAAAAAAAATAAAACAACCAAACAAAAACACACACAGAAAAAGTTCCCCAAACAAACCATGGAGCAAACAACACAGGAAAAAAATCCCCCCACCAAAACCAAACCAACCAACCAAACAAAACTATCAAAATCCTTTGATAGTTTGTATTCATCCTGACTCCTGTTTGTTCCATTTCCTCTCCTGTTTGGACTGTATCTACTGTTTTCTCTTACGACAGACTGCACTCTAAAAATAACAGATGACCTCTAAATTGAAGGCAGAGGAAATAAAACTCCAAATTTTAGTCTTAATTTGCTCTTTTGCCCTGCAAATAGGATTTCGTATGTTTCAGAAGAGCTTTCTTAACAGACCAGGTGTGGCATTCATTTATGTTGAAGAAGTTTCGTAAAACTTGTTATCTTGGTGCTTCTGCCAGCTATTGAAACAGGAAGGAATTTTTATTTCTTTTCACTGGGCAGTGCCAAGAATTTGAGCCTTATCTGCAGCTTGAAAATAGCAAGTAACAGACTGATGTAGCAGCTCTTTCTGGCTCTGGGATTGGTGGAGAACTGTGCCATGTGTTCAAGTAGGATGAATTTCCTGGTGTGGTTCACGGAGAAGATCCTCGGATGTTGTCCAGTCTCCCAACACTGCAACCACAGAAGCTTAAAAAGTTGAGGAGCTGAGGTTGTCTGTGAAAGCTGATTGAAGTCTGTTCTCAGCAGTGCTGCCCTAAGAGCCAGTTCTGCTTGGGGGCTGCTGCTCTGTGAGGTCTCTACCTGTCATGCCCTTATTTTGGTTTCCTTGCTAAAGGATTATGTGTGTACAACTAGAAAAAAAATTGTGTGTATAGAGAAATTCCCTTTGGGATGGAATTCTTTTTTTTTTTTTTTTTTAATTTCTGGGTTTGATCTGTTTTTACAGCACTCTTGTGGAGACGCTGCAGATGATGGACTTGTCAACTCTGAAACCTTTTCCTCCCGGACAGCCAGAAAAGTTTGCTTCGTTCTTGGATAAAGTCGTTGGGTTTCAATAAACAATACAGAAGAATAAAAATGTCAGAAAAAAACCCCTTTTCTCCTCTCATAGTGAAGTCTTCTATACATAAGATCCACCGGCTTGGTCAAACCCTCAAAGAAGATGTCTGTTAAAATTAACTGGCATTAGATGGTTTCCAATTTCGTGCCAAAGTCATCCACTTCTGTGCTTAAAAGAGCACAGAGCCAACCAGGAGAGGAAGAGTAAGAACTGTCTAGTTTATGGACATATTTACATCACAAGGTCTCCACTGGGATGGTAATTCTAGTGATGAGGACAAGCTAAACTTACTTCTTAAGGGTCTCTTGGCCATATATGCTAAAGACAGGTGGAATTAAGTTGCTTTTCTTGATGTTCCTGTGATGATGTTCTGCAAATAAGCAGATGCCTTCTTCATGTGTTTACAAAAATACTGTAAAGAGAACTCAAAAGGGAGAGATTTAAGCCTCTTAAAAGAGAAAGGGGCATGGGATGAGTCTGGGTGAGAAGAGTCAAGAACTGCTAATTAGCTGCCGAACTGCCCACCAGCTGACCCACATTTGGGTAATTTACTGCTAAAGTGAAACATAGGAATGGGCTTGGCAATACAATCACTCCATTCACGTGGTGGTATCCCATAGTGACAGTATTTGGGCTTCTGTAAAGCCTAATGTTGCCCATTTAGATTTGATATTGGGAAGGAATTGTTCCCTGTGAGGGTGGGCAGGCCCTGGCACAGGTTGCCCAGAGAAGCTGTGGCTGCCCCATCCCTGGAAGTGTCCAAAGCCAGGTTGGACGGGGCTTGGAGCAACCTGGGATAGTGGGAGGTGTCCCTGCCCATGGCAGGGAGTGGAATGAGATGATTTTAAAGGTCCCTTCCAACCCAAACCGTTCCATGAGTCTGAGGCTGATTCCAGTTTCCCACTTAAACCATTGAAATGCTCAACTACGTTGATGCTACATTGGTTTGTTTTGGTAATTTCTTTGAAAACCAAATGTTTCTGCAGGCTCTTAGGTTTGTAAAGGTCTGGAATTGTAGTGCTGACTAGTGCTAATTACCCTTCCTGCAAGTACATTATTTATTTGGGATTTTTTGCTGATGTTGTTTAAAACAACAAACTTATGTTTAAGTGCAATTTTTTTTAGGAAGTTAAATGTACATAGAGGCATTCTCCTAATCAAGTAGAATAATCAGGCTGTACAGTTGTCATTTTTGCCAATCCCCGAAGTTTACCCCAAGTGCTTTATTAGGAACAACTAAGATTTTCATGTCCTCAACGATTTTTATGGAGCTGTTATTTCAAATTTACTGCCAGCAAGTTGTCTCCAACCCGTGAGCGTGCAGGGAATTCCGTCACAGGGAATTCCGAATAACCAGCTGGGCTGATGTTCGCACCGGAGGTGGACTCAGGGATGCCGAGCGATGGATGTTCCTGCAGGAGTTGGCTCGGGACGGGCTCCCTTCCCGGGGCAGGTCGGGGGACGAGGCGGGGGCGGGAGAGCGGGATACCTTAAAATGTCCTGGGCGGGGGCAGCTCCTGCGGGATCCCCGGGAGAGGGAGGGGGGGGAAAAAGGCAGCGGGAGCCGGTGCCGGGGGGTCCCGCCGGGCGATCCCGCAGGTGGGCGCGGCCCCTCATTAGCGGCCCCTCATTAAGCGGCGGCCGCGCGCGGAGCGCCTCGCGCCGAGCTCGCGTCCGCCTCAGCCGGGAAGATGCAGAAGGGCTGGAAGAAGTACTTCGGGCAGAAGTCCTTCAGCGAGGTGGCCATGGACGAGTACCTGGGCAGCCTGGGACTCTACCGCAAGATGACGGCCAAGGACGCCTCCTGCCTCTTCAGAGCCGTCTCGGAGCAAGTGGGTAACCGGCCGGGCTTGGTGGGAGGGGGGGGGAGCCTGGGCGCCTCAGGCCGGGCGCCGCCGGGGCTGGGTTATGGGGGTGCTCCCGGAGAGCCCCCGGGTGCCCAGAGTGAGGTGCCGCGGGTGGGGATGGTGGCAGTGTGGGTGTGGAAGGGGAGCAGAGTGCGTGCTGAGGATGGCAGCGATCATCCCCCCGGGCACGGGGCGCTCGGGGCTCCCTCAGCCCTCACGTGTCGTGACCCTCCGCGCTGCCCCGTCTTGGTCGCGCTGTTTAAAGTCTTCACAAACTACCGGTTAAAATACTCCCTGGTGTGAAGCGTAAAATAAGCTCTGAGATGTTCCCCTCCGTCCCTTTGTAACCTTTGCTTCTTCCAGCTGTTTTCGTCTCAGATTCATCACCTGGAAGTCAGGAAGGCTTGTGTCTCCTTCATGAGGCGGCACCAGCCCCGGTTTGAATCCGTGAGTAACCGCGTGGGGCGGCTGTGCTCGTGGAGCTGGGAAGAACCGGGGGAGAAGGGCGTGTGGTGTTGCTCTAAACACGCCCCCATGAACACGCTGTGCCTTGCCAGGCTTTTGACGCCTGTAAGAGAAGAGAAATTCACGTTATTTGAGCTGAAATCACACCACAAGTTACTAAAACCCAAGTACCGGTCTTGAGAGTTGTTTGTGTCTAATCTCTGCGGAGATTCAGCCCTTGCAGAAATGAATAGGCAGGAAATATGTAGGACTTCAGAGTAAGAAACAAATACCAAAAGATGGTTGGAAACTCTACTGTGTGCATGAAGTGGGGTTTTGGGGTGGGTTTTTCGCTTGGTTTTGTCTGTGGCAGTTTGTGTGGGTGCAGCTGTGTGCATGGTGTTGGGGTGTTTTTGGGGGGTTGTGTTTTGGGGTTTGGTTTGGTTGGGGTTTTTTCCCCACTAATCATAATATAAGTGCATAATCTAAACTAGGAGGGAGATGAGCCACAGAGTACGGGGTCATGACTTGTGCTCTTGTGTTTTCTTTAGAAACTCTTGGTGTTTCCACATTGGTACCCCAAATCATTTAAGGCAGGGAAGAGCTAAAATCCTACCCCTGGTTAGGCCTGAGCCCTTCAGATCCTAAAACTGATAGGAATTGGCACAGTAGTCCTAAATTTGGTGTTTATGTCCCCAGCCCCTGCCCTACCCCCTTCCATACAGCAGCTAGTAGCTGATATGTAGTGTTCAGGTTTAACTTTGCTTTCCAACTGCCTACATTTTTATATTTGTTTTCTTCTTTATTGAAAGTATGTGGAAGGCTCGTTTGAGAAATACCTAGAGCGACTAAGAGATCCAAAGGTAAGAACTGACCTAATACTTGTCAAAAGACTAAAATCTGAGGAGAATAGAACAGGAAGGTTCTAGAATTAGCTGACAGTTTAAAATGTGGTTATTTGAGTTTGTGGTTTTTTTAGATGGACCCCAATCCTGGGGTCTCATTTACCTAAGTAATACTAAATAACCATTAATAAACTGTTTGTACAGTGCCACTTTTAGTGGGGAATTTGTATGGCTGTGATAAAGAAGCAGTGTGTGGGCTGGACAATAAAAGTTTACTTCAAAATTGCAGTTCTTTAAGAGAAAAGCAAATACATGGAGTATAATTGACATTAAATGTTTATCAGGGTTTGCAATCCCTTGCTTCTTCCTTTACCCCCAGGTTCAAATACTCAAGTTCAAAGTTTTATTTATTTAGTCTTTAACCAGTAAGCTTGGTCAGTGCAGCAGTCCGAAAAAAATGTGGATTTAATTTCAAAACAAATCTATCTCGAGTGATGTGTTTAGGAGTTGATGCCAGAACTTTTCCATTTTACTCATTTTGGCAGTTGTGGCTATCCCATCTTGCCTATCCCCTTTCACCACACCACACTCTCCCCCAAATTCTAATATCTCAACTTCCAGTGCATCGGTTGTTTTAACAAACTGATGAGTTTGGATGGGGGTTTTAATACTACAGAGAGCTGGAATAGAGTTGTTGATGTTCAAGATGCATCTCCTATTTTATGTAATCTTACAATCTTGCATAGGAAAGTGCTGGCCAGCTGGAAATAAGTGCTTTATCAGTGATGTACAAGTAAGTGTCCGTTTATTATCATTTCTTGTTTTGGACTTGATGGGGTGGGGGTTCTGGCCCCAGAACCTTCCAATCGTTTGTCCCTGAGATGTGGATGTGTGACACAGGGTGAGAAATGCTTCCCTAAGAGAGTTCCTTAAGTAACATGTAAATGGTGCCATCACAGCCCCTGTGGGTTGAGGGAAGGGTGGCTCACTTTACAGTGATGCTCCTTTGGTATCTTTTTGCTGATGGTAAACTTTCTACTGGCTGAAGGATGGAAAATGGGGAAAACCGAGGAGCTGTCTGTACTGGAAACCCTGTGCTAGTTAAAAGCATGACTAAAACTCATGTAAGTTTTCTTGAAAGCACCAGTACTGAGTTACTACCTGCTGCATAAACCCTGATAGCTTATTTCAGAGGTAAATTAAAGCCTGCACAGGTGCTACTGGCTGGCTAAAAATGCTGCTATCTTGTAACAAGCAGTCTGGCTCTCCAGCCCTAGAAATAAGAATCCTCCCTTTGCATGATTGTTGTACCCCAGTACTAAAGGAACAAACTGAAGTTGGCACGAGTTACTGGTTCTCTGTACTGGGGTTCTAGTCCTTTAGCAGGGGGACTAATCCTTTAGTGATTGTCTCTTAAATTGTAAATTCTAAAAAAGTGTTTACTCATCTGGCCATTCCATTCACTTATCAGGAGAAGTTCTTCACGTGATTTTTCTGTAAACCATGTGGATTCTCCAAACCTCTCCCTGCAAACTTCTTCATAATGTGGTTCTTCTAAAAGTTTGCTCTTGTAAGTCTTGTTTTTCCTCTGCTCATCCAGGCGAGACTTCATTCTGTACCGGTACCCTGGAAAGCCACCCACATACGCTACAGACAATGACTTTGAAGACAAGGTGAGTAAAAGTGAGGACCATTTCCTCCTACCCTGATATCTAATTACCTTCAGTCCTGCTTGGTTGTAAAATCTTGCCACTGGTGCCCTTGCATATGTGAACAAAGCCCCAGAGCTGACTTCAGCTCACAGAAAAAGGACAGGATTTGCACAGCAGCGAACTCAGTTATAGCAGCTTTGCTTCCTGTCTGAGGGATGGGTTTGTGTGCTGTTCCCTGCCATTCTGACTCCTGCTTAAAATTTTGATGGTGATAGGAAGGGGTGATATCACAACTCCAGAATATTCTTTCACGTTTCTGAAATCTTTGTGTAAAAACACTTCCCAGGGCAAATTTGAGTGACCTGACAGCGTGGAATGAAATGTGTTGAGTTAAAACAAGATACATTTCTTATGTTGGGCAAAGAGAAGGTGTTCTCCCCACCCCTAGTGCCGCTTCCTGAAGTCAGAGGAGGTGTGCAGGTTTTCTTCTTGAAAAGGAGAAGTTAATGGGATTGGATTGATCCGTTAAAGCTGATTTCTGTGGCGTACAAATTGATGCCAGTTAAGGATGGGAGCTGTTGAAACAACTTGTCTTTCGCTGGGGGCAAAAGGAAGGAACATAAAAGGAAAAATACTATGGATTACCTTCCTTCTGCAGCCAGGCAGCTGTGCCTGCAGTTATGTGGCTAGTTCAGGCATGATGCCAGTGAAGTTCCTGTGGTGTGGTTTCAGCGTGGGCTTTTGTATTTGCCAAAGTGGCCAGTCTGCTCTGGATCTGCAGCTGTTGATTCCTGCTGATTAGCATTGCTGACTTGGTTTACACACGCTTCTTCCTTTTTCTTTGTAGTTTCCTGTGTAGCTTAATTTAATTCCAGAATAAGCTGAGTTTAAAAATCAAGCAGTATGGTCTAAATGTGTGTTTGTCCTCCAGGGCTTTACGAAACCAGACCCCTCATTAAGTGTTGGCAGCTGTCTGTCATTAGATTGTCCATCCAGGCAGCAGCTCCTTCTGGTGTTGCTCATCCTCCCTGGCAGTGCTCACAGAACTAAGAGCCCTGGCATCCCAGCTCCTGCTGGTTTTCTGGGAAGCATCCTCGCTGCCAGTGTGCTGGGAGCTGCCTGGCAGCTTCTGCTGGTTGCAGTTGGCTCTGGCTGCGTGCCAGGGTGTGGGGTTTGATGGCACACATCTACGTGGTGTGCCAGTGCATCTGCTGCAGGAATCTGCAGGCATCCCTTCAAAAAGCAGCACGATAGGGTTTGTTAAATAAAAGTTAAGGCTTTGAGGGCTGGCATAGAGAAGGATGAAACGTGGCTTTGACACTTGGACAGTGTGTCTCAGGGTACTGCATTAAATGGATTGTATTTATTTTACCTCTTGAGTGATCGTGGAAGTAAAGTGGAAACAAACTCATAGTTCATGTTTAAGACAGCAGGATGTACAAATTGGTGTTATTTGTATGATAGACAAACTTATTTAGAGACTTTATCTAGGATTCAGTTTTAAACTGATTCTACAGCTTTCTCATATTTATATTGAGAATATTTATTGTTTTCTTGGTGAATTGGTGTCAGCTATAGAATGAAAGAATAGTCTGGAACTAGGATATCAGGTAGAAAGAATTTGGATTTACGTAATTCCAGCCTTAAAGCCTTTCTTTTTCTTTCTTTCTTTCCCAGATTTTACTGTGTTGTTCCAGCAATGGCCATTATGACTCTGTGTATACAAAACAGTTTCAGGAAAATGCTGCTGTTTGCCAGGGTAAACTTGAAATTGTTTTTCTATGGAAGAGAATTCCATGTTTTCATGTGTTTATAGGCAGAGTTTGTTTCAGCTTCCAGGGGTGGGGAGGAGAGAGGTGGAAGCTCACTTATTGTATGTTAATGTAACATGCACTCATTTTTCTATCTGTTAAGTGGGGTATCGGACCAAATGACTTCCAGAGGTCCCTTCTTCCCGCCTGAATTACTTTATGATCCTCTTCTTAATTAAACTTAATATAACTAGTGCTTTGAACAGTAGATATATCTGAAGATGTGCTTACCTTGAAAATCGCAGCAGTTCTTATGAATCTCATATTATCGAGCTTTTTGTTGATCAGCTCTGTTATATGAGATCCTGTACAAAGATGTGTTTGGTATGGATGAGGAAGAATTAAGGTCTGCAGTTGAGGTGTTTCGAAGTGGATCCAAGAAGAACAGAAACAGTGGTCGTGTAGGAAGTGAGGATGCAAACTTCGGTTGTCTCCATGAGAAAGTGTCCAGAAACCCAGCAGAAAAGAGGTAGTATTTTGGGAAGGGGAAGCAAAAAAATTTAAAACCCTTGCAGAGGACAACTTTTCCACATTTCTGTGATTTTTTTTTTTTTTTTATGGAATATTAAGTCTTTTTTTGCTATGTCATGACACACACACCTCAAGTATGTCGTGGCAGAGTGTGCTTCCCTTGGAGCTGGGAAGTGTCATGGGATGGAATATCTTCTGCTGCAGGCAATGTTATAGTTGTGTCTTAATCTGTAAAATGATTTTTTTTTTTTTTTGTTTAGTGAGACATTTATTACTTCTCTAAGCCTGTACAGCTCTGAAAGGTTTTAGAGCTGCCTCTGGCCAATACAGAATGCTTCCAGATGACACTGGTTTGATGGGACCTAGGACAGAGTGTCTTGTACTTGACAGGACAAGAATTCAGTCCCTCAGTGGGATCACCTTCCATCCTTTCCTAACACAAGCACTACCGTCATTAGGAGTGGATGTTGGAACAAGTAAAAGTTTTGCTCTTAAAACCTGGAGAAGGATTATGCTGTACTGTATTGCACGTTGCTAGTGTTTCAGGCAAAATCTACCACTTGATGGCACCATGGTGCTTTTTTGGGTTGGATGAGCAGTTGGTTGATTTTAATCCTGGGTAGAAATCATGTGTCGTATCTTTTGTAATCTTATTTTCAATTACTTAGGGTGGATGACTGGGAAGGCAATGATGCTGACAATCGAGAGGAAGCTAAGTTCAAACAAGGCATTGAAGAAGAAAAGGTTTGTCAGTTAGAGAAGAAGCCCTTACAATTTGGTTTTGGTGTGTTTTTTTTTTTTTTTCTTTTCTGTTGTATGTTGTTACCCTTGTGAGGGCTAAACTCTCTTTCGACTCACTTTCAAAAATCCCCTTTTAGGATATGGTTTATTTTTTCCATCTGCTTGTCTTTTGGAGTTTCATAGAAACTGGATAAGCCTTTTTTCCTTTCTGAAATTCTCTAGTTCTTCCCTAGGTAATTTTAATTTCCACTGAAAGATAGAACTTAGCAGATGTTTCCTGGTCTGTTGTTTGTTTTTCCCCACAAAGGATTTAAACTGGCTCACTTTTCTCTTGGCCATAGTATAAATCAGTTTAGAACAGTTTTAGAAACCCTACAAAAACCTGTTTTCAGATACAATAACTGAAATTCCCACCAGTTTCTGGAGTCATGGCTTGGTTGGTCTGGTTAGCTTCTTTTGATTCTTTTTGAGTACAAAACATGCCAAATGTTACTCTTGAGCCTGTTTCTGCTTTCCAAAATCTCTTTGCTCAGCACCTGAATACGTAGATGTGCTTTCATATTCTTGAGTTTTAGTTTTTAGGGAGATAAAGTGGGAGTGAAACTTTTGGAAAGCAACATCTGTACGCTTTAAAATGATCCCCAGAGATGCTGATGGGTTCGAGGCTGTGCTGAATGCCTGAAATGCACTTGTTAATGCTGCCTTTCAACTCTGTTTTAGCCTTCAGAAATTCCTCCAAAGATGCCTGTTCCTTACAAAGTGCTAAAGGCCCTGGACTCTGCCATCTATCGCAATGTGGAGTTTGATGTTTGGCTGGACAGCAGAAAAGGTATCTTTGAAAAGGGGAAAGCCAAAAAAAAAAACCTCTTCCTGTACTAGGCTTAGTGTTAAGAATCTGAGTCCTGTGTCACCTGTTTCTTCACAACTGAAATGTGAAGGATGAACCCAGCAGATAGTTGTAGGTGGGACATGTTCTTGCCAGTAGCTGGTTTCTTGCCTGCCATTCCAAGTGCAAAATACACTGCTTTTCATACTGTATAATGGTGCAAAGTTGCTGAAAATCTGCCCTCTGCTGCTTACTGCCTGTATACAGGAAACAGGAGGACTCAAAGCCAAGCACACAACTCTGTGTTGCCATTCTGTTGTACTGGAAAACAGCCAGATTTGAGAGTTTTTAGTTACAACATGTGTGTAAGGCCTTCTTTTTATAGCACAGTTTTGGCCTCAGAATTGTATAATAATAAAGATCTCAATCTGTCAATCTCCTGCTTCCCAGCCATGCTGGATTTTTACATTCTGGAGGCATTTCATGGCCTTTGTGGCTTGGGATAGGTTGGCTGCTTTTTGGCACACGCTGTGGCTGATCTGTAAAGCAAGAAGTTACCAAGAAAGATAAGTTTTTAAGTGATGTTTGATGTCTGACCTGATGTGCTTTGCGTACTGAAGAACTCCAGCATTTTAAAACTGCCTGAGCAGTAATGGGGGTCATTAAAATTCTTGGAACAGAGTATAGTAACCAATTATCTATGGAGAACACTGATGTGTAGAGAATCCCAGGCAAGGAATTGAGAAAACCCCACTGAAATGTAGGAGCAAGGAGACTTTAGGCAGTGTTGGCTTTTCTTGGATGACACTTCATTTTTGCCAAATGCCACCAGGACTCTGTCAAGATACACCTATAATTCTTAATACTAGCATTTGTATTAAATGCAGATTAACTCTGTATCACCACAAAGACATTGTAGCATTGAGGTTGTAGTGCTACTTACTGCATTTTCTGGTTATTACTGGTCTGTGACTTACCCTGGTTATGGTCTGGTTTAGAACATCTACAGTTTCTTCGCTGTTACTGTGAATGTTTTCAGGTATGCACAGGAAATATTTACTCAGTTGGCCTATTAATTATAGTTGGATGCTGTCATGAAGTACTTGTAGGATACAAGAAGAAAGAGCAGTAGTTTTAAAGGCTTTTCTCTTTTTATTTATTTCTTCATTTATTTTTAGAGCTTCAAAAAGCTGACTACATGGTGTTTGCTGGGAGACAGTACTTTTTAGGAGACAAGTGTCAGGTTAGTACTCAAAGGAGACTCAGTAATGATAAACTATCAAAACTGCTTTAAATGGAATATGGTAAATAATTTTATTTCATAGAATTTTCCAAGGCTTCTCTCATTCTCTTCCATGTAGCAACTAATTTGACTTTAACATACTTTTTTTCTAAAATCTGCCTTGAAACTTTGGATAGTGTGAGGAAAAAAAGCAAGAAATTCATGGTGAACCAGTCATACACATTCTGTTCGTGCAGGCAGAGAGCTCAAAATGCAGGGGGTGCATTTTGAGGTAGTTGTCTTTAGATTTTTTTCACTGTAAATTAACAACAATTCTGGATAGTCTTCCCTTTCTCAACAGTGATGTAGCAAAATATTTATATAAAATAAAAAGAGAAGAGTAGCCTGATAAGGCCAGGAGATGCTGAAAGGAAGGTCAGTTTTCTTTGTGTTCTGCTGTTGTATGTAGTCAGGGCTTATTTTTTTTTTTAATCACTGCTTAAAGTAGTGCTCATGAGTCACTTAGTGACTTGTTTCTTGCTGAGCAGAGCTTGTCTTTCCAATTTCCTGTTTTATCTTCTGTTCTCAAGTAGTGGTCTTCCTTGGTGCTTATCTGCTTGGCACAGTGTATAAAAATGAGTTAGGAAGCAGGGATCTTCCTCTCTGTCACTCCCCAGACTGATTTTATTTCCTTTTTCCTTCCTGCCTGCCTGTAGAAGTATTTGAGACTCCTGGGCCAACTCAGGATGGCCTGGGAGCAGCCTTTGCTATTTATTCGTGGTCTGTAGACAAGATTCTGATGCAGTTTGGGGGTTTTTTTTGGGGGGGATTCCTTTTTCTCTCTCCAGGTACGTCTGGAGCCGGGAGAGAGGTATTACAATGCTCATATCCAGGAAGTTGGACAGGATGGCAACACATTGACTGTCTTTGTTGAGGAGCTGGCAGAAAAGTAAGCAACCTGGTGATTACTTCAAGCCTGAGCTCTTTCTAGTTGAGTTTCTGTGTTCACAGATGCTTGAAGTGGGATTGTTGAGATACTTTTTATTTAAAAGCCGAAGTTCTCTTTCCAAGTAAGGCATTACCTCCTTACTGGCCATCGCTCTTCAAAGAGAATGTTGCAGGAGATATTTTCCTCTTGAATTTCTGGTGACCAGAATCGTTACTGTAATTCTTCCTGTGAAATCTTGCTGCTCGCTCTTCACTGGAAAGTGAAAGTGATCTTTGAAGTTTGGGCTTAATTCACAGGTAGCAAATTACCCTCTGCTGTTGGTCGGAGTTTTTATATTGTACCCAAATAACTAAATAATTGGCACTTCAGTGAGTTTAATCCCTTTCTCCTCCTTGCTGTTTAATCATTCACTCTTAGCCTAGCAAGTAAACAGGGTTGAGAACTAAAGCCTAGGTGTTGCCTCTTCTTATTAAACAAATAGCAGTAATATGTGCTTGGTGTCAGAGAAACATGATTTATTTTCACAAGCTCTTCTATTTTCTTCTGCCTTGCTGTTGCTTCAGCTTCTGTAACTGTGCAGTCATGCCCAGTGGGTCCCTGGGGCACTGCTAACACGGGTGTATTCTCTGTCCAGACACACAGTTCCTCTGGCAAACTTAAAGCCAGTGACTCAAGTGGCTCCTGTCCTTGCTTGGAATGGGACTCACAACCGAAGAGGAGGAGCCTATCAGAAAATAACAGGTGGCCACTTCTCAGGAATAGGTTTGTACAAGGTTTGGAGAAGCACTGGAGCTGGGAGGGGGAGTAGGGGAGGTGCTCGTGACAGTTGTCACTGTAGCAGTCTTTGGATATTGGAAGTGACTTAATTCAACCTGGGATACAAAACTTGATGGCTGCAGGGGTTGGATGTAAAGTTATCTTTCAGACAGAGACGGATTTGCCTTTGTAAAAGAGCAAATCCATTGAAGTACAGACAAATCAAAAAAATAAAAATCCACTGAAATACAGAGAGCATATTGGTTATTGCTCAGAATGACTGAAAACAAATTTGCCACTTGAGGACCTTTCTATAAAGATTGCATCGATGAACCAGAAAGCTTGTCTGATTTGGCATCAGCAGAGATGCATGGATGGACTCAGGGCTTTCCCCAGCCAACTAAATATGGATTGTAACTGTTTAATTTGGAGGAGTTGTTGTGGTTTTCTTATTTTCATAAAGAGATTTTAAATCCTGAGAGTACTGGTTTGATCAGCTGAAGGTGGGAAGGCACTTACATGTAAGATGCTTGTATTCTCATGATGCAGAAGACCTGCCTGAGCCTTCAGAAGAAGGGCCTGAACTTTGCATAGCTGCGATGCACTTCTTCTGTGATGGGCTAAGGTTTAAGGTGTAAATCTGCCTCTTCTGTCCTCAATGAAAACTGCAGACATGGGGATGAAAACACGGAAGAGGATGCTTAAGAAAGTCCGTGGCAAGGAAGTCTTCATGACCGTGGCTTACAGCAGGAGTCAGCCCCTGCTCCCCCCCCGGCTCCAGCACAGCGTTCCTTCGGGGCGCTCTCCTCCAGCCCACTGCTCACAGGATGCTGCAGATGTGGCACCTTACAAACCCTATCACCAGCAGAGTCCTCAGAGGCACCACCGTGGCTTTGGGATGCTGAGGTATGAACTCTTGAAAAGCTGTGACCAGTTGTTTTCTGTTGGTTCTTGCTGCAGACTAGTTAGGACAGAGTTTGTGCTGCTTAACAGGTGAAACCACAGCTGAGTTCCACCTGAGAGGCAAAAATCCTGGTAATTGTTCCTTTCCTCCTTTAAATTCAGGGGATCTGCCCAGTTTCTGAACAGGCACAATGTAGTTGGCCCTCAGATAGCATTCTACCCCAGTCCAGGAAAGAGATGTTACCAGAGCTATGACAACTTCTCCTGCAGGTCCTGGTAAGTGACTGTAAACCTCTTCTACCAAGCATTGGGGAGGATGGTGGGATGTGAGGGGCTGAACTGGCTGTTGGTGGCACAAAGGGGTTCTTGTGGCTCTACAAAAAAAAAAAAAAATAGAAATACTTAAAAATGAGCACCAAAACAGTGGTGAAACTGCAGCTGGTGGTGATTCTTAACCTCCTGTCTTGTCCTGGAAGCTCCTACAGCCGGAGCCGCCGTCAGGTGCAGAGTGAGAACAAGGAGTGTCAGGATGAGTTTGTAGCAGGGACTGCAGAGGAGCCTCAAGGGCCAGAAGAAACCATAACTTTCTATGAAGTTGAAGGAGACAATGACGCTGCTTTTCCTACCTTGCCAGTAAGTTGTGAACAAAGGGTAAGCTGAGACCTCTCAGAGGGAGAGAGAGAGAGGAGGGAAAAACTGTACAAATGCACAGCGCTTCTTTACCGAAATATGCAGCAGCTTTGGGGTTTGTTTTCTTCTTAGTGTGTTTTCATAAACATAAGGTCATGTTTCTCCTTTCCACCGCAGTTTGAAAACAAACCAAAATCTCATCGTCCTGTGGATGTCTGTCTCACTCTAAATATTGTGGGAGAAAGCTTTTCACTTCCTTGCCACTCTGTAATTTAATGTTTGAGTAATGACATTCAGAAACTGTATGGTGATAGCCTGGATTGTTGCTGTGAATTTGTAGCTGGGTAGTTTTGGATTAGCATGTTGTTCCTGCAACAGTGTGTCCTGCTGTAGAAACAAGAGAAAGTCATGAACCTGAACTTCTTGTAAAACAGTCTGTCTGCTGATTTGTAGATCAAGTGGCAGAGTGTATTCTTGAACTTTAAAATACATCTTTTTCTTTTATTCGTTGTCCAATCCTAGTCCAAAGCTGGGTGTTCTATCAAAAAAAACAAACAAAAAAACCCACCAAAAAAAACCAACTGATACACAGGTATCTGAATAGGAAAGCAAGTCTTTTAGAAACAAACAAAAAAAAGATGGTAGGTTTGAATTTTTTGTGTGTTAAAGCAGTGGACTTAACAAATACATTGAAATGAGGGAGAGGGAATGTGCTCAGGGCTGCTTCAGCAGCAGTCAGTTTTTCTTTGCCCTCATGCACTAGATTTTTAATCTTTGCTGTGATTTTTCTCCAAGAGTGCCAAGGAATAAGGACAGAGTACCCTGCAATTTCTTTTTTTTCCATATGAAATCAGTATAGGTTACTGGCTTTTCCTCCCAAGTGCTAGCCCATGTTCCTCCAGCTCCTAATGAATAGGTTTCCATGGTCATTCCTTGACTTTGGGATTGTCAGTGCCAAACCTTTTTCCCTGTCTTGTTTAGTAAAGGAATGTGATATTTTCTGGGGAAAGCTGTATCTTGCAGAGAACTCTGCCATCCTACTAGAGGCCTGATGGGATAATCTTCCATGGAAAGGCTTTAAATTATTTCTAAATGCATGCCTCTGAGTTTGCTTTTCAGAGCCAGAGTAGTCCTGCTCCCACTGTCCACAGTCCAGCAGGATTTTGGGTAGCAAGGAGAAACCAGAACTCTGTTTCACCCAACAAGCAGCCCCTGAATTCCTCAGAGGAGGAGGAAGAAATAAGTGAAAATGGTGAGTTCTTAAGGGATTAATAGGCAAAAAACCAGAAATTTTTCAATGTGCTTCTGATGGTAAAGAGGGGGGTCCTTACATCTCCTGGTAGTCTCTTTATTGTGAGCTCTCAATATGTGTGTGAACACGTTATATTTCTTTGTCTGATACAAATGTGTCTCTTCTGTTTAAACTTGCTAGGTCAGCACCCTTGTGTAGGTCTGCAGCAAGCTAAATTGCTGCTTCAAAATGCATGGTGTAAATTCAGTAACATCAACCTTGATAACCCCATTTGTTCTTCCACCGAGTATCTTCAGTGTTTACTCTTTCTGCACAAAGCAAGATTGATACTGAAAACATGTTAGTAATGGATGCACTGAAAGGTAATTGTAACTCCAAGCTGGTTTTTTTTTCCCTCCCCTCTCCCTGAATCAAAGCTTCCTGTTCTATCTCCCTTGTAGGAAAATTTCATGAAGAATATATCTATGCACCTCCAGGTAGGTAAAAGTTTAGTCTTCGCTGATAGAATATTTGGCAAATGTAATATACTCATTAAGACATTTTTATACATTAGATTTAATGCAGCTCTTGTCAATTAATTTTGCCTGTGCCCTCCAGATCCTGACTGTGAAACTGCACCAGTGTTTAGCTCAGCAGAACCTGCAGCAAACTTGGTAAGCTTTAGTCACATTCTGTTCAGATTTGAGATCCTGGAGGTGTGCAGTATTCCTCATAGGAAATGTCCTTGGATGCAGGCTGAACATAGTAGGTCAGACTTCTTAGAAAGCCATGTTGGTTTCATTTGTACATTCCCCCTCCTTCTCTCCCTCAATAGGGAGGTTTTTATCAGCAGTCAAGTTTGAATTGCACTGGATACAAGAATGATTTTTCATCTTTCCCTCTGTGGAAGAGAAAATGTGTATTTGAGTGCTGTTTACTTTTCCTTTTCTACTCCAGACAGCACTTGCTTTTATCATGCTGCCTTTCAAGTTGTATTCCAGCTAATCTTGGTCCTCCACTGTGGGACTGAAGAGATCTCATCTGTGATAGAACTGCCATTGGAATTTTATTTTTTTTAATTTGAAACTGCATCTTCAGTCACTTGCTGCTCTACAGTGGGTGTGAAAGCAGTCCTGTGCCTGTCAGAATAAAACTGCTTTTACTTGAGCTATGAAAGATGATCTGTGTGAGTGTATAGTCCATAAATAAATAAAAAAAAATGTAGGGATGCGTGGGGTGTGTGTGCCTCGTGGCTTCCTTGCCGCTTAAATGGACCATGCTTTGTTTTGGAATCCCTTCAGGAAGAAGGACCTGTCTCGGTGTCACCTCAGGATGAAGGGGCTTCCTACAGCTACCCCCAGAAGGTATCTGGTACTTTATCTTGTACTTCATTGTGGTGGCCCTGAGGAAAGATAACCACACTGCTTGGATTGTGTCAGTTTGGGGGGGTCCCCCGCAGGATCTTGCAGCAAAGATTACAATTCCCTGCAACAGAAACAAGCAAAGCACAAGAGCGTGAAGATGCCTTGCAGGTGTCTGTAACTCTAAACTGGTATTTTCAAGCCAACTTGTAGAGAATTTGGGTAGTTAGCTGCCTTTACAGCGAGGATTTCCAAAATGATTTATATAAAGTGAGAATTTTTGAAGTCTGTGGTGTTTCTATAGTCTGTCAAAGCCAGTTGCAGAGGCAGTCTGCTGAATACTCTGACTCTTTTCCAGGTGTTGGTGAGCTCTGCAGGAGTTTCAACCTCCACAGATGTTTTTACTGCTACAGCTACAGGCCTGTCTTCAAATTCTGCTGCCTCCACTCCAGCCAGTGTCACCACAGCAGCTCCCCCACAAACAGCAGTTCAGCCTGTCATAGTATCTCCCTTTTCTGTGGGGAGGCCAGGTAGAGTGTACAGGCTGCAGCCACGCACTTGGCTTTCGAAGTTTGCAGTTACATTTTGCTCTCCCTCCCCTCCCCCATTGAAAAGAAATGTTAAAAGAGTTCAAAAAAGAAACCTCACTTGCTTGGGTTAAAAATGACTTAGTTGTTGTAACTCAACTGCTGACTTCTTATTTTGAAGGGGCAGTTACCACCAAATTTGCATAGGAATGGGAGGTCTCTACTTTGGGTTTCCCCTCCTCTTGCCACCTTTAGCCAAGAGCTTTGCTAGAAAGTTCTTTGTAGAAGACAGAAATTCATGGCAACACTCTTGAGTTGAGATACTGTCCAGAGGCTTTACTGTCCCTTCCAGAAGAGTCACTGGATTTTTTGGGATTCACACAAGTGTCCTGTTCATTTTTGTGACCCTTAGTTCCTTCTGTGCTCACCTAATCTCTGTGCAGGGAGATCAGATTTGTGGTTAGTCACGTATTCCACTTGCCCCCTTAGATGTATCTGCTTAGATGTATTTGCTTTAACATCCTGGAAATCTCTGTTTAAAAAATTCTTCTTCTCTTCTTGCAAAAAGGACTTTTCATGTCTTCTGTAACTGTTCATTTAGCATCCAGAAAACCCCTCACCTCCTATTCTGCTCAGTTCTGTCTCACTTTTCTTAACCTTTTTTTTTTTTTTCTAATCTGCTTGAGAGTTTAATCAGCACAGCTCTCAAAGCTGTCTGCTCACTGGTGCCAACCTGCTTATGTGTTATTTCTTCCTACCTAATGAATATTTACCAGGAGGCCGTCCAAAATATTTTTGCCTTGACATGTCTTGAACCTTGCCTTGTTTTTGTGGGCTTCTTGTCACACTTGTGATGATTTGAAGCGATTAATCTCTTCTCTGTTGTTCTAGGGCAGACAGTTCTGTAAGAGAAGTCTGGCCTGCCTTCTAATACGGAGAAATGATTGAAAAAAAGACAGTTTTTCTTAACTGGGATATGAAGCTTGCAGATAGACATACGATTAAGGCTTCAGAGATTGGAACCTTCCCATCTGGTTTTAAAATGTCTTCTGGACTTCTTTTAATGTGATTACTAAAGAGGATTTTGGTAGAGCCTGAATTTAAGGGCACTGTGGTGACGAAGTGCATGCTGAATTGTGTAACTGAACACCTTGTTCAATTGACACACCGTGGCAAAGTTGACTTTCTGTGTGACATTTGTTTCCTTCCGATTGTAGCAGTTTCTTCGGTGCCATTCCCAACTTACCCAGCTCTTCTTCCTCCAGTGAGTGAGGTGGGAGAAGCTGGTGCTGTTCTTCCAGCTTACTCTTGTGATCCCAGTGGCAGTGATCTGCCTCGAGGTAATGATGGTATTTTGTGCTTTTACTCCTGCTGCTCTTCAGCACTTCTGACCTGCGCTCTCCTTGGGAGCTTAACAGAATACCAGTAGTGAGAAGAAATAGCTCTTTGCAGCTCACAGGGGAGTGAAAAATAATATTATAGATGCTTATGCTAAAACATTTTAATTCCCAGTTTTTAATGGAAAGTCTGTATCTAACTCAAATGTGTGATTGCTGCAGCTTGAGATGGCGCCCTAAATAAATGAATGTCAGGGAGAGGGTGCTCGGCCTATAACATAGTGGTTTGTGTCACAGTAATCACTTCTCTCATAACTGATTACAGTAATTGTATTTCTGAAGTCATGCTGTTGCTCAGTTCAGTGGGCTGTTTTTGTTGTGCTCCAAGATGCTCTTCTGTGGTATTATAAACCAGGGTTTAAGTGTAGGGTCATCTTGTTCTTGCACGTGTAGCCTTGTCACCCACTGTCATCTGTCAGGACAGTGTTTAAGGTCCAGTTGAGCCACTAAGCAATGGGTGTGCAGAGGCCAAGGCTGCTGCTGTCACAGGTCCTGCTGCTGTGCTCTGCAGTTACTCTGCTGTCTTGCCTGCATTCTCAATTCCCAGATTTGTTAATCTTGAATATTGTTTTCCACTTCCCTACTGTGGTACCGTCACTGTGGCTGATCCTACAACATCAGAGTTCGTGCTTTGCAGCTCTAGGTGAATGCCCTTAACTGATGCTTTCAGCACTTGGGAGAATTGGGTGTTAAGTGTCCTGACAAGGAGCTGGAGTGGGTGTGGATTAATAACCTCTTCAGACCCAACCTATAGCTCTTCAGCTGAGTCACTCTGCATAATTTTGGCCGTGTCCTTCTTGGCATAGACTCTAGAATAAAGTATCTTAAGGTTGCTAATTAATTGCATGTAGCATTTGTGTTGTTAGACTGCTATATGACAATCTGAATGGCCTTTGGATTAAGAAATGCAGCAGCTTTGGGGTGTCATAGGGTAAAGGATGTGGGTGTACTTGATCTAGGTGTGGGACCGTGACTTGTCAACTCACTGAAGTCCTGGACCTGGGTAGAAAACCTGCTGTGCACCTTAGCATTGCTTGTTTTATCTGCATTTGTTCCAGTTTTCGTGATCTCTTGGATCTTGTTTTAACGGCTCTTAGGATTTATAAAGCATGTTTATTAATGGTGACCTTAGGTGTCCTGCCCTTTCGTGGTCCCCTGTATTTGAAGGAGCTGTTGATAAAAGACTGTTTGATGTGTGTTCCAGAGACTGGAGCAGTGTTCAGAATTGACCAGAGCTTTCCATCAGCAGAGGGAAAACTTTGTCACCAGATGAGCTTTTTATCAGCCATCAACGTGGTTTTTGTATTTTCACACAAATAACTTTTTTTGGCTTAGCTATTGCATCATGAGGTTGCAGTCTTTTACTGAAGACTGCCTTGATTTCTGGACATCTAAAATAGGAATGTAAACAAAGACTGGTCTCCTACTGTACTGGCTTCTGTTGCAGCATTCCACAGACAGCAGTATTTCCAGTATCAGTTTGTCACTTCAGTCTCCCAGCTCTTTGTACTGTTATCACTGCTGTGAAGCAGCTATTTCATTCTGCTCCTGTGCTTGCTTTGCAGAGATTTGCATAAACAATCAAAGAATAAAATTGGACTAAAAAAAACCCCAACAAAACAACAGCCAACTTGTTCCAAATGTAGATGCAGTTTGAGCTAGATACTAAAAAGTTGGCATTCACGTCAGCCTTTGGGTTATTATGAATGTTTTACGTTATAGCCAGATCAACTTCCAGGACTAAGCAAGCTGACATAAGGATGGATCTGTGTGCACTTCCTTAAAATAGCCGTGTGGATTGTTGCCCTGATCAGATATGCTGAACGTTAAAAGAACCGAAAATTGGCAGCAGTGACAGAGGAACAAATCCTCATGGCATTTTAAGGGTGGGATTTTGCTTTGCTGCCACTGTGCCTTCCTGCAGCAAAATATGGGACATGGGTGGATAGGGAAGCACTGCTGAGCTAAGGCCCTGCTCTAGGTGAGTAGAGAATATATGATAACTCTGAGGTTGCCTTGCTCCTTCTGAGTTGTCTCCCTGCTCTCCCTTCCAGCTCCCAGCTGTGCTAAAGCAAAGTTTTTGTGCTGTGGAATAGGTGACTTGCTCTTCCTGAGCCTCTAAAACAAAACTGTCTTGCAATCTAAGAAATCCAAGTTTTTTCTCATGCATAGTTCCAGAACTGCATCATGGGATTAAACACCTGCTCTCTTTTTTTTTTTTTTTTTTTTCCTTTCAATGGTCAACTTTAAAGGTTTAAAGCACTGTTAGCACTTGAGTAATCAAGATGAGTAAACCAAAATTAAAGCTAATAATAGTCATTGAAGTTAAATAATGAGTTGGTCAGACAAATGCTCTGCTATTGCACAAATATCTAACTGGATTAAGTTAAAAAGATAAGCTGGCATTAACAGCTACTTCTGTTCAAGATGCATTGTTTACCCTTGAAACTTTAAAAAAAAAAAGTAGTGCTAAGATACTCTTATTCATTGAGTAGCTTAAAGTAAAACGTTCTTAATGGGTGTAAATTGCTTTTTGCTTCTTGGTTTACATTCCTCTGCTCTTTAATGTCATATCCTTTCATTTCAGATACAAAGGTCTTGCGGTATTATTTTAATCTGGGATTGCAAGTAAGTGCTTTTAAAATGAGTACTGTAAATTGCCTGTAAAAACTGCTGCTTTTCTTGACAAAGATAGTAACGGATTGAAGAATTCCAAGTGTGCTAAATGTGCATCCTGTGCTCCTGACTGTTAATACATCTTGGCTTGCTTGGTGGAGATCAAAGTGTACCTCAGGAAGTGAGGTTCTAACTCGAAATGTGAAGCACTCTGCATGTATATTAAGTTATTTTACTTTGGGTTGTGGTGGTGGTGGTTTTTTTGGGGGCTTTGGTTTTCTTTTTGCAGGGGATGGTGAATAAATATTGTTCTTTTAGTGAAGATAAGGCAGAGAACCTGAGCCATTCTTAAGAAACTTTGTGTACTTAGACAAGACATCAAAGACCACTTAAAGATGCGTGGTTTGAGTCTTCTAGGACTTGCACAGCTGTGTTCAGCCTGCTTAGCACCATTTCTTTGTGTTCTGGAAACTCTTGCTCTGATGAGGAGTTGTTTCTCTACCAGTAGTCATATGCAGTGTCAGTCTGCTGCTCAGGGAAGTAAAAGAAATAATGTGAACTTTTTTCAGTTGAAGAAGTATTAAAAATCTTTTTTGAACGTGACCAGGTCAGTAGGTGGGAATGTTCTTTCTCTGTAAATACTCCTGATATGGCAACAGTGGTGGAACTGAGCTGACCATTGCTGTGGGTATTGCAATATCTTTTCTGGGAGGTGGTATTTTTTTATTTGTATTTATTTGTTTGGTGTTTCAAGGAGCTAGGAAGGTAAAAAAATGCGCTTTTTCCTAACTACAGATCTGAACTAGTAGCTATTTTTGGAGGAGGAGAGTATGCGGCTGTATGCTTGACCTTGTTGGTTTTTTTCCTTTCCTCTAAGTATTGCCATCAGAGCTATTGGCCTTCCGTGGTGTATGTACAGCCAGTGCTGCCTCCATCTTCAGTGGAAGTTTACCCAGCATATGCTGAGCCAGCTCCAGTTTTGGATCAGTCAGTACCTCAGGTCTTCCCTGATCCACGGCAAACTGAGGTCCAGGTTCCCTTGGAAGCACCAGCAACAAATGGTCAGTGTTTGAGTTCTGCTGTGTTCATAGCAATGAAAGGCAAGCAGGAAAATGCCAAGAATGTGGGTTCAAGTCTGTGTTTGTGCGTTTTGTTCTGTTTTTTTAAGGTAACTTCCAAAATGCAGAGCCTCCACCCCTGTCCTACGGGCCAGTGTATTACCCAGTCGTGTCGGACCCCTTCAGCCAGCAGGCCCTGCCTGGCTTTGACACTGTGGTACCTGCCTATCACTATGTCAGTGCCTGGCACCCAGTGAACCCTGCACCTGGAAACCCACCCCAGATGGCCAACGCTGTGAGCTCAGGACCACCCCACCAGATCAGCTATATCGCCTCACCTCACCCTGTCCCTCACGACGTGCCTCAAGGAATGTAAATCAGGGAGCTGGAAACTCACTCTTGCTTTCTCCTTTCTTGTTTGTCAGCTCTTGTTAATATGGTTTTGTAAATGTTGTCCTGTCTTAGGGGGCTGAGGCAGTTGATGGAGCTGCATTTCACATTTCATGTTTCTCTTTAGGTTTGTGCTGTTAGGTGACAAGGTGTTGTTTTAGTTGATTAGGGGAGCATAGGAAGAAAGTACACACAAACTGTAATGCAGGGAACACAACCTGAATGTGGCTACATAAAATATGTGAAAAAAACCACGCTGTCACTTAAGGCATGTATCTCTGAGAGGTTGCACTGAACACCTGGTTCTTGTTGAAGCACTAAAATAGACTGCCACTACAACTACAGACAAAAATTGGGCATAGAGTCACTAGAGGGTGAAAATGTTTAAATTGGCTTTCTCAGGTTTTGCAGAACAAAGCTGCTTTGCCACTAGTGGTCACGTACTTACAATAGCTGTATTTCTTCTGTCTGCCTTCACACTGCATAGAGTTCAGGACTGCAAATGCAAGAATAATGTTTTGATCTGTATATTGTATATTTGTAAGATTTGTTTTGTGAAAGCTGTTGCACACATGGTGATAATCTTTGGTGTTAATTTGCACTGACAGCACAAAATAAAAGCATTGAACACGTGAAAATGAGTGGTCATTTATCACTGGCAGGTAATATTCCTGACAGTTAGTTAATGTGGGATAAGGCTGCCCCAGCCCTCTATGAAAAGGCAGCAAAAGCTTTTTTCAGCATGAGGAATTCCTGGTAAATGCAACTTTTCCTCTTTAAACTTGTGGGATCTGCCTGATTTATAAACAGGCACAATGCAGTTGGCCCTCAGATAGCATTCTACCCCAGTCCAGGAAAGAGATGTTACCAGAGCGATGACAACTTCTCCTGCAGGTCCTGGTGACTGTAGAGTGGGTATGAGAAACTGTCTGAAAGCAGCAGAAACTGCAGCCAGTGGTGATTCTTAACCTCCTTTCTTGCCCTCGAAGCTCATCAGATGCAGTGTGAGAACAAGGAGTGTCAGGATGGGTTTAGAGCAGGGACTGCAGAGGAGCCTCTGGGGCCAGAAGAAACCATAACTTTCTGTGCAGTTGAAGGAGAGGACGATGCTGCTTTTCCTCCCTTGCTGGTAAGTTGTGAACAAAGGATATAAAAATGTGCAGCCCTGGCCTGGCTTGACAAACAAGGGCACAAGTGCAGGTGGTGTTGGCTCAGTGCCAGAGGTCCTGAAGAACAGCAGAAACTCTTATAAAAAAGTTACCTTAACTGGCACATGACCTCAGCATTTGAATCTTCTAAATCCAAACACAGCCTGCCCTGGATAAGGAGATGAAGTCAGTGGCTTCAGACAGTGGCACAATTGCTATTTCACAAAACTTAATTCAACTGTCTGGGCCCATCCTGACTTTTTAAAATAAATTTTCCGTTGTGCATAGCTGGTGAAAAATGGATTTCCTGCAGAACCATGAAGGGAAAGAATTACATTCCCTTCAGTATCCATTTTAAGTAAAAAAAATAGGGGGAAAAGTGACTCCTTACAGCTTTGTCTGGAATTCATGCAGCGCTCCTGGAGTTGACACTGTTTCCATTTAACTCCTGAGACTTTGCCTTGCTCCCTGCCCTTCCTTTGGAGAAGATAATGTAACCCTTTAGTGGGAGTGTGTTTCCACCACAGTCACAGGTGCCATCTGTCACATCTCAAACAATTGCTGTCAAGCCCAGAAGGGAATATCTCCCCCTTTCAGGCTTTAGCTATGAATAATGCCTCCTTTCTTCCACTGTCACTGAGATAGCCTTGCTTTTTTCTACACAAATGGTTGGTGTTTTATCTTTTGGTATTAGTTTATCTCTTGAGAGTCAACTTTTTTTGGTCTGGTTTTGTTTACCCATCTAAGACCTGGATTATTCAGCATTACCCAGGTCTATCATGGCCTTGTTGGCCACTTTGATAGACATGAAAATTACATTAATTGATAAGATATATCTTATTCATGGATTTGATATACAGCAGTATCTCTTGACTTGATTTATGTATTTTTGCCAGGGCTGTTAAGCCTTAAAATCAACTTTTTTAACTAGCAAGTGTGGCCTGGAGCTGGTTGATGCCTCTTCTCCCTAAATCAGGAAATGCCACCTTTTTATTAACTACAAAAGAGCTTAGAATGGTAGAGAAATTAAGGTGAATGCTGAAGTGTTTTATTTCAATTCTGTTTTCCAGAGCTGGGTTGCAATACAGTAGCTCTGCATCACTAAACTGAAACAGCTGCCAAAAATCCCACAATTCTACCTAAAAACACAGCTCACCTGCTTCATACTGGCACACATTTGGTTGTTGCTGTTACAGTTTGGTACCAGACCAACGTTCCAGGTTTTTCATGCTGTGAATCAGGATATTGGGACATAGCTTAGAGCCATAACCATATTTCACCTTTAATTAGAAGGATTTAAAAAATCCGTGAGTATTGATTTCGACTTGGAACAATCTTTTTCCTTCCCATCAGTGTTTTTATATTTTCCTTGTCATTCTTTATTGGGATTCTTGAAACATGTTGCTTCATAATAAATGTTTTAAAGCAAAGATTTGATCCTGGAATGGTTTTGTTTGTTTGTTTGTTTGTTTGTTTTTCTGATTTTTCTTTATTTTTTTGCAGATGGCTTTTCAGCCTTGGAAAGAGAGACAGGAGAATCATGCAGCTAAATTTGCGTTAGTCATACTTGTCACCTCCTTCACTGAGTTTTTATAGATGAAAGAAGGGCTTCAAAGTAATGACCACCTAAAGGCTGTGAAGTTCTCCAGGAACTGGCAGTGCCATGGAGTGCTGTCCTTAGATTGTCAAACCTTTTCCTCAGCAGCCGGACGAGAGAACACGGCCTCGAGCTGGGCCAGGGAAGGTTCAGGTGGGACAGCAGGAGGAGTTTCTTCACAGAAAGGGTTGTTAAACATTGGAAGGGGCTGCCCAGGCAGGTGGTGGAGTCCCCATCCCTGGAGGTGCCCAAAGATGTGGCACTGAGTGCTCTGGGCTGGGTGACAGGGTGGGCATTGGGCACAGGGTGGACTTGATGGTCTTGGAGGTTTTTCCAGCTTCAGTGATTCTGGGATAAAAAAGGCAGTATGTGTGCTTTGGGGGGTGAGTTTCTTAAGTATTTCAGTATCTCTGAAGTGCTGCAAGTCTTGCTGCCCTCAGAAGGGGCAGACTCCAGTGTGACTGCATTTACCTCCCTGACTCCAGACACCAGAGTGCCAGTGTTGTCTGAACACCACTGCCCACAGGGTCAGGGAAAAGCTTAATATTTTGGCAGAGGTGCTGGTCTTGCCCCAAAGGCCATGCCCAGCCTGTGCCCTGGTGCAGTTGGGCTGTGAGTGCCCCACTGCTCCTACCGGTCCTGCCTTAACAGCCACTGCATTCCTGCTGTGGGGCCGTCTTTCTGATGTCTTTTGAATTGCAAAATCCATCTGTTATTGAAGATAATGATTATAAATACTGTGTGCCTTGCCCAGCAGTGTTTGCCCACTGGGTTATCACTTGCTAAAGCTTGTGTGCTGTTTTCCCCTTTGCTCACATAACCAAACCAATTTCTCCAGCAAGTTGTTTTTCTAGCTCAGTTTGGCCTTTTTTACACTCTTAGCTTCCATTTCTCTCTGCAGTGCTGCTGGATACCTTTTTATTTTACAAAATTACACCATCAAAGGCTGCATTATATACAGAAGATATTCAACACACAAATCCAGAGCCAGACTTCCAAGTAACTGCTTTTTTTTCCACGAGGAAAATAAAACTGTTGAACCAAGATTTTATAGCTTTGAAATAAGATCAGAGATTAATTTTTGCAGGGCAGGCCTGTGTGTAGGAGCTCCTACTCAAGATCAAGTTAGTGCTGCTTTACCAGATTTCGTGGTCAGATGGTAAATCTTGCCTTCCCTGGAGCAGGTGAGCATTTTGCCCTAGTTTTGGGGGGCTGGGTTTTACCCCAGGTAAGTGTGGCTGGGATAACTGCTTGATTTGGTTGTGTTAGAGAAGAAAAAAGGGTCTTTTAAGAGAAAGTGGAATATCCTCTAATGATGAAATTAAAGGACCATCTAACTCCCTCTGCTCCCTCCTCTATGTATTTTTCCTGTTCCCTACCCTCCCTATTTGCATTGTCCAATCAAATGTAAACCTGTGGGGTTTGACTCTTTTAAAACCGGTACTTTGTTAATATTTGTCATAGTTGAAAGCAAAAAAAAAAAAAAAAGTTTATTTTGATGTTTGTGATCGTTATGTGTGTGATTTGTATCATCCTTCAGGAAGTGCAAGCAGGAGGAGATGAAATACACTGCAAAGCTGCTTCATGGAGTGGGGCAGGATGGAAGGGTTATCTGGCCCCACCTCAGAGCACACAGCACAGGATTGCATCCAGAGGGTTCTGGAATATCTCCAGTGGGAGGGACTCCCCAGTCTCTCTGGCAATCTGTTCCAGTGCTCAGTCACCCTCTCTCCCACATCCCCTGTCAGCTCTGGTGTTTTCTGCTGCACCACATCTGTCTGCCCTGCAGGGACACACAGCAGGGGGAACTCATCCTCCTGGGAAGTTCAGTGCCTGTTTCTGGAATAGGAAGCACAGTTGAGGATTCCCAGTGCCTTGACTTGGAACTCCCAGGCGTTGTGATGCGAGTGGGAGCGTGCACATCCAACTTCAGCAAGTCCTTGTGGATTAAGGCAAGAAGGGTGGGAGCCTTTGGTCTTTGTGTGGGTATTAAAATGAAATTACACTTACTTAGACTTCTTTGCACAGGACTAATTGCATTCAGGCAGTGCACTTTATTTACCAACATTTGTAGAGGTTTGGTATTTTCTCTTGTAGCCAGGATATAATTAATATTTTGGGATTGTTTGTTGTGTGTGTTTTTTTTTTTTCCCCAGCTTGGTTTTGTCTCACTCTTGCCCATAAGCACTTGGTCAAATTTGGGTGACCAACTTCACAGGAGGTAAGCAGGACTCTGTCATGCCTTTTTTAATGACAATACCAATAAAGTCTCTATAGAGAGCCCTTAACTGCTCCTCTGACCACTGAGAGCCCTTGAGAAGTCTGTGCTGAGCATGTTTTAAAAAAACCTATAAAATGTCAGATCTGTTGCTGTTCATAAATGTTTATTATCAATAGGCAGCTGGAAATGTTACATCTTGAAAAGGTAGAAACACCTTGATTTTCAATAGGCTTACATTTTTGGGAAAAAATTAAATGCCTTTTTTTTTTTTTCCAGTTTACAGTTAAGCTAAAAATACACATAAAATAAATAATTTTATCTATTATGTACATAGTTTCATTTTTTTACAGGTTATACGAGGGTATGACATGGATTCTGCACTACAGATGGGAGAGATGCAAGTAGAAAAGTACATAAAACTAAGCATTTGTTTTTGCTTTTTGCTCTTGCCCTTTTCTCCCCCTTTTTCTCCAGAGGTGGCTGTTACCACTTAACTGGCAAATGCCGAGGTCACCACTCTGTCTTTACACACACAGATTCTTACATCTAATAATAGCTCTTTTGCCTGGAAAAGGCCAGTGAGTTTTTGACCAAAACTTAAAAAACAAGGAGAGGGGGAAAAAAAAAAAAAAAAAAAAAAAAAAAAAAAGCCTCACTTTTTTATCCAATGAA